GTCCAACTGGAAGCTGTCTGGCTATGTTCATTTTTATAAATCTTTCAACTGTGATGGGGGCCAAATTGTACTATTAAGGGCATTATCCAGATTATCCATGAAGGTCTTAACACCTAGAAGCAAACTCGTAGGAGTAATAAGATCCATCAAGACAGCAATGAAACTTCATGGTATAAAAATGATTTTGAAGATGACAGCTAACTTTTTCTTGGTCAAAGTATAATTCTCATTCCCACATAACTCAAAATGTGTCTCAGTGTTGCTACATCAGTTGCTAAGTCCTAATATGCCTGACACACTAAAAGAAGGAGATACAGAGTAATAATATAATCTTTCCCCCTTTTTAAAATTCTTGTGAAAAGAAAGTGAATCAGAAGGGGTCTCCTGGGCCATCTAGTCAGATCCCCGGTTCCAGCCAGTTTGTCTCATGTGATCCCCAAGAAATAGGGCTTTCTCTAGCAGGATTGGTTATATGGCCAAGGAGAGTTTCAATATAAGATTAATCAACTGAATATCTTTTTAGCCGTATATCCAATCACACTAGGTAAAATTGTATTTCTTTTTGATGAAACAACCATATTTGCCTATTTGCAGGGTGGAGAAAGATCAATGATTTTTTAAAAAATTAAAAATTGACTTTTTTATTTAAATCAGATTTTTAAAAATTTAAATCTTTTTATTTAAATTGAATTGTTTTTAAAAATAAAATGTTTTTAAGGAAAAATCTATCTAATGATAGTTTTCTTTTTAAGATAAATTATAGGCCAAAGGTTATCATGAAACAATGATTGGTTTTTAGGCTGTATATTCATAAACAGGCAATGTTTAATTTTTTTGGTAAATGAATTCAATTTATCCATTCATAATGTCATGTTTTTCCAAAGGTTCCTGTAACATTATTGGGCAGTTTTTCTATCTAGAAGACTGTATTACAGATGCTCGGTTTACAGTTCTCTAAACTGTGAAGTTGTGTCTGCAGAGATCACGTGCCTCTTTTTCACAGCAAAAATGTTCTAAAATAAACAGAGTTCAGAAAAGATCTTAACCACATTGTTCCTTTGCAATCTATGTACACAGAATCAACCCCTTACCTCTTAAGTGCTAAGTTTCAAAAATCCAATGAATAGAAGATTGTTGGAAGTGGAATAGATCTGCACAAGAAGCTAAGTGTGAGGAGGGGCAAGCAGTGAAAATAAATGTGAGACCTTTTGAGTAGAATACTCCACAAGTCATTGGACCTTTCTGTGTATAGCCTGAGATTTATTATATTATTATTTCCCTGGAGAAGAAAACCTATAATGGCAGCAGGCTGTAAAAAAGATCCAGTTTGGGAATATTTTAATGAAGTTTTCTTACCTAGGGGTAAGGCAAGCATGAATACAAATTTTGCAGAAAACCATGATTTAAATTTAGTCTTACTGACTAGTGATTTAAATCACATCGATTTAAATCAAATCTATCCTGCACATTTGTAAATTTATTGACCTCAACACTCTAAAACATGCGGTGCGATTCTCATTATAGAAACTTTCTATATTCCATATATATATATATATATATATATATTTCCATATATATATTTCCATATATATATTTCCATATATATATTCCATATATATATATATTCTATATTTTCATCCCACCTCAGATTCACTAAGCCTAAGTCTGAGCATCCTTTAAAAACATGGGATGATCCACATGTTTAGACTAGCCTTGGAACTTCCATTAAACCATGAAAATGTGGAAAAATATAATTAATGGTTAATTTAGGTAAAATCTTATTTCCAAACTTTCAACATTTAACAGGCAAAAACAGAGATAAAGTATTGTGACAACCTTTGGGGTGAAATCCTGTGCAAGTTGACACAGAATAAAGTCCTACAACTCCCAACATACCAGTGTGAACATAGTTTTGGGGCTTTTTTTTTTTTGGTCTAAATATGCAAAGGATTGTGCACTTAGGCTATATCAAGAATAATGAAACATGGTTCTATTTCTTACCTGCTACTTAAAGCTCTACCCTGGCCATTGTATGAAGTTACTTCATAATAGTCTATCTTGCCAAGGTGTTTGTCTTCCAATCAGCTGCCAATCATTATGTTAAATGAGAAACTGTGTGCTGGGATGAATATTGTTTCATAGTTCCTTTTGCAGGGTGCATGCAATCGATTTATGTGTGGGGGTGAGGGGCACAACTGGCAGTCCTCCTGCCTCCCCTGAGTTGAGAGACACACTTTCCCCTTTCCAGAAGCCCCTCAGAACAATTCTATACAATGTAATGTCATTCTGGGAAATGAATCGGGGAATTAAATTGAGGCCTTCAACCATGAGGCTTGCTTGCACTTAGAATATTGTGTACAGTTCTGGTCACCTTACCTGAAAAAAGGACATGACTGAGTTTGAAAGAGTGCACAGGATGGCAAGGAAAAGTACCAGGGGGTTAGAGCACTCCCCTATGGGGAGTGGCTACAACAACTGGGACTGTTTAGCTTAGGAAAAAAAGGCAAGTATGGAGAAACATGAAAGGTGTGTTTAAAATTACGCATGGTGTGCAGAAAGTGGAGACAGAGACATTTTTCTCGTACGACTGGAGCCCAGGCTTATCCCTTCATGTGGATTGGTAATTCCTAATTTAGGAAAGTTAAAAGGAAGTGCTTGTTCACACAACGTATAGTTAAACTATGGAATTCACTGCCACAGGAAGTAGTGATGGTTACCAGTTTGGATGACTTTAAAGGGAGATCAGACATGTTCATGGAGGAGGAGGAGGAGGAGGAGGCTATGAGTGTCTACTAGCCTTGCTGGCTATGTGCTGCTTCCATTACCAGAGGTGACATACTTGCACACACCAGAGGAGTTTGGGCAGGTGGAGGTTTTGTACCTATCCTGCAGGAAGAAACCTGCAGACAGCTGGCTTGCCACTGTGTGAATAGAATGGTGGACCATTGGTCTGATCCAGCATGACTTTTCTTATGTTCTTAGGAGTCTGAAAGTGCACCAGTGAGTTTTACAACACCACTGAAAATCACCTACACAAATACAAATGGCAGGGAGGTTTCTTTTGCCCCTAACTTCCAGTTTGGCTGAAAGTTGGTCACAGAAGCTCCCTGGTACTTTGTGCACAAGAATAGAAGTGTCCTCTCTGGCCATTCAGAGATTTCACTTTCATTTTGCAAATTCTTGGAGGAATGTCCACTCTAGTACTTCATACCAAGGCAAAGCTGGTATAGCCACCTGGAAAATTTTGGAGGGCCAGATTAGGACCCCAAGAGGTTAAACCCTGGGTCTGAGACTCTGCACCCATGCCCTGTAACATTTAATCAATAAAATATTAGTAAAACATTAATATGTAGACTGGTCATTCGGGCACGCATAGCTTCCTCTGTCCTTTCTAGGTTATGAATCACTGAAATATTTTTTAGAACTTCAATGACCAGGCTACACCTAAGACAGAACTAGGTCTTACTTTACAGAAGGCAGTCCTGTATTTTAGAGAGCTGGAAGAGGAGAGTCCTTTGTCTGAAAGTGCCTTTTATTTGATAAGCTGTCAAGTTCAAATCCAGGTTAAAGTCAAACAATCATCAGGATGAAGAACAGGGAGGGGACCTGAGGTTGCTTCTTATCTTCTGAGATAAGAAGCAACCTCAGGTCCCCTCCCTGTTGATAATAATATGATAATATACATTGCAGTCCTATGTAAATCATCACTATTGTGTACCTAAACTTGCACCTGCAGCTGTTATTCAAACTGACAGGGCCCTTTCCCCTCTGCTTCACTGATGCAATTTCTCATTTTTGGCAATGTGTAACTGTCTACTCCAGAAGCATGCTTCTTAATTTATTTTTCATCATTAGGCATTGTTCATCTCTTATTTGTACACAAATATATATGGTTATTTGCCTACAGGGCAACGCCTACTAAATTGTGACCAGCATGAATATACAAGCTAAGTCTGAATTATGCTTTGTTTTTTCTAATTTCCTCTGAAACTCATATATTTTATTTGAAGTTTTAGATGTGGCTTAGAGGATATTTAGCTCCTGTCTTTATATTGGTTCAAATGTTGAGCTTACTGTATTTAGATTTTTCTGTTTCACTGATTTGACTTTCTTCTTGGCTACTCATGCGCTCTCTCTCTCTCTCCCCTTCTCTTCACACACACACACACACACACATATACACATACACACTATACATCAAACATACATGAATTTCATCTCTGTATGTCTACAGCACAATGTCTGTATATTCTGTATGTCTACAGCACAATACATGTTCCTGCCATATCTCTTCAGTAAATTCAGGGTTAAAACTGACTGACTGAATAAGCTAATACCATACAGTCCAAATCCATATTCCAAAACTGATGCAAGGTATCAAGCCAAGTTCACATTCCAAAATCAAATAACATACTGTCCAACAGTTTCTTTTCCCTGGATTGCCTATTTAGTAATACATTAAACAGATGTGTCAAGGTACAATACATTAGGAATTGTTCATGCATAAGCCCCATTTTACTTAATGAGAAGTTTCCAGTAGACTGTGCCTCTGGTCATCTGTTTCAACCATTCGGATTTTTTTTAAATGCCTTTTCTCCTTTTCTTTTCATTCCCCAATTTTAGCCCCATCAAGAGAGTTTGCTGTTCTGCAGTCTGATTCATAAAAGTTTCCAGCCCAGCTATTTCCTTTTGATTTTCTCATAGGAAACTAAAATCAAAAAGTCTGAATTTCTTTCCATAATTGCAGTACTGTTATCCAGTGATAAACTCTCATTAACAATCAATAAGAATAGATCAATTATAGCATGGAAAATGATTTGTCAGTGAAATAAAAGGTGCAATGAAACAGTATGATTTCCTGCCCAACCCCCTTCCCAACCCCAAATGCAGTGCAGTGATTTAGCTGAATCTATAGGGAGTTAAATACTGCAACTAATAATCCAAATTTCATATTTGAAAAGATGTAATTCATTTGCAATTAAAAGACTGGCATATTCTACTTTTTCCATTTCCTCAACATTTAATAAGCTCTTTTCTTTTAGTTGCATAGAATTTTTACTGAAATACATGAAAACATATTTATTTTATAACATATTCATAAAAACATTTATTCTGTATGTCTACAGCACAATACATATTCCTGCCATATCTCTTCAGTAAATTCAGGGTGCCTTCACTAAAGCTACATTGCACTTCTCTTGCTATGAACATGACATCCCATTCATTAAATCATTGAATTAGCATAGAGATACTAAGTTTCCAGTTATCTCTTTTTTCAGGATTATACTGCATTAACTGCACTTTATAGTACGTTCTCTTTTCCCTATTAGTCTTCCAAGCTGTTCCTCTCTGCTCTTTCCCAAGGACTTTATTGCAGGTGTCTTGAGATATTAACCATTGTGCTCAGTTCTGCTGTTTCTTGCTTACCTGTTAAAAGATAGCATTAGATCAAAAGTCAAGGGCTTGTCTCAATTTTCATGCAAGTCATACATGACCTCTTATCACTTCCAACAGATCAGAATTTCATTGTCTTATGGGGGTGAGGAAGGAACATCCTCTGAATAAACTAAGATTGTCAGCTGAGAAGCACAACTGAAATATCCTGGAATTTCATGTCATTTGTTAGGAATTATTAAAATATCAACCATGTACTTACAACTAATACAGCATGAAATTCAAAGGGACTGCCTTATCAAATGCAAAAAATAGCTCTATTATCTATTTACTGTTACATGAGTCACATGTTGAGTTAAATGTTGCAGTGTCTTGTTGTCTAAAGCCAAACAGCCAAAGCAACAAACAATGGGACTTGCAGTGCCTTGCAAAAGCAACCTGGAATTGAAATGGCTTTAAGTGGCATTGTTACCACTTGATGTACAAGAGATACTCAGCACTGTTAAGGTACAAAATATTTTTATGGTACAAAAATTAAGTAAACAAGAACTAAAACTTGTTTGTTGCCTAAATACTTGCTAGAAGCACATTTTCAAAGGAGACTCAATACCTGGAAAAATGTCACTTTTTATGTACTTATCAACCAAGATACATGCCCTTTTCCTAGGGAACCCTAGGAGATGCTGTGCTGTGACAGAGGCTACAGATGTTTCAGTGAGAATTCCAATATCATCCACAAACTACAACCCCCAGGATTCTTTTTGTGAACCAACTGGGAAGTCTGCTGCCTTTTAAAAGGTAAATACTCTTATTTGAATGATACAGAATTGATTCTAGTTAGCCTGAGCCAGGAAGAAGGCCTTAATAAGAACCAGGTTGATAAAGGAAACTCTGATTTGTTTGTATCAAGAAAAACAGTGTGATGTCATAGCAAGAGAGTTCAGCTGGGATTTGGAAGATCTGAGCTCTAACCCCCGCTCAACCATGAAGCTCACTTACTGGCGCTCTAATCATTTACTAATCTAACTCACAAGGATGTTGTAAGGATAATATAGAAAGGAGGCCTAAGTGAGCCACCTTGGGTTCCTTGTAAGTGCCACAGACTTGTAACAAGACAAAATGGAGAAAAGTCAAAGGGGAGTGAATACTTTGGCAAGGCACTGTACCTGCAAGCGCACATATAAAGGTCTCTGATTAATTTATATCGCTAATACTAGAGTTTTACACTAACAGAATTTGAGTTAGGATGCTTCCAGACAAAGCATTTATAGTGAAACTGTGCTGCTACATTCACAGAATTTTACAGGATATGCTGACAACCGTAACCCTCCAATGTTTTCCCACCACTTCTTTCAACCTTTTTCTAAGCAGTAAAAAAAAAAATCTTAAGGAAGAAAAGATTGAGTAGCTGCACTGTAAACATTTTCATATTCTATTACCTCATAACAGAATTCTGAACAATGCAAGAAGTGCCACCATGTTTCATACGTGCAGGCATGTCACTTGCACATATATCTTCCAGTGTTTCAAGATTATGATGGCAAAACAAATATGTCACAGGCAAACAATCATATAACCAAATTTATTACCACTAGTGATTCATTACCCAGGAGAGGCTACATCTGCAGCAATTTATTATGGTGAGCTCCTCCTATTTACAAATAAAACATGTTTGCTACATATTGTTGAGATTTTGGAACTGTTTTAGTTATGTAAACTTTTATACCTCTTTTCCTTCAGCTTTTGGAAACGCCTTAATAAATACTTTTGAAATATAAACTCTGTATGCTAATTTCCTTCCTTCCTCTTATGCTCATCCAGGTTTATGCCATTGTAGTGGTTTCTAAAGGCATTTTTAGGCAGCACGTTCTTTTAATCTTGGGTTCCTTTACAATATCTATTTGTATGAAACAGATTAGCATGCAAACACATACAAACTAATTTAAAATTCCAGTATTCCAGTAACCAACTTCTACCAGACAAATACTCTGAGCTCTCACGGCTGCCTTGTGGAATATTTCCTATATATTTTTGTCAAATTCTGATAATTTTTAAAAAGAGAGGAGAAAGAAAGAGAGAGAGAACTTGAATGAAGAGGAGACAGGTGTTTATGACAGTCCAGAACTCATGCCACTCCCCAGTCCATTGGGATGCTCCGTTCTTCAAAACAGCTGGACAATTTGGCACATTGCTGGTTGATTATTCCCCGTGTCTGCACTTCCCTCCTCCCTTGGCCCACCCTGTCCTCACCCTGCACCATCGTTAAAATTTATGCAACAGTGACAATAGGGGTGGGCCTGCCAATCTGGTGTTCATGTGCAATGTGCAGGCTCAGTATGTAGAATCCAAGGACGATGCCAAGTTAATGATGGAAAGCGTCTCAGTACTTTCTGCGTTGTGCCACCACAGTGTCTTGCTCTATACAAAGCTGTATACACCTCATTTTAACTAATGGAACCTCCATTTGCATAACTATGATGAATTAGAGCCACAAATGAAAGTGAGATGGCTTGATTTATTTGGTGATTCATTGTGGAAGTGCGGGAGCACTTTGTGTCAGCGTGTAAGAAGTGGTGTTTCTTCCTCATAAACTAGTTCATGACTCTCATGGGATCTACAAACTGATTTATCTCAAGCCTTGCCAGATACCAGCTCTAGTTTGAGGATTAACTCATATTGTACATACATTGCCTGGTTTGCAGACATCAGAGAATCTGTGCAGATACAATGGCAACAGGGATCACCCAGCCAGTGTTATTCATGCTACACTAATAAACTTCAGATTAGACTGCTGCAGGGTAGGCAGCTTGTTTGGCCCATGAGCACATTTGACAATTTGGGAAACTGCTGAAGCATTGCCACAGAATGGCTGCCATGGGATGCATAGCAAAGGACATGTAAACTCCCTAGAAAATGGAGTTTAGGCCCAGACACTAAACAACTCCTTGAACGCCAAAGTTTCCACACTAACAGACATGCATTTCACCCCACAGGTGCTGAGAAAAAAATGTTTTGTTCAGCTTTGACGTGCGAGGGATAAGGCACATTGGTGGTGCCAAAAAGGAGCCTAGAGACACACTGATGCTCACAAAAACTATGTTGCTTACTTCTGGTCTGCTACAACATGTTGCATGTGCAGAGTGGGCTGTTCAAAACACAACTACTAGGCTACTAGCTGGGATCAGGTCATGAGAACACAGCTTGCCAGTGCTTGAGCCAGGGATGGGTAACCTGCGGCCCTCTAGATGTGTTGGCCTACAATTCATGCCACTCTTACTAATGGCCACACAGGTTTGGAATGACTGACACTGTAGGCCAAAGGAAGCCACAAGTTGCACAACCCTGCAGATGCAGTGGCACCTGATCAGTTTTTAGGCATGATTCAAAGTGCTATTTACCATTTTTGACTGTGAGCCATCCCAAGATGCCATTCATAAGGGGCTGCATATAAAAGCTTTAAATAAATACATAATTTTTTGTTTCTGGACGTCAGGCCAGGCCTAGCTAATTGAAAAACTGCTTGCTCGACCTTGCCCATACTCTGAGCTCTTTCTTTGGTTGCCTCGCTATTTAAAGTGAGGAGAACAGCAACCAGGGAAAAGGCATTCTAAGTAATGGTGCCAGGTTTATGGAATACTTTCTTTGTTGTATTTTTAATGCTGAATTTATCCATTGTTGTTTTTAATATTATTTCATTATGCTGCTGTGGTATTTTAGGGTTGGAATAAAAACCATCTGGGAATATCTCTATTGAAAGATAGCAACATTTTAATATAAAGTACAAACTGCAAGTTAGACCAGTCTGAACTGTGCTAACACTTACCACTAAAGTTTACTGCACAATTGACATGTGCTTGAATACTAATCCTGACAATTGGGCATAGAATGCAAACCCAACTGGAAATACTGGATCTCTAGGGAAAAGAGAGAAAACTGGTTTAACTGTTGAACCCCCTCCCCAAATAATACTGCAAACTAACATGCAAAATAAATATTCACACAACACTGAATGGTTGCTACAACTAGGCAGGCACACCCTTTGCACTGAAACAAGTTTATTTCATGTGTTCTCATTAATAATTTTGGAATACTACTTTTTTCAAGTTACCAAGCAACCTGTAACATATGAATCACTGCTGTTATTATTAGCTGTATTTTAAAGCTATTTGAAGAGAACATTTGCATGTGTGAATTTAGATTAAACTTTCTTAAGTTATAGTGCCACCTTATGGTTCTTCATACATGCTGTTTTGTGTACAAAGAATTTTTCCTTTTACTTTTTTTTAAAACACATTCAGATTGCGTCCATCTAGTGGCAAATAGATCTGAATATATTGTGTGCAGACTACAATGTCATGCCAACTCTCCCTAATATTGCTGGGCATAACCATTAGCCATTCTGGAAATCAGTGATGACCTATTCACAACACTCTCTTAGGCAAACAACAGATTCCTCACAGTCTGGACTTAGAAAACAAGCAAATGGCCACACATGGAGAGGTCATATGGTTTGGCCCTTTGTCAGAAATGAACAGAAGCTAAAACAATTTAACAATTTAAGTCCAATTAAAAAAAAACCTGATGCAACCTTTTCATTGAACATGCCAAAGTCTGAAGTAGTACAATTCCTTTAAAAAAAATCTGATTGTTTTATAATTAGGGCCATGGGAATTTCAAAAGGTTTTTTAAAAAAAGGAATAGATTTTATGTTATGATGTGACAGCCAAAATTAAGTCATAAGGCCATCCAGAACATGATGGTATGTTAAGTTCCCACCCAGGATAATTCAAAACAATGAGCTTTTTACCCCATGCAGTAGTTTGGGTGTGTTAATGCTAAACTAACACATGTCCGTGTTTTGTTGTTCAAGACATAGCTGTTATATAAAAGAATTACTTTCACTTGACAGAATCAAGATGATTGATTGAAAAACATTATGCTGCCATTTTAAAGTCCCCTTTGATCACTTGTATTTACATCCTTCTCTTAATCAATAGTGTTAGCATTTTGTAGTACTTAATTAAAAGTAATGACTGCGTATGTACAAGCATCTAGTTACCTTTTCCTCCCAGGTTCAGTGATCTGAAGAGGCAAGTTATGGAGTAACAACTATAAAAATGTTAATGCACATTAATGCAACACATAGATATGTAAAGCTAACCCTTGCATTCTTTCCCTGTTTGTAATGTGATTTCAAACAGCTAAATCTTTGTTTAATTTTTCAACAAATGGGATTGTTACATGTTGCAGTCCTTGGATTTCTCCATTCTAACACACACACACACACACACACACACACACACACACACACACGTGTTGTTTCTTTTACCAGCTTATTTACATAACCTTTCAATTCTCATTTATTCTTCAAAGTATAACCAGTTTCCAGAGGGTAGCCATGTTCCCTGCAGCAAAAACAAAACAAAGAGATGTAAAACAGCCATCTAAGAGAGGTTAGGTAGTGAAGTGTTCCTCTGAGGCTCCAGAGCTAGGCATGAATCTACCGCCAGCCATAGGAGCACCACCCCTGCCCCCCATGGGACATTCCAAGAGGTGAGCAGAGGTGTTCTTGAAATCTGCTGAACTGAAAGTCACTTTGTTCATTAGGGAAGATTATCTGTCTACTGCAGTTTGGAGACAGTAACTAATTTCCTTCCTCCACTGAATCCCATATGGGGAGGAAACTGGAACACAAGAACCATATGACAAAATAAAAATAAAAAAAACAAATACACTCACACCCCACTTCTCCTGCCAACTTCAAATAATCATAGTAGCTTGTGTGTGAGATCTGTTACTGAAGACATCATCCAATGTAACATAAAACATAATGCTTTTAAATGGAGTCAGTTAACCATTCCGTTACTAGTTATTATGTATTGAGTAATGCAGTGATGTGCATATATGTGTCCCTACTTTTATATGTGAGTACTTGTTAGGAAGCTGTGAGGATAAGTAGTTTCCCAAGGTGTGCACACCTAGCAAAATGGTATGATTTTCTATCATGACCATGATACCAGATTTTCATATGTAATTTCATATATATGAGTACCTATGTATCTCCTTATTTTCATATATATGAAAAATAAGGAATAATATGTATAATTAAGACTGAGCTGAAAGGAGGCTTCACATTTCTTAAAAAAAGAAAAAGTGTTTGGGCTCTGTGAAAAACACTCTTCTTTCATTGGATTGCAGGACTTCAAATCAGGATGAAACTGCTCACTTATTCTCACAGGAAGGATCATTGCTTGAGATACACAAAGGCACACACAGTCACACAGTGGCTGAATGCTGTTTCCAACTCTTGCAACTTAACTGTCCTTAACAAATTTATTTTGGGAAAGAAAGAAGTCATGGCTGTTTTATGTAAACATTTAAAGTGCGACTTAAACAAGTTCTGCAGTGTCAAGTGTCTTGACAGGCAATTTTGATGGGGATGGCAGGAAGGATCGACCTTGAACTTTAGGACATGAACATGACATTTACATGAATAAATAAAAGATTCAAGATGAGTATATACTCCATGCACAGAAATTTTGCTTCTTCAGATATAAAGAACTAGGAAAACTTGGTTGCTTATGTCTGCATATTGGCAAAAGTTCTTAAAAGTCCTCTCAACATCTCTGCACAAAATATAAACCAAGGAGAAAAGAAGAGTGATTTACTAAGGGGAAAGTTCTAGATAATATGGCTGAACCTGGTAAATAGGGGCAGTTTGGGGTCCTGCCCTTTCAGAAGATTGTTTGGCAAACTACACCTTTTTAATTGTCATTTCCCGCACAACTATTAAAAGGGCAGGAGTGCTATCCTCTTCTGAATCTGGCCACAATGGACTGAAACTACTTTCAACTGACTGCTGGTCTTGTACTTTTTGGAGTAATTTCAGATATGTGTAATAAAAAAGAGAGAAATGAAAGAAAAGAAGGGTTTCTTCTTTCTCCTTCTGCCTATTGGCAGATTTGGAAATCAGAAAGAAAAGTGCCACCAATCTTCCTCTGGGGACTAGCATTTCAATTTGTCTGTTGGAGGGTAACATCATCAGTTAGGCTTCAGAACTAGCCTCAGATATATTAAATATCAAGCCTGTTTTAAGGCATTTGTTGTGATTACCATTTGATATTCCTAATGCCAAGAACACTCTGACCGATCTTCCTATCCAATGTATACCATGTTGCAGAAGGCTAGAGTGGCCAGGTGTCCTATTTTACAGAAGACAGTCTATCCAGCATTTTAGAGATAAGGAACCATAAGGCACAGAGGACTAGTTTGCTGTCAGCCTCAGTAGAGAAACTTTTGGGTCACACCATACCAACAATATATCAACAGGGCAACTTGAAACTTCTGGGGAACTTAAAGGTTCTACCTGAATCCTAGGCAATACCTTGACAGATGTTTGGTTTAATGCTGTTTCAAGATTTGACATCCACATTGACTGAGATCACACATGTATCCCACATTACAGGTCCCCATTGCACATTGACGGTGAACTAGGACAAGGAATCAGAGTTGACGTCTTGGAAGGTCATCTGCTGTGGTGGTGGAGCAGGTGGAGATAAAAAAGAAAATTGGGGATAATAGAGCACCCCCAATTACAGCAGCTATCTTCCAAGCTAGTGCCCTCCAGAATGCAACTCCCATCCTCTACAGTCACACCGTCCTTGGACTTGCTGATTGGGGATGTGAGAGTTGTAGTCCACATATAGCAGGCACCACAACAGAGAAACTTGATTGCATGAACCACAGATGGTTTGTATATTTAAAGTCCAGCTACTGGATCTGAAATAGTGGATAGAGGAGATTAGGCATTTTATTTCTACTCACATCGCTCCTGGAGGGTGGAGGGACTTGTGAGTTATTTCTACTCCAAAAAACCGAAAACTACAAAGACGACTTTTCCCGCCCAAACCTCCGGGAACCGCGTTTGTCGGCCACATCCTCTCCCTGTCGGCGGGAGCCACTAGAGGGCGAGCGCGAACCACGTCCTCAGCGGTTACTCTGGGCAAGAGGCTTGTCGGCCAGGCTGCAGCAGAGCAGGGCGGGACATTGAAGGCTGAAGGAGACTCGTTGGCCTTCATTAACTGCGGGTCCGGCGCGCTAGAAGGCGAAGGGCCAGAACCGGGTGGCGGTTATTACCCCCACTCCATGCGCAAGATGCTGGCCGCGCTCTCCCGTCTGTTTCAGGGCCCGGCTGCCCACAGACCGGTAAGCGAGGCGCAGGGTCGTAAGGTCCTTGGGGCTTCCCGCTGCCCCCACTCGGCCTCTTTGGGTCCCTTGGCCTCCCCCCACCCCGCCACCCGGCCCGCTGCTATGCAGGCCTCGTAACCGGAGGGTTGGCCTGTCGCACCCGCTGTTAAATAACGACTATTTCTGCCCGCAGGCCGCGGCCGCGCTCCTCCCTCAGGACAGGCCTTGTGGGCGGGGACGGAGCGCGAGGCGCCGGGCGGCCTTGGAGACGCGCCGACGGTGGGGGGCGAGAATAGGTTATATCGCATTACTCGTGGGTGGGGCAAAACTTGCTTGGCATTTTTTCCTTTTAGGCATAATTTCTAGTATTGGTGTATTGCAGAGCAAACCATGTAGATGGTAGTATCGAAAAGGTTAACGCATGTGAAGCACAATCCGAATACGTGTTTAAAGAGGGGGAGAAGGCTTCCAACTGGTAGCGTTCCCCAGCCAGCCACGTAGGACTTTTTCTTCTTTTGGTCTGTTTCTTTCCTTTTTTTAAAGGATCACTTCTTTATTCTGGTGCAAGAGTTGTGGATTAAGCGTTTCATCAAATGCATGATTATTACAGAGACGTTTAACTATATACAATTGTTATGCTTGGGGATCGGGCAGGATACAGGGAAGTCAAAGAGAAATGAAATTCGGAAAATACAGTAACAACTCGATTATTAAGAATGTAAGCAAAGCTATGCTGGATCAGACCAGGGATCCATTTAGTTGTTCGTGTGTCGTCTCCCCCTCCCACCAGTTCACACAAGTGAACCAGTGCCCCTGAAAAGCTCTCCATCTCTCAGTGATGGCTACCAAGCTGGAAGATGTTAGAGGGGATTGGACATATTTATGCAAGATAACAGCTATCAATGGCTACTAGATCTGATGTTTCTATTGCTACTCAAGTGTCAGAGGCAGCAGGCCTACATGTACCAGTTGCTGGGGAATGTGGGCAGGAGCATTGTGTTGCACTCATGCCATACTTGGGTGTTTCATGTGCTAAATAGTTGGCCACTGTGTGAACAGAATGCTGGTCAAGATGGACATTTGATCTGATTCAGTATGGCTGTTCCTATGCCCACAGTAGGATACAATCGCATCATCCAGCATATTAGCAGGGCTCATTCTTAGCACAGTTGTCAAATACCCTGGTGCCAAAGCCAGTTATGATGTTTAATATATGTTATCCAGAGTCAATCCTTTGGTGATAAAATTAAACCTTTTGATGAATTCTAGATCAGCATTAATGCCAGGAGCAATTTGGAATTAGTTGCACTAATTTGGGAGAGAGGCGTCTGTCAAATTCTGACTCTTTACCTGAGATAATACCATTTTAGATATGACAAAATGTTGCAGTATATCCCTGGCATATCTTCTAAGGGACTGCAGGTGGTGCAGTGGTTTAAACCACTGGGCTGCTGGGCTGGTTGATTGAAAGGTTGCTGGTTTGAATCTGCACAACGGGGTGAGTTCCCGTTGCTCTGTCCCAGCTCCTACCAACCTTGCAGTTTGAAAGCATGCAAATGCAAGTAGATACCGAGGCTTCGGCAAGGGGCAGCATAGAAATGTTATAATAATAATAATAATAATATAATAATAATAATAAAAGGTACCACTTTGGTGGGCAGGTAACAGAGTTCCGTGCACTTCGGTGTTTAGTCATGCCGGCCACATGACCACGGAGACTGTCTGCGGACAAACGCTGGCTCCCTCGGCTAGGAAACAGAGATGATCACCGCCCCCTAGAGTCAGGCTTGACTGGACTTAACATCAAGGGGAAAACTTTACCTTTATCCCTGGCATGTGTGTGTTAACTGAGCCTGTAGCCAAAAAAACCATAACAATGATCAATGTAAAATGGTTGTTGCGTGGTGCTCTCAGCCCTAGTTGCAGTGCAGGGATAATGACAGTGGATGACAGCATAGTGTTGTTGTAAGCTACACTGTTGGCTTCAGCCTCATCACCAAGGCTCAGTAGGGATCTAATAACTTGAATCAATGTTGTAGGATCGTAAACTACTGATAGCTGAACCTGCACTGTTCAGTATGAATCTACTGTTCAGTATGAATTGGGTCAGTTCAGAGCTGACCCAGTTTCCTCCTTCCCAACTTCAAGCCCTTCCAGCCTGAAGTATAGATGCAACTAAGTGCATTTGCATTAGAACTTGGAATTCTAAAGCTATTTTTAATGTTCCACACTAAGAACTGAATTAGTTTTGGTGCTATGGTGAGAAGTAGCACAATCCTAGCTGTTATGATCTTTGATCTTTGAATTCACTTATTTATATGGGCAGTCTCTCCTTCATCCTCTGTGAATATATAAAATTCTCAGTGTGAAACAGAACTCAAGCATTGAGTTCTCCCTGCCCTTTTACGGTTGTATCTCTTTTTTCATTCTCTTTTGCTTATTTCTCCAAGTGGTAGAAAGAAGAGAAGAGAAATGGAGCAAAGCATAACGGAGAAAGAGGCATAGAAAAGTAACTTCCTACCTTCCACTTTCCTCCTTATTTTCTCTCATCTAGTTTCTCCTGCCTAGACTTTTGAAGCTTTATGGGCTTCTGCCTCACTTAATTCTTTACTGATTGATTCTACTCATTTCTCTGTGTGGCTTTATTTTATGGCTTAATCTTCTGTGGTTAGTTCTTGGGCAGTTAAAGAGGGGAGGGTGTTGGTGTGTGCTTCTGCAAACCTTGGTGTTTACTTAGGCTTTGCATATGGATTATGGCAAGGCTTGTGTATGGTTGGTGACATACGAATGGGCATTTTTTCTTAAACTTTGCAAATTGAGGGAATTGTGATGGTGAACCTGATCCTTGGTTCTCTAGTCATTTAATAGTAAGTATGTCTCTTTTATCTCCATCAGTCTCATGTTTTCCTTTGCCTGGTTCCTCTGGTCCCTTTATGGAAATGCAGGTTATTAGACTGCAATCATTTATGCACTTACCTGGGCATAAGCCTCATTGAACGCAAAGGGACTTAATGTTGAATAGCTATATAGATTATTGCACTAGGAGCTTAGTGCAAGGTGGACTCAAAATACTTTATCAGCTACCAGCCAGCTGCATTTAGTAAATGGAACCAGTATAAATATGGCAGTATTGGGAAATCACCTCACAGGCCTTATCTGCCTATGCTAGGCAGATCAAGAACATGCTAGTCTGGCTGACAGTTGCAACAGAAAAGTACTTTGGAACCTTTTCCATAATCACAGGAATGATCTTGGATAGAATAAAATAAATATCTCTATCAGGCAACTTAGATGATAAAGGCATGATCAGTTTTCTTCTCATATCCTAGTAGGCATTACAGTATGGTAAGGCATGCATTACAGACTCTTAAGGGCACAATCCAGTGCAGTCTGTGCTCAGTGCTTGTAAGCCTCTGAGCATGGAGGTTTATGTGCATTCATTGCATGATGCAAAGGGAGGAAGATGTGATTTCTATCACTCCACCTCATGCCCCGCATTTTATCTAGACTGCCTTTTTTGGCCATCTAGATTAAGTGCCACCAAAGGGAAGGGAAAGAGGCTGGGACACTGTTTGGGTATGGCACAAGCTGACACCTCCAGTCCCTGCTTCTCCAACATGTCCCTTGTCATTTTCTCTGAGGCTGATGTCAAACTTTGTAGAGGCAGGCAGCATGATCTTTCTGCACTGGCTGCAAGGGAGGAAGGTAGGAGCTTTGAAGTCCCAGCTCCAAGGTTCCAGAACATTGGAATTGGGGCTTTGAATAATCCTGTGCCCCTGCACAGACAGTGTTGGGAATCCATAGGATTATTCTGTAAGACAATAGGACAATGAAGATTCAATGAAATATTGAATCTCTATTTAACATAGCAGATAGTAGAACAAACCAATGGTCATGAATACAAGCCATTGTATATGCATCCTGAAGCTTAAAGATGTATATGGCTCTTAAATAATTCGCAGTTTTCTCCCAATTGAATGTCAGAAATAAAAGAACAAAAATTAAGCTGGCAAAGATATTTTTTCCATTCAGCATCATATAATCTTAGCGACACAACTTCTTTAACATTGTTCTCACCTGGAGAATACAAATGGAGAAATACTCATTTTTATTATTTTACATCGTACAGCCTTCAGGCTAGTGTTTCAGGAGGAAACTTGCCAGATTAGAGAACCATAACAAAAGTCCTGTTGGTCCAAAAATAAAGTTGAATTCTTCTGCAAAAGGATGTCCAAGCTCTTTACTACATTGAAAACCTACAAAATAAGTTTAACATCTCAAAGTTCATGCTGCAGTCTGAATAATAAACACTCCACTGCTGAATAATAGTAATAATAATGTCTTGACATGGCTAATTAGAATTAGCCTTTTAAAATGAATTGAGGTTAATTTATTTATGAGGATTTTCCCTAGATGTGTGTGATAATAGCTGATATCTTTTTTTTTCTGCTTTTGTTTCCTCCCTATTCTGCTGTTCTAGGGAGCTGTTAGTGAGGTAAGGCCATCATCATTACTTTAACTGTATGAACTTTCTTCACTCTGACTGACAACATACTCCTTGATATAGAAAAACCTTTTTGTGCCATTTTGATGTACCTTTATAAAGCCAGTGTTAGTAATTTGCAAAAATGGAACCATGTTCTTCATTTCAGAGCAGAAGGCGGAACTGGCACTGGTTCAGATCTCAAGAATTGGATTTTATATTTTAAAAAGCTTTTTTTACAATGGTATCCACAAGCAGGGTTAAAAAAGCAAATAACTGCTCCTGTGCTTAGAATCTATTACTTGTGTTTCTTGCTAACAAGAAAAATATGTCCATGCATCTTCAAGGCACATGGGCCAGTGACTCTCTCGCTCGCTCTCTCGTAATTTATAGGACAGCTTTGGAAAACCTGAAGCGGTGTAAATGTTCCTAAAAATATCTCAGCCTAGTATTGCATGTTGCTTTCCTCATAGTGTGTCCATATATTCTGTTGACTTAATTGACTGGGTTAGCATAACATAACAAGTAACCAATGATAAAGAAATGATGGTTCCTTGTCATGTTGTCTGAACATGTCGTCATGGTGATTGACCATCGTAGCAGTTTGTTCCAGGGTTTCTCCCTACCACAATTGTTTGCTAAATTTTTTGAACTTGGACAACACAGACACTTGTGGTAAACCCCGGAACAGACAGCTGCTTGGCAGTTCCAGGACAGGAGAGCTACAGTTGCTTCTCTTGCCAAGTAGCCAGACAGCACAATGGACTGCTGCCCCAGCTTCAAAATTTCTCTTAACTCCTGCCCCTATCCCTATATACAGTGATTTACCATGATTACCAGGGCTGTCATGTTCTGCAAACTCATCCAATGTGTTGCTGTATCATAAGGGTGTAATCATATGCATGTTCGGATAGACTCTCAGCATTCCCTGGCTGTCATGGCTGGTTGACAGGTGAATGCTAGGAATTGTAGATCTTTTTTCTATACAGACATGCATTGAGTTGTTTCTTAAGTGTAAAGTGTTAGCTGCCTCCCAATGTTTTATGCAGAGCTCGTGGGAGAAATACAGTAACCTGGATCACACATAATGACAACACACAGTTGTCAAACAGCTATTAGGCTGTTGTGTTGTTTAACTCTAAATAACTAAGCAGCTTCTCATGTTACGCTCAACAAATTATGAACAAACCAGTTCTAGGTTCTTGATTAATGCCTAGAGAGCTTCAGGTACAGGTGGTATAGACTGAAATGAAATAAATAATAAATGTAGAAGTCACTGGTGCATGAAAGTAGCTGAGCTCTCTCCTGCTCAGCTCTGATAGCCTATGGTTTGCTTAGTTACATGCAACTGCCCCAGTGGGTAATGGTTGCACTTTTAGGTTGGGAGCCAACGTGGCATAGAGTGGTTGGAGTAGGATGTAGGAGATCTGGGTTATATTCCCTGCTTGGGATGGAGCTCATTAGGTAATTTTGAACCAGTCCTTGACTCTCAGCCTACCCTGCCTCACAGTGTTGTGAGAATAAAATGGAGAGGAGGGTTATGTATATTTCCTTTAGTCCCTTACAGGAAAAAGATGGGATGGACACACACACACACACACACCATAAAATAAATTAAAATGTTGCAGTACAACCTTAACTAGTGGGGCCTCTGATATACAGAATGTGATATAGTTCCCTAAATTTTGTACAGTATGTCTGGAGAGGGACAGTAGATTACTTACTCACTTCTGTTTTCCAGTTCTTAATCTTTTCTGTCCCAAGCATGTAAATAGAACAGTTACACTGTAGTATCAAAACCTTATAAGCAGTGAACATTAATCAGTATGGCATACCTAACACTGCTTTGGACTTACCTTCATTACCTTTTTTTCTGTTTCTTCCATCCTGATTTTTTTCAAGTTCAGATCTTCCTTTGACAATATACTCTTCATTTATTCTGCCTCCTCCTTCATAATGCCACTTGCTTCTTTGGGAATGTATTCCATATGTTGGTAGCTTGTTTTTGCACTTTGAGTTGGCAGATTATAATTTTTAAACTTAAGGAACTTCAATGATATTTGAAAGGAAGGGCATCCAATTACATGAAGCTAGACTGATTTGAAATAAGGAAGGGTTTCCATAGCAGAAGTGGATCTGAAGTTTGGGTGGAACTTGGATTGGAAGAGAATACATGACTAGGAACTTGGAACAAAGAAGAAAGTTTGATAGACAGCTGGCTTGGCTGTAGCCCTGCTTGCTCTGTTCTGTGATTGTGGCATCCTAAGAAGCAGGGCTTTACAGCCCATACATGCTTATAGCAGATATAACCTCAACATACTTGCAGGCTAACTGACACTCTCAGGTTTCTCTCCAGATGCTTGCTTTAGTAGCTTTATAGTTCCAACTCCACAGTTACTCTTTTCTGTGTTCTTAATAGTGTGACAAGTTAATTCCGGTTAGTACTTATTCTTTAATTACTATGTATATAGAAATATTGCATGCCTTGCAATGTTCAGTAGTTTCGAACAGTCATGTAGAACATCACCTTTCTCCCTCCCACCTCTTTCCTTATTGAAGGTTGCCCGTGTGGTTGTCACTTCCCGTAATTTTGCAGATTTTGCAACTGAAGCTACATTTGATATTAAGGTAAGCAAAATGATTACTTTATTTCAGAAAGCTAATGCTGTATTCTAATATATTTTAACAAAATGCTATTCCAATATCACAAAAAATATTAACAGGGATGTGTGGAGCTGAATAATTTTACACTCAGTTTTTAAAAAAAATAATGCATTTTTAAAAAGCATGAAATAGGACACACTGCCTTCTGATTCAAATATTCTTAGAAATGATGGTGCAATATGTATTATATTTTGGGTAACAGATATGTGCATACAATTTAATTAAGCATTCATTTGATTTTATTCTTTTTATTTTCTTTATATGGGAAAAGCTGCCAGTAGTTTGCACAGGTGGTTTCTGCTATATGGCTTACACTCCTGCATCTATCTGTTGAGCAGCTGTAGTCCACATTTCCTCCTTTTTCCTTCCTGTCTGGTATAACAGCTTTCCCCAGGATTTATGACTGTTAGCCATGTTGCCTGGGACAGATAGTTGTTGAAGCCTAAAATACCTAGAGAGCACCATATTGATGAAGGCTTGTCTAGAACATAAGAATCGCCCTGTTAGTTTGGATCAACCTGGTCCAATTTTCTGTGTAAAACGGGGCCCAGCAAGATGCTTCCAGGAAGCCCACAAATAGGATATCAAAGTAGTAGTCTTCCTTTGTTACTGCTTCCTAGTAATTTGTGTTCAGGGGCATGCTGTCTATGGCACAGAAATTATAGGTAAATTATCCATCTTATCTGCACTAAATGTACTGTTGGACGGTTTGTCAGGTGGCCCTGACTTCTTCATGCTAGAGATTTTCCCTTCTCTTAACTGCTTGTTCCACACTGTGTATATTGTATACATGTGTCTTTTTTAAGCAGAAAGAGCTCAAATATTTTGTTCTACTTTTGTAATGAAAGTGCTCTGATCCCAAAAGGAGACTTGTCCAGTTCCCTGCCAGCTTCCTTGAGATATTAGAAGCCCTGGTTAATACAGTGGCTAGTTACTGCCCTACTAATTCCAAGGCAGCTACCACCGTGGTCTACATGCACTGGGGTACATGGATACGATTTGCAAAAGGCAGGGGGTGGAGGATCATTGCTCTGGTCATCTTTTAGTCAGGCTTAAACAGTCATATTGGTATGAAAATGACTGCTTGTCTTTATTATTCCCAGAAACATGATCTTCATCGTTTGGAGGAGGGTCCTCCCACCACAGCTGTACTGACTCGAGAGCAGGGTCTACAATACTACAAGACTATGCAGACTATCCGGCGCATGGAATTGAAAGCAGACCAGTTATATAAACAGAAAATTATTCGAGGCTTTTGTCATTTATATGATGGTCAGGTGGGTGGCTGAGCTGAGAGGCCTTTTTAAGACTTCATTAGGCAAGCCCTTGCTTGCATATTGTAGGAAGTCTGCTAATGGTTGTGCATCTGCTAATAGGACGTTGCCAGCTTTTCTGTTTGTTCTGCTAGTATAATGTTGGATATAACTTAGTCTAATGAAGTAGGAAACTTTAAAAAATGCTTAATACACATGTGCGGTGATTTATGGCTTGCAATTTGTTCATAGTAATGAGAAAAAGAATATTTTACTGTAAATAGGAGACCCATTTTAGCCAGGCTTAAAGACCCAGTTTTCCTAGTCCTGGCTAGTGTTTCCGGTCATTTCATCTGCTCTCAGTGGGGGCCATTATAGTTCCTGAAGGAGTATATTCCATAGTTTGGGAAAAAATAAAGGGAAAAAAGCCTTTCACATCTCTCTCATTTTGTGCTTCTTCATATTAGTACTTCATGTGCAAAATTGCATCCTGTAAAGACCACTTTTCCTAACTTGGTAGCATCTAGATGCTTTAGACTACAGCTTCCAACTTTCTTGACCACTGGCTATGATGACTGAGTCTGATGGGGGTGAAAGTCCAAAATATCTGGAAGGCACCAGGTGGGAGAAGGCTGCTATGAGATTTCCAAAGATTAAAATCTTTCAGAGAGGCAGAGCTCTGGTGATCTTCCATTAATATTATTGTCTTCTAGTCCTAGTCAGCAAGATAGTATACCTCACACATTTATTATGGCCACCATTTGACTGTGGCATCATGCAATATTCTAGAGGTGTGTGTGCAGTGACTAAAATTTTCCATAGGTAGACTAGAGCAGTGCTAAAGCTTTTGCCTGAACATGTGAAGGTTTGAAATGTGTACAGGTGTGGCTGAGCATGCTGGCCCTGTTCCCTGTATCTGTAGGCACACTGCTTTGTCCGTTCAGGCATTGCAGTGTTGAATAGACAAGGCCAGAATGGCAGCATTCACCTCAGTGCGGAGAGAATCATACAGACTCTGCTTATCATAGTTACCAGTAGCAAGGCAAGTTGTGCTCATGCTGAAGTGAATACAAGTAGAACTCCATTTCAGACTTTGCCTTTTCACCATGCTGTGGGGAGTGGGGCTGGTGTGCCTGAAGACATAGGGGGCAGGGCCAGCATGGACAACCCCAGCTCACTGTGCACTTTAAGCCCTTCCCCACACCTTTGGGCAAACATCTGAATGGGCCTAATGTTTCTCCTCAGAAATATTGTAGAATTTTTCATCCCTTGCATTTGTATAATACTTTTATATCTTTCCAGTGGATGATGTACACCTTGAGGCTTATTTTCTTTACTATAGGAAGCTTGCTGTGTTGGACTGGAGGCTGCCGTAAATCGAACTGATCACTTGATCACTGCCTACCGGGTACATGGCTTTACATACACTCGTGGTGTTTCAGTTCGAGAAATACTTGCTGAGCTTACAGGTTTGTGTTCAGTAAAATAATATGTAAATTAGAGTGCAATGGCTAAATGTAAGAGGCTTAGGCTCCAGTTTCTTTTCACCCATGAAATCCTAGCTTAATTCCCTTGGTGTGACTTTAGTGAATTTATAGATGAAATCTGCCAGTATTTCATGGTGTTCAGTGCTTTTTCATTCATGAATATTCAGCTGTAGAGCCCCTCTAAAATTGCAACAATAGCATGACATGTTTTCTGCTGCAAATATGCCCTCTCATAAGAATTTCTATTTGTTGCCAAAAAGAAGGTTTCTGCACATCATTCCATAATCTTAACATCTATCTGATTAGTGAGGAAGAGACATGGTAGGCAGAGAAGAGCCTTTTCTTGTTCATATAGACTTTAATGGGCACCAAACGAAATGTATAAGATCTGTTTTTAACTATTTTTAGGCCGGAAAGGTGGATGCGCTAAAGGCAAAGGAGGTTCAATGCACATGTATGCCAAAAACTTCTATGGTGGTAATGGTATTGTTGGTGCTCAGGTAAGGCTCACTAATAAAAATTATCTGGAAGGAGGGTTAGATATAGCTTCTAATCTATCGTATAACGCAGTACAGAGAGTTCTGGATGCCCTGTTGTGGCCCTAGTCTTTTAGTATTTATACAGTTTTACCCTATTAATTTGCTACTTGTCACTCACCTTTTGGCATTCCTTAAACTGAATATTTAGACACATTTCCACCCAACCTTTGTTCTTTAAGGCTTGCCAGTCCTGTAAGCTGATCTTTGTTGGAGAAAGATGAGTAACTTATGACCCTGTTAATTCTTCTGAAACTTTCCACTAGGACAGTATCATTGACCCTAATATTCTTCTGCACTGAATAGGATGAGAACTGAAGAGCATAGTACTCAGTGGTTCTCTTCCTAAGGGCAATAACCAATGAAGACTAGCCACACCTGTCCAGTCTTACCTCTTCTGTTGGACAGAGCAACCCCCAGTATTGGGGGGTTATTTAACATTTCCAAAGGCCACCTGAAATAAGCAGAAAGGGGCAGGTTGGCAGAATTCACATCAGATTGCTCTACCAGTCCCCTTTGAGAAACAACTGTTTCTGCACATGGTGGACATGTTGTGAGCGGAGCTGGCTGGTGCCAGTGGTCAGACTAGATGGCCCGGGAGGCCACTTCTGACTCGCGCTGTTTCTATGCTTGCTTCATGGTATGCCCCTGGAAGCACTGAATGACCATTGTGCCTAATGGAAATGGTAGGGTTGGCTGTGTGTAGAACGAAATAGTGGTAGGCTCTTTGCACGGAAGACTGGATCCTCTCTTAAGTGTTCTCTTACAGCACAATAGTTACTGCCAGCTGCATGTTGTTACCATTTCAGAAAATTGTCTTGTTTAACTAGTCCCCATTGTACACTTATTGTAGGTCCCTTTGGGAGCTGGTATTGCTTTGGCATGCAAGTACTTCGGCAAAGATGAGATCTGTCTAACATTGTATGGTGATGGTGCAGCCAATCAGGTAATTTTTAAGGTTTACTCTGTGTCGTTAGAAATTAAATCTAATTAGAGTCATAATGGGGAAAATACTCGTTCTTTGATGCATACGCAATGTTTCTGAACCTGGATGATTATAAGTGCAGGGTTCTAGACCTACAAATGTCATGTTTCTGTACGGAAGCTTGTGTATGTTTTAGTACTGTAGACAGCTGGTGTATGCAGGAGTCTCTTCCCAAGAGATCCTACCCATGCTACCATGGTAGCATTTAGAGGCAAGAATTTTACAGATGGATACAATGTTGTGATTCCATCTTACTTGAATGTCACTGCAACCTTTCTGTTTTGCACTACCATGGCCACGTGAGAGCATTAGGCAGGCAGTAGAATTAAGGATTTCCAGTGCCCAATGTCCCTTTCTTCTTCCTCCCCACCTTTCCATGTTAGTGACAGCATGTTCAAGCCTGTCAGCTAAGATGCAGCTATGAGTTACAAATACATGTCACTGAAGAGATGGGGAGCACATCAACTTCTCTTCATCTGAGAATGTAGGTATGTGTATGTACTGTTTGCTTCCTTACCTGTTCTCTCGATAGCTGTGAGTGGAAGAGTTCAGCCATCTCCCACAGCTCTTGGAAGGTAAAGTTTGTGGCAGGCATGTGCTCCTGCCATACATGTTCAGGAAAGTAGAGAAGTTGGTAGATGCAGCATTGTTCCCATATATTGGATGAAGTATGACTTACTCATTCAATAACTCCTCTTGGTGTTTCCAGAAAGAGACCTAAGGATTACTGCTAAGTATACAAGATAGAATATGGTGACTTGGTGGAAGTATTACACTAAGACACTGTTTAATTGTATGTGAGTAGAAAAACTAAGTTCATGTTTAACATTGGGAGTAGCTGAATTTATCAGGAGAAACACTTTCTGTGTATGTAGTACAAGTTCATGACCAGATGAGAGAGTGGAAGATAACTGAAAATACACCAAACCGTTTTTCTTCCAGGGTCAGATATTTGAAACATTTAACATGGCAGCCTTGTGGAAGTTGCCTTGCATTTTCATTTGTGAGAACAACAGATACGGAATGGGTACTTCGGTAGAGAGAGCTGCTGCCAGTACAGACTACTACAAGAGGGGAGATTTTATTCCAGGTCTTAGGGTAAGAATAATTTTTAATACTTTCCATCTTTAAAAAAAAAACCAGAAATACACATTTGAAGTACTCTTTTAAACTTCCAGGTGGATGGCATGGATGTTCTTGCTGTAAGGGAAGCAACAAAGTTTGCCGCTGACTACTGCAGATCAGGAAAAGTAAGTTCCAGTTTGGTTGTGTGCTGGTTTTGCCTCTATATCAAATTATGCAAGTGTAGCTAAAGTTTTGCAGTTGAACAGAGTATTCACTTTTGAAAAAATATGTCTGAACTAAAGCACAAACTTTAGGTGGTGCTCCTAGCACTGTAGTAATTTGTGAACCCCAAAATAGTCTTATACATTGCATTATATCCTGCCTTTTTTCTTCTTGTGAAGGGCCCAAGGTAGTTCATGTAGCTCCATTTTATCCTCACAACAACCACCTTATGAGATAAACTAGGCTAACAGTGAGTGGCTGGCTCCAAGTCTCCCACTGAGCTTCATGGCTGAGTGGGGATAACTTGACCCACAGAGTTGATCCAGGAAAATCAGTGGTCAACGATACCACAAACTTTTGTTGTTAATTTTACTTGAGAGATCAAGTAAAATTAACAACATTGCATTCCCTCAGTCCCTCTCTCAATAAAAGTCACCCAAGCAGGGGGACTGACGCTGAATCAGTCCAAATCCAGGTTGAAAGCCAGACTGAAATGGGTCTAGCTAATGTATTTCTTATTAAAACAGTACCCAAGGACAAGTAAACTTATCAATGGATGTGCACAAGAAGAGTAGATAAGAATGGATTTAAAAATAAATCAGATTTTACTTTTTTTAAAGTTAACTGATAAGTTTCTCTGAAATAACTAGGTTAATACTAAATGTAGATATAAGCATGTTTGCCCTACTGAATCAGTGCATCGCCCAGATACACTGAATCAAAGAACTGTCAGAGCTTACTGTTTTCAAAGTTGTTAAAGCTTTTGAATCATTTTACCAGGGTCCCATTGTGATGGAGCTACAGACATATCGTTACCATGGACATAGTATGAGTGATCCTGGAATCAGGTATAATACTTCTCTCCACTCTTCAAATACTGCACTTAAAGTAGTTTCTTGTCCTCGTTGGCGCATGAAGATGTTTGGGAAAAAAAATTCTAATTGACCATTTTCTATTTAAATCCTTTTGCATCTTCTCATTAAATATAATTGCAGTCTGCCACTAGGAACAAATACAAGTTTCAGGCATAGATCCTTTCTCTTTTGTAGAGAAGATTAGAAGTTTCTTAACCTGTATAGCTGCAGACCAAAAGTTGTTACGACTGTGGCAGAATAGGTGTTCTTGAGCCATACTTGGTGACTGATCTGGGATTCTGATCAGAAACAAGCCCATACCCTGTCCCTTAAACTGCACATAGCTGATGATTCTGTCATGTCTTTGGATCAAGTACAGCAGGCTAAAATATTCAAAGAAAAATGTCTTGCTTATTAATGGGAACCAACCCACAACAATGTTCTGCATGAATCACTAAGTATGTGTTTTTGGAGGGCAGATTGTTCTAACTAAAAGTAAATCTTTTATTTTAAGAGTAAATTGTGCCTTCTATTTGTATAAAAAGTATACAAAACTTATCAGAAATTTAGGAAACACTCTTGTCCTTTATTTCCTTCCTGGATCATACGCACTACTTGTTCTGTTGGCTTATTTGCCCCATTGAAGACTGTAACCAAGAGCACCAGCTTGTGTATTAAAGAGTTGCAGGAGTTGCTTCTGGGGAGTTTCCTGTGTAATGATTCCTACAGCATATATGACTTGCACTGAATTACTGTTCGAATAAGGAGTATTGGCTTGCCTTTTTTGTAGTTACCGAACAAGGGAAGAAATTCAGGAAGTGAGAAGCAAAAGTGACCCCATCACTCTTCTGAAGGACAGAATGGTGGACAACAATTTAGCTAGTGTGGAAGAGCTAAAGGTAATAAGCCTTCGTTCTAAAGTTAATGGGAACATTTTGCATAGGTTAACTAATTTTCTAAGAAATTATTAACCCAAAATATAGCAAATTACTGTAAACCAGAGCTCCTTTAAGACAATTTTTGTGTAGGATAAAATTGTCATGTGAAACATAGCATTTTCCTCTTCCTTTGACTTTGATTTGTCACATTAATACCCTGCTTTCTGCTGTGAAGAGCTCAAGCCTGCATTAAATGTGAGATCCCACTCAGATTACACGGAGAACAGTTCTGAACTAGTCCGTGCAGCAGAAGCTTTAGGAGCAGGAATAGCAGCTATGGGCTGGGTACTCTCATACTCTTCTGACACTATCTTCCTTATAGTTGCTACTACTTTTTGAATAGTTATGGTCAGTTGCCAAAGTGGAATTAAAAAACTTTGTATATTCTCTGATTATGATCTATCATACATATTTCTGCAAGTATAGGAACAGCTGTGGATTAGCTTCCTGCTATCTATTGAAATCTATAGTAGCATGCATATGTCAAAAAACTCTTCTACAGTGTCTGATAATATACAAGTTCTAATACTTGCTTGGTTGTCAGCAAAATGCGTTTTCCTGTGGTGATCTGCTAATTTGAGATTCCTGTTAATCAGGATTTCATCTCAAGATGGGCACATGTTCCTAAAAACATAATGCCAATTAATTTGATGTGGCTTGAAATTGCTTTACCTGTGTTAGAATCCTCTTATATCTACAAGTGAAGCCATCGGGTGTTCACTTAAAGGAATACTGATTGATCTATAAGGATTTAGAAGGGGATTTCTTTTTCCCTTGACATTTTCCCCATTTCGTCTAGGAGATCGATGTGGAAGTAAGGAAAGAGATTGAAGATGCAGCCCAGTTTGCTACAACTGACCCTGAACCATCCCTGGAAGAACTGGGCAGTCATATATATTATAAGGAGCCGCCCTTTGAGGTGCGTGGCCCAAATCAGTGGATTAGGTACAAATCTGTTGGTTAAGCAAGGTCTTAATCCAACAGCTAGTTAAAATGGATGGATTTTTTTTACTGGTGTTTAACTCTTGCATCTGTTCATTTGACAGCAAAATAGACATTTTATTTGTGTATAGGATGTGGGGCAGGAAGGAAATTCTATCACACAGCAATCTGAAAGACAGCTGCATAAGAAGGAATGAATTAATGTTTATTAATTTATATAATCTTCAAGGTGTTCTAAATTGCTGTATTTATGAAAATTATTCAGCTAAAATTGTGTTATGTACAGTAAAAATTGCATATTAAAATTTCCTGAACAGTCATTTCCCATGGATTTTATGTACTTCTCCAGTTTCCCCCTACACGATACCCAAAAGGGGGAAAAAAACTGCTTTCAGTGCATCTATATTTAACCTTTTTAAATATATATTTTCATTAAATATACCAAAGTTTATTGTACTAGCCAAAAGCCATGACAACATTAAATATGTAATTATTTCTCCTTGCTTGGAATCTTTGTACAATTTTACTTGTTTCTGGGGTTTAAGTAATTCTTTATAAAACCAAACTAATGTTCACATTACTCTGAATATAGCAGAGACCCGCCAAAACAGTTCTAAAAGCAGCCAGTATGTCAACAACTGTAACATGTTTACATTGAGTGCTTAAAGTGCATAAGCTAAATTTTAGATCTATCTATCTATAAAGCAAACATTTTTTCAGGTACTGTAATATTTACATATCTGAAAACAATTTCATTATTAAAATCAGTGTATAATTTAGTATGTTTAAATATTATAGCAAAATGGACTACTTACAAAAGAAAATTCATAAAACATTCTATTTATGAAGGCACTGCGATCCGCCTATTCTTTAATATAACACTTCTGAAGAAAGCCTGTTTATCTGTCTTTTGTGCAAACCGTGCAGGACCAGCATACAGACAGTGTGTGCAAAAGTTAATGACTTAGTTGGAATGTGTTCTCATTTTTTTCAACTCATCAGCACCTAGCAGAATTGAAGTGCTAACCTTCCGTTTCCAGAAGTGTGGCATTCAGTTTTCTGTGTTTTAAGACTGCGTTCCAAATTCGGCAGAGAAGGCCACCACTGTATGGGGAATAAAGAAAAAGAGTTTCAAAACCATATAGGAAAGCAGCTACTTCTAAAAACGTGTGATCATATTCTTACCGGAGTCTAAGGAATCTCAAGTCATCTTTACTGATGTTGTTTAGAACATCACTGAGTGTATAATCTTCTTCTACAAACTGGAAGAAAAATCATTTCAGTTTGCTTAATGCTAGTGAATGTAATTGATTAAAGAGATGAGAAAATCTTGAATTTGATCTTACCCTATCAATCGCATCTGAATCAGCTCTTTGTTGTTTTAACCACTTGATGAGTTCTTCATCTACACTATGCTCAAGAACAGATCGTGATGGTTGAATATCTACAACAATTCAGTATATTAAAAAGGCTATCAAGATTGCATGTTCACCCTAAATTTTGATTAAAAAAAAATCTTGGCTGCGTATGTGTTTTTCAGTTACCACATATAATGAACCTGCAGGGACCTGATTTGGATATTACAACATCTATCTGTTTGCTAGCACAGGTTAGTTGTTGGGTTGCGTGAACAGCAGGCGCTTCACCAACAAGTCATTCAGTGCCAAGGAGCTGTTCTAGGAGTCTTGCCACCCATGATGGGTAGTTGTGTCTCAGATGAACTCACATGGCACAGCCTACTTTGGGCAAGCCAAGGAGCCTCTCAACAAAAATAGTCAAAATTCCACACTAGTCTTGACTAGTAGTTCCCAAATGAGCACAAATGATAGCAGTCTCCTAAATGTCCACCCGGCAGAAGTTGTACGCTGCCCACGACGGCCAGGCTTTGTTGCTACTTGCTGGTAGCTGGACAGCTCCCCTGCTAAGGATGGCTGGGAAGTGATGTGGTGCAGTCTTGGGGCAGCTCAGGCATTCTTTACTCCTGCTTGAGAGCTCTGCTTTTGGTCCCCATTCTGCTTGTTGCGCTAGGGCAGGGGCCCTGTTTGTACTATGGGAATAAAAAAGAAAAAAAAGTGTTCCTGTAGTAGAAATAGGGCTCCTGCCCTTAAGTACAATAGAAAGCAATTTCTAGCCTCGGCAAACTGCAAAAAGGCTGTTAAAGCATCTTGTCTCCTGCATATTGTCCTGCCTATGGCTGGAAGTTTCTTCTGTTGTGTTTCAGGGCAGGAGTGATGGATCAGAAACTCTCTCACAGCTGCAGTGAGCGGAAACAAGCTCCTTACTATGGCTAAAAAAGAGAGAGCAGCTTCATTACTCCTCAAGCTGTCCCCTTGGATGTTGCCTGGAGGAAGTGGGAGGGAGGACAGAAGGGAGGGAGCAAAGTACCCATTATGACCCCAGTTGTCTGTCTGCTGGTTGTATTTCACAAATCCAGCTCACAAGGCATTGTTGTGTCCTGTAGCTCAGCCGATAACTTCCATTCTTGTACATACCACTGGTTTCCAACTGTAGCTGAAGGAGGTGCAGCTCCTGATTTTTTTGCTCCAACATTTGTCGTAGAAGTGTTTGATATTCTCTCTCCCTCTGTACTAGGCTTTCCAGTAACCTATTAAATATATTAAGAGTCAGACTTCGTGTGGCATACATTTCCTTCCGCCACTGCCCCAAATAGTAAATCCATAATACATGTTTGTTTGCAAGGAATCAGTTTTGAGAGTGTGCTGGTTATTTATACAGTCATAAGTAGATATACCTATTCATACCAATTTGCTGTACAAGAATTTGACATATTGGAATGGGGAGATGACCAGGGCCGTAGACACGATCGCTCCTAAGCGTCCTCTCCTGAATCTGCCTTGGTCGCCCTGTATGATGACCTGTGCAGGGAGAAGGACAGGGGGAGTGCGTCCCTGTTGGTTCTGCTGGACCTCTCAGCGGCTTTCGATACCATCAACCATGGTATCCTTCTGGATAGGCTTGCGGGATTGGGGGTTGGAGGCACTGCTTTGCAGTGGTTCCGCTCCTATCTCAATGGCCGGTTCCAGAAGGTGGTGCTGGGGGACTATGGCTCTGCGCCATGGCAGCTATGCCATGGAGTACCGCAGGGGTCCATTTTGTCCCCTTTGCTGTTCAACATATACATGAAACCGCTGGGAGAGGTCATCAGGAGGTGTGGGCTGCGGAACCATCAGTACGCTGATGATACCCAGCTCTACCTCTCGTTTTCCACCAATCCAGGTGAGGCAGTGGCTGTGCTGAACCGGTGCCTGGCCGAGGTAATGGGCTGGATGAGGGCCAATAAACTGAAGCTCAATCCAGACAAGACGGAGGTCCTGTTGGTTGGCGGATCGGGCTTTGGAGAGGGTGAATTGAACCTTGTCCTGAATGGGGTTGCACTCCCTCTTAGGGACAAGGTCCGCAGCTTGGGAGTGCTCCTCGACCCAGAACTTTCACTGGAAGCTCAGGTAACAGCAGTGGCGAGGAGCGCTTTCCTCCAGCTTCGGCTAATTCATCAGCTGCGCCCCTATCTGGAGAATGACTGCCTTGTGACAGTGACACATGCGTTGGTGACTTCCCGTCTGGACTTCTGTAACGCGCTCTACGTGGGGCTGCCCTTGAAGACGGTCCGGATACTTCAATTGGTCCAAAATAGAGCTGCCAGGCTGCTGACGGGGACTGGACGTTATGTTCACATGACTCCAGTTCTCCGTCAGCTTCACTGGCTTCCCATTGAAGTCCGGGCCCAATTCAAGGTGTTGGTAATGACCTATAAAGCCCTAAACGGCTTGGGTCCTGGTTACCTGAAGGAGCGCTTACATCCTTATATGCCCAGCCGCCCCTTGAGATCGGCGGGAGAGGCCCTTCTCCGGGAGCCCTCCATGGAAGAAGTTAGGAGGGTGGTTACTCGGAGGAGGGCTTTCTCAGCGGTGGCGCCTAAGTTATGGAATGCGCTCCCCAGAGAGGTCCGCCTGGCGCCGTCGTTATTTGTTTTTTGGCGCCAGGCGAAGACCTTTTTATTTAAGCAGTATTTTAAATGTTAATATTATTGAATTTTATTTGGCCAGGGCGGCTTGTTTTATAGTGTATGTTTTATATTATATATTTGTATTTTATTGTATATATTTTAAAATGTTATTTTAATTTTTTGTTGTAAGCCGCCCCGAAGCTTCGGCGAATGGGGCGGCATAAAAATGTTTTAATAAATAAATAAATAAATAAAATATCTGAAAGCCCTATAGGAGGCCACAATCCATACTGTTTAGCTTACTTCGAACTGTACCCTCATCTGGGAATTAAGAGCTACTCAATAGTCATGATTTTTAAAAACTACTTTCTAGTTTAGGTTTCTCTACCAGAAAAGTTCTGCATTTCTACTTAGTTCTGGCTTGCCTGGAATTTTTTGATAAGAATTTTGTGGCTGAAGACTAGCATATTACTGGATCCTCCTGTAGCAACAGATTAAATGCTGCCAAGACTAAGATAGGAATGTAAACACTGGCTATGTTCATACACAAGGCTATGCAATGCCATATGGTTACCACATGGCTTGGTATCACCAGGTGCCTTGGATTTACAGTCATGTGGTTGCCACATGTGCATGGTTTCCATGCTTCTCCATCTTCTAAATAACAGCATGTATCCCATGAACCCCTTGGATTAATCTCAGGATATACTTGTGCTTGAAAGCAGTTTATGCACACCACAGATGATCAGGAAAATAAATGGGAAGTTCAAGCACACTTTAAAAAAAGAGCACATACACATCCAGAGGAGTTGTTTACCTGTTTGTTTCCTGCTTTAGCTTGCTCAACTGCAAACTAAGCTGTTGCTGAGCATCAGGAGATGCACAGGATGAGAGTAAGCATACTCCAGATGTAATAACTGATTCATGTCTTTTTGGCTCACTTTGCTGGTAATCTTCCTCTACTTCATCTGTATCCTTCTCTACTCCTTCAGTCTCTGATGCTGGTTCAAAGTGAGCCCGTAGTTCTGCACAAAGCAGAGAATTATAAAGGTTACAAATTTCTTGCTTTTAGTACAACAGATCATTTGGTTAGCAAATGCTTTTTCTGAATAAGTGTGCATGTCTGTCTGTGCAGCTGCTTTCTGAGGACATGCTAGGCCCATGTCGGGAAATACGGTTGCCTAAGAGAGATCATTTAAAAAAAGACAAATGTGAAAGCTATATTAGAAGCAGAGATAGAAGAGATCATAAAGTTTATCTGGCTGAAGGATTTGGAGATGCAGGAAATTTGCAATTGCAGTATAGGTAGGCATCCAGGCTCTGCTTAAAAATCTCTAATAAAGGAAAGACTTTTTTTTTTAAACATTTTTATGCCGCCCCATTCGCCGAAGCCTCGGGGCGGCTTACAACAATAGACTTGCCTTCTAAGGAACTGTTAAACAGGTTATGTCATATGGAAACTTCCTAATGTTGAGTCTAAATCTGTTTTGTTTTTGGTCATTGTTTTGGGTTCTACCCTCTGAAGCAAAAGTAACTAAATTTGCTTCATCTACATACATAACATCCCTTCCTATCACCTTTTGCTTTCCTATTGCCTCTTAATCATTTCTTCTCAAGGCTAAATGTACCCAATTCCTTCAACCTTTTGTCCTCCTGGAACTTGGTCTCCTGGCCTGTCCCCATTATTTTTGCCCTCTTCTGGATACATACAGTTTGTCAACATTGTTTCTGAACTGCAGTCCCAGGACAGGACAGAAAACTCCAGATGAAGTCTTGCTGAAGCGGAACAGAGCAGCATCATTACATGTTGTTACCTGGCCAATACAGTTTTGTTGCTGCAACTTAGAATTATATTAGCCTTTGCAGATACTACCTTTCATTGCTGACTCAGGTTTACATTTTAAAACTTAACCTGAAAATTAATTTGATAACTTGAAAATGCAGCTAGCTAAATTGAAACCATCAGAAAATTTCCCACTTTCATTCCCAACTGTGTGCACACTTATTTCCATTCTTTGTAATACAGTTTTATTGCACCATACTTGCAAATAGTGGGATAGGGAAACAGTTCACTTCTGAAAGTTAATAAACCCTTTTTTCAGATACTATGACACACTAACAGAATCTCAGCTTAACTTTTGGATGGAATTCAAAACCCAGGATCAATTTATTAACTGAGTGCTTCAAATGATTTATTTTTAGAGCTTCCAGAATAAAGAACTACCTGCTAGTTTGCATGCAATTAACTGAAGGCCTAAGTTTCATGAGATGCATGATTGGATTTTCCATACTTCATTTTTACTTCACAGTTGGTGCTGAATTTGGTCAAAGTGTTTGGCCTACTGAAAGTGTACCTACTGCCCACCCTGATTTCTGTAGTAGCGGGAAAAACCTACTACAGGGCTAAAAGCAGCTTTTGGAATGGTGTGGGGGGAGATGTAAATAGAAAAATGGCCATGTCCCTCTTCTGCCTTGATTGATTTTGGAGGCCCTAAGCCTGCATCTAAAGTAAAAATAAAACTACTGGAAAATCTGATAGTGGCTATCTTGAAGAAAACATAGTTTGGCCCACTTCATAGTCACATGAACAGAGGCCAGAACTGAATAGCTTGTTTAAAAATACACTTGGTGTTCTATCTGCATATGGAAGTAAACAGCACATGCTAAAGAAAGATGCATATGCCTTGATGATTTAAAACTAAATAAGCCAGTCAATCAACAAGTCTATCAAATTCCAGAGTGACAGAAGTACTTTATTGGAGGCAGATACTATCAACCCTGAAAGAATGTTTCTGAATTTCTGAATGAACAGTTCTCATGATTCCAGATACTGCCTTTCCATCGTAATTGCTGGTGGGAGAGGGATTTTGGAATGAGTTTAACATGACAGGAGACAAACAAGATTTCACACACAGGTGCTAAAATTAGACTAGCTGCCACCATCCCATCTCTCTCTTTTTACCCTGGCCCAGAGCTGCAGGGGTTCTAAACCTTGCTGAATTAGAGGGGAGTGAGTTAAATTATTTATTTTTAGAGCTTCCAGAATAAAGAACTATCTGCCTTCAGGAAGCCCATCTTCTGCATAAGTCACTGTTCTGGCTGCATGCTTCTATTCAGGGCAAATACGTTAGTTATCACACAGCTTTGCTTAGGACTGACTAAAAAACCAAATCACAGAGATGAACCAGAATTTCCTGTGCAAATGGGAGGCTGGAGTAGGGAGAGGAAGGGCCACATGAACATTAAGCGCTTTCTCAGTGTGTGTGTGTGTGTGTTTTAAATTCATCTAGTATACTACTACAATTCACAGTGCAATCAATATGGGTAGTTGCACATCACACACTTCATACTTGACTGCTCTACTTTTACTTACCTGGAATGAGAATAGTGACAGCGGCTTGAACGGCACGTCGTATTATATTATCCATAGCAAACATCCAATGAGGCCTAATTAAATGATTTCTTAGTATTTTGTTAACCTATAATGAAAGATTCAAATAAAATAGCATCATTTTAGTATAATTTTGTTATCCTGGGATAACACAAATCCTCGGATTAACATTCTGAGATGCAGCTGAGGTTACATTAACACTTCAAAAATAAAATTTCCGAGACACAATCTAAATGTCAACATTCTAAAGTAAAAGAACAGTTCCACAAGCAGGACCCCACAACAGAGAAAGCTCTTTTCTTAATTGTCATATACGAGCAAAGGGCACTTACGAAGAACCTTCCCACAGCAGATAAGGAAATTGGAGTTGTGACTGCCAAACAGGTCAGTAGCTACCACATATTCAATAATTCCTTTCTTCTCACTGCTTCCCAAGAACTATATAATCCCAATGTTACCTCTTTAAATGGCTACAGGTCATTAAAAGGCACTCATTGGCTATGGTGAAGTACATAAAACCTGCCTGGCCCATGAGAACTAGGGATAATATATGTGACTGTCATTTCCAAGAGCAGGACATTTATCCCTTCCCATTTCCCAAATACTTTGATGGAACGTACTGCATCTTGAAATCCAAACAAAACTAGCTGAATCTGATTGATGGAAGTGCTGTCAAAGTCCAGGTCAACTTTCAGCTTTGATATAGTTGATGCCATAACTCTGTGTTCAGGAGAGCGTATGAAATCTCTTAAAATCCCAATTATCTGCTTGATGTGAGTAACTGAAAGATGCAGTTCTTCAGAACTCTGAAAAAAAGATGAATATGCAAGATCAAAAAACTCTCATCAGCAAACAGTGAATTCCATGGATGTAAGAGCCAGTTATCTTCGCAAACAACCAGTAATCTTGAATCACATCATTAAGTCATCAAACTTAATTGGAATGAGGTTTCATTTTAATAAGACCTGTGTGTTGGATTGTTTTTCATTTTATTTGTTTTGCTTGTTTCCTTGTAATCCATATGTAGGCAAACAACACAGGCCCACAATAGATAAATGATTCCCATGCTTGGCCAGTACTGGGGAAACCTAGCATGCTGTGAGATGGGATATTGTATCCATTGTGCTAGGAGTGCGAACAGCTGCTTTGAGTGTTCATTCTGAAGGACTGCTGGCTGGGCTTCATCAGAATCAGAATTGGAGTGTGAAACAGATCAAAGAGGATCTGGGGAGGATGGGCCAAGCCATGATACTGAGATGTAGCCATGATACTGAGATGCAGATAGGCAGGCAGGCAGTTCCTAGCAATATTCAAGATATATAACAGGTGGAAGGCAACTATGAACATGGGAGTTTCACAAATAAGAGGTGGGAAGCCCAATCAGCTGGTTGGTGTGTGGACAGGAGAAACACTCACTTTCAGAAGGACCCTCCCGAAGGCCCAGGCATGCTCATAAGGAGGGTTCCTGGAAGCAAATAGTTGATTGGGTTCAGCAAACTGCTCTGTGCATGCTCAGAGAATTGTTCTGGGTGATTTCTGCTTTTTGGGTCAATAAAGCATGCTTTCCAAAGAAAAAGGTCTGTGAAGGAGGAACCTTGGCTCACGACACCCTGAAATGTTGATCAGCCATGTTGGATAGTTATCACCCTATGCATGCCAGACCAGAGAATTCCTATGCAACACTCTGATCTCTTTTCTGTCAATGCAGGCTGGGGGCTAAAGCAAAGGTAAGTTTAAGCAAGGAATATAGATGCACCAGGATTCTGTTACACCTGACAAGATATGCAGCAGAATTCAAGAAATATCAGCATTGCTCAGAAAGCACAATCGCACCTAGAGATTGACTGATCCAAGGAAATGGTAAGATGCCGCAAAATGGCATTAGCTATGCTTTCCTGGTAGTTGGATGGAACATGCTATCTTTTGCTTTAGGAGCTGAGATGCTGTCTTTCTGAGCATAATGTACACCTAATTTTAATCCAGGGAAAATTGTTCTCTTTGTCTGAAGTTTGATAAGCTTCAGTTGGGCAACTTCAAACTATCCACTTCCTCACTTTGTATGACTTTCTAGTAATAATTAAAGTGATCCGAATTCTATGAAAATTGATGTACTAGTGATTCTCTTCAGCAGGTGTGACACTTTACTACACCTGAGAGAGAGCCATAGAAATGCAGACATCTGCGCCCTCATGAATGAGCACGTGCTACTCGTTTTAACCACAATCAACAGTAACCATGTGGTTATGGGTATTGCCATTTAATATTAAATCAAATAGCATTAACCATGGTTAAGGCAGAATGGGGATTTCTTTTCGGGAAAACATGGTTGCGACTTGGCACTCGGGAAAACATGGTTGCAACTTGGTCAGTTCATGATAAAAGCAGCAGAGGGCAGCTTTCCATCAGGCATGTCACAAGTACCTTGAACCATGCATTAAATTAGCTAGCAAGAGAGGGAGCAGATCTTGAGCTAATCAAAGCCCAGAAATGGTAAAAGGAAGTCATCCTAAAAAACTAGGAAAGACTCAGCATGGCTTAAAATAATCTTTCCATTTTACCCTGTGACAAAATATAGGAGGGGAGGAGGAGAAGGAGGGAATGTTTCCCCCAAAATCTGGGCAAGGATTCATGGTTCGCATTAGTGCTTATGTGTTTTTCCCACAGCGCTTTCGTGTCTTCTAAATGTCTTGTATTGCACTTTTTTGATTCAGAGCTATCATTCAAAGAATAAGTTCTTTCCTAATGATCAAATAAGCTCAAAGGAGTATTACCTGTGCTACACATTCCTGTAAATTGGAAGCAACTTGGTTCTGTTCCTCCTTGAGTATTTTATAAAGAATTGCACGACGTTCACTGTCCTTCCGTAGCAAGAAAAGACCAGAATCCCTTTCCTCAAGGGAGGGGGAAGTACTCCGCTCATCTGAAACGGTGCTGTCATCAGGAACGCTAGGCCAGAAAGTGACAACATTCACTACAAATTCAGGATAATCAAGTATGGTCATAAAGGATATGCATTTTTGAATCACTTCAAGGGAAGGGATGAGACATTGTCATTATATATAATGATCCACCGCAAACACAAAATTTTATGCAGCAGACATATTGATCTGGGTTTGTAAATCATGATAAATTCCTGCATTGCTTAACCCAGGAACTGGCTGGGCTTGTGGGTATGAGCAAGTGCCACCTCCCACCCACTTAGCACTTTCAAATAACAATCTGGATATGCCCTGAATGTGATGTGTAAACTCTAAAACAAACCATAGTTTAACCAAGGCATAGTTGCCTAACATCTAAACTAGTGGGCAAGGATCACTTGCTCTCATGTGCTCACAAACAACCCTAAGAAACTTCCAACTCACTATGGCCACTGAAACGAAGGCTGAGAAGAAAAGCAGCCATGCTTTTCTGCCCTTGACCACAGTGGTTTTCCAGCTGCTGTGCTTGCCTTTCTCTTCTTCATCCTCCCACAAGTGAAACCACTAACTTTACCATGGCCTCTTACATCCTTCTTTCCATGCCTAGCAAACCCTCTTCTCCTTTCCAGAATTTCCATCCATACCAGAGTGTCTGCTTTACACTCTCTCAAGGTTCTGTGTATGGCAGGATTCCTGCCACCCTCCTGCACCACAGAGTTCTCTGTTGCTGCTTAGGAAGTTTGGGCAAGCAAGAGGAAGGGCAGGACTGACCTTGGCTCTTGCAGATTGAACACCTCTTACGGACTTTTGAGTCATACAAGCTGTCCACAGCTAATCTACAGTAATTATACACATTAATCATAATGTGGAACACACTCATCTGAAGATGTGATGCTTCCTGTTTTCCCTGATCGGGCCTTTTAGTTTTTATGCAAGACTTATTGGCTACTTGAGGAAACCTAAAGAAACACAATTGATCCTTATGTAACCAATAGCATGATATATTTTACTTTGGGGAATGACCTTTCCTCTGTCAAACGTAAATGTGACTGCCTTTTCCTGCGAACCAGGATGAATTTTTGCACAAGTCAGTCTTTACCTTAGTAAAGGGGAAAAGGCATTCTTTGCCTGAACCTCTGACACAGAGCGCTTTGTCTTTTCAAAGAACAAGTCATGCTGCAAGTCAGAGTCTGGTGAGACTGAGCCATGTTCGCTGCTGCTGCTGCCAGCCTGTTCTCCTTGGACTGGCGGAGGAAGAGATGTGCTACGGTTATAATCTACAGCAAAAGAGAAAAGGCTGCATGTATAAACAAATCCACTCAGCTTTTAAGCAAATGGAACAACTGAACTAGAATTAAAAGAGCTTTGAAATTGCCAACCAATGCAATGAAACTACTGGATATACAAAATTTGCTAAACTCATAACTAAAATAATTTGTGTGGACTAATGCAAAATTATTTTCAATCTAACACCTGCAGTAGATCAAACCTCACTAGTACAATTCCTAGGAAGCAGGCTAAGAAGGACCTTGTCTCTGATCCCCAGCAACTGAATTATGCAGGAGTGCCAGCTGATAAAAATTACTACAAGCCCTGAGCTGCTGTAACCTTGGTTTTACAGCTGTTCCAACACAGCACAGAGGTTTATGTAAAGCTCTGCCATTTATGAAGCCATATCAGCACTTGATCAAAGCTTCCTTGTCGTAGAATCCATTTGCCCTTCTTTTTGGCACACAGCCTAAGAAAATTTACTGCGTTTAAGATGCTGGGTTAGTCCTACTTAAAACAGACTTCTTTAAGGTTTCTTCAGGGAAATGTACATGTGCATTTATCAAAGAAAGAACATGATGCCCTATTCAACTCAGTTATTTCTTGAATGTCTTGTGTGGACGAACGTGCATCAGGATCAATACTTTTCAGTGTTATGAATGCTGTGATTTTTGAAGACTCTGAGCAAGACATCCTCTATGGCAGTGAACCTTTTAGAGACTGAGTGCCCAAACTGCAACCCAAAACCCCCTTATTTATCACAAAGTGCCAACACTGCAATAAATCTGAAAACTGAGTTTTTAGTTTAGAAAAAACACCCCACAGCCAGTCCAAGCAAATATATATTTATAACCTCGGCAGCACACTGACTGGCCATGTGAAAGCTCGGACGAGTCACGGCTGATGAGTCTCAGCTTGTGACATCATCGCCTGGTGCCGCGATTCCTTTCTGAGCATGCGCATGGCCCCTATGTGCATTTTTATCCAATAATAGGCTGCTGGGGTGATGTCGGGATGACTTGGCTTGCATGCCAAGAGAGAAGGCTCTGCATGCCCGCTGTGGCACATGTGCCAGAGGTTCGCCACCACTGGCCTAACCCTACCCTACCCTACCCTAACCATAACATAGGGCTAAAGTTCCATTGAAAGGGGCGATTTTAAAAACGACGTCCTTGAGCAGCTTTTTCTGCACAGCTCATCATTTCTGCCCATTCTAAACACATTCCAACCACCAAAATCATACCAGGACACCTCATATTTCTAACCCTAAAATAGGGCTAAAGTTCCATTGAAAGGAGCGATTTTGAAAATGCCTTCCTTGAGTAGCTTTTTCTGCACAGCTCAACATTTCTGCCCATTCTAAACATCAAAATCATACCAGGACACCTCGTTTTTCTAACTCTAACCCGGTGATGGTGAACTTTTTAGAGACGGAGTGCCCAAACTGCAACCCAAAACCCCCTAATTTATCACAAAGTGCCAACACTGCAATAAAACCTGAAAAGTGAGGTTTTCGTTTTGAAAAAACACCTCACAGCCAGTCAAAGCAAATACACACACACACACACACACTTGGCAGTGCACTGACCGGCCATGCAAAAGCTTGGACAAGTCGCAACTAAAGAGTCATGGCTCATAACGTCATTGCCTGGCACCACCACACAGGATGCACATGGCCCCTATGTACGCTGTTATCCGATGCTCGGCTGCTGGGGCGATGCTGGGGTGCCCTGGCTCGTGTGCCGACAGAGAGGGCTCTGTATGCCTGCTGTGACATGCGTGCCATAGATTTGCCACCACTGCTTTATGGGCCCCCTCCCTTACCCTCCCCAGAAGCTGCCATAGCTTCTCATTCTCTTTCATGCTGCTACCACTCGCTTGGCTTGGCAGGCAGAGAGCAAGGCATTGGCACCTGCTGCTGCTGCTCCTCATGCCCTCTGTTGCCTGTGCCAGAATGAGCAGCAAGCAAGCAAGCCCATTGCAATGTTGAAGGAGAGCAATTCTGTCAGTGGCCCCATGTGCACTGTGACCCCGTGGCAGGTTCTCAACTCTGCTTGCCCTTTGACCAGCCTACTGCAGCTTACTGATTTCTCGGCATGCCTGGAATTACATAGAAGGATCTCTATTAACAGCTCTTTATGTAACAGTTGTGCCATAACTACTTTTGCAGATAATGCCTTACCTGAAGGCTTGAATGCAATTCTGTTTTTCTTGCCCTTATTCACGTGCTTCAAGAATTGGTCTTTCAGTAAATCAGATGCCGTGACCCGTTTATTTGGATCAGGTTCAAAGCAAAGCAAAATAAACGCTCTTGCTTCAGCACATAGTGATTCAGGGATTTCAGGGTGGATTTTAAACATTCCAACCTGCAAAAGAAAAGGCCAGGCTACATTATTTGAGAAAGTAAAACTAATTTGAAGTTATATTGTTCTTAGTGGTCTCTGTGCACCACATATCTGGGCTCTGTGCCTGCATGGAGCCTTCACTGGGAAGCTTCTATAGCAGCGTAATTTTGGGCAGGAACCCTCCCCCAGCATATAACGTGTATGATCCAGCAGGTTTCTGCCCATTCCTTCTTGGGACTGCCACTTTGATCTCAAGGAAAGTCATCTGATGGGCTGCAATTTGATGAAGCTCTTTAATTTGATGAACCTTCCTTCCTTCCTTCTTTTTCTTGCATGGCCCAAGGGCTTGTGGGCTTAAAGGCCCCATTCAGAAAGTGTGAACACTATCAAGGTAAAGTCCCTCTAATAGTCAGCCAGTCTTTGTGCCTTTTCTCCTCAGCAGATGCCCACATCATTGATTCTTGTGCCATTGTAGGCATTTATGAAACAAGCATGATGGAAGATGTTGGAAGAAGAAGAAACTTTAAAAAAAGCAAGCAAACAAACAAACCCTCAGATAAGATCACCTTCCAATGCACAGTTGCACCAGCAAGAGGAAGGCTTTCCACCCATGACTGGGCTTTACTTGTGGCCTGGGCCAAGCCTCTGATCCCAGGGAGTTCTCTCTTTGGCCACAAAGGCATTGGTGCCTAAGCTGGCCAAAAGGGCCTGGCACCAGTGAGCATAAGAAGAAAATGAAACGTAAGGGAGCCTCAGTGCCAGCCTCTTCAGTGTTGCGTCTCCCTCCATTTCACACTCACCACTGACTGCTGTCAGCATTAGCACCGACGAAGGAGCCACCCAAGGAAGAAATTAGAGACCCAAATCCTCCTCAGATTTGACAGATGGGTCCCTGAATTCCATCACAGATACCTACTGGGCACTGACATCGTGAACTTCCAAGCCCGACCCCGAAGACTTAGGGTAGAGGACTACAGGGACTGGCATCACTGCCCCCATTCACCCGTTTCAGATTGAGACGTAAGATCAGAATGGACAACACCTCCGTAGAATTCTTACTATTGGGATGATTGGTATTCATGTTTTCTAGCTTATGATCATTTCAGATACTTCAGCATGCCATGCTATGGTCACCCACTGCCCTTCCTTCTTAACCACCCTCAGGCTCCTCCTCCACCACCTCCTTGAATGACATCCTTGCAGTCCAAGCCTCTTTCCAGTACTCTCCATTGCCAGCTCCTAATCCACTGGTTCAAACCTTGTCTCTGCTGCCATCTCCCCACCATCTGAACCAGAAGATTATACACTGGATTCAGAGTCTTGTCTGTCAAGTACACCATCTATATTGTCCTTGGGTGCGATTATGAGAGCATTAGACTCAACCTCACTACCAGAGAATTTGCCCCATGTCTCCAACCAAATCCTCTGAATGGCTCAACCACCTGGCCTACAGACTAAGCAACCAAAGCAATGGACTGAGGACCCTTTATTTCATGCAGTATACCCCAAAGCCTCAACACTTGATTGTGTTCCTCACAATGTTATTGCAGATAGTCAAGAAGCTGTGGAAAGCGCCTTCCTGGATGAAACCCCATTTCAAAAGGCCTTGAGAATATGTATCAAAGCCAGGGAAAGGATGTAGCATTTCTATCTCTCTCCCACACCCAAATTCTATTGTAGTTGAGTCTTTCCCAGTTTAAATCCAGTGGGATTCATGCATTACTGGCTAACAGGGAGAGCCATTGACTAGATCCCACAGGCCACTGTATATCTCTTCCGCTGCTTTGGACCTCAAGGTGGACAACTATTAAGCCACCATGTCTTGGGGATAAGCTGTTCATTTGGGAGAACATAAGCTCTCTTTATGATTCCTTGCCTGAGGATGCAAAGGAATTTGCTTTATTATCCAAAATAACCCATAAAAATAATCTATAGTTTGTTCTTCGGTTATGAACTCTGGGCTGTGTAAAGTATGGATTGTTATTTTTTTGTGAAACAGCAGACAAGTCTTGCTTATCTCTGACTTTCCTGGGTTCTACTTTTCAGTGGGTTCAGACAGCACAATAACCCACACGAAAAGGTTTCTGTAGAGCACTGCCTAGTGAGGGTGGTGGTCTGAGTGTATTTGAAGATTCTCACTTGGAAGCAGTTAATGTTTTAATAGCTGGTGTAGTGAATCACCTATTTGCTCTTATGGTTCAGCATTTCTGATTCAGCCAGCACAAAGAACAGACTTCTCTGCTTTTGTAAATGTATAATGAGATCATTTGCATCAGTGGTCTAAATGCTCAACTATTTTAGCAAATGCATGGCTGTTATTTTAACCATTCACTTGCTGTTGTGGCACTCTGGCCAGCTTCAGTTCTATGCTCATTTTGCTTGTTTTTCCAAAACCTAGTTTGCATAGCTGTTTTTGCAGATAGAATAGGATATATGAAGGAATGTAGGTTATCTTTGTAGCATTTGCATGAGACATTGTGAAATACTAACTAAAGCCAATGCAGCCAGATCAGGGGGATCAAGGACTTAAGTCACTGTGAAGGGCTTAGCTCTAATTTAAAAAATATATAATCGGCTTATGTAAGCACACTTTACATACCAGTCACAGTAAAATACAGGATTTCAAAAGAAAAAAAAGAACAGCTACAGTCAAAGCATAACATAGGTCTAAAGAAAAATTAGAAAATCAGCACTATATTTCATTGTTATGAAACCATCCTGAAGAAAGCTCAGACAGTTTTTTATTTCAGAAGCACTTTCTGATCTAACCAGTCATAGTTTTATTGATCCAATTCTATTATTGCTTTTATCATGTTTTATTATTTTATATTTTTCATTTTTTAATCTCTCATCACACTGGAATCGCAATACTGATTAAGCAATGTGCGTGCATACGCGCATGCATGCGCACCTGTGTATGCATTTATAAATATTGAACATATTTCAATTTTATACATTGAATTGCTTATCTTTAAAATTTATATTCTAGCATAGTCCTTAATTTGTGTTCGACAGGGTTTTATGTTACAGAATCCTTCATAAGAAGGGTGTTCTCCAGTAAAATCAATCAAAGCAGCTTTCCCTCCAAGCTGTGGCTTCACTCACAAACTTCAGGGAGGTTTATGCTGCTTGCAGGCCAGACAGTGGGAATCCCAAATGTTACTCACTTTTTTGGCCTGATGGTGGCTCACCGGGTTAATGAATTTAATACCGTTCCTCCCCAGACTTTCCTTGTTTGACAGTGTCTCCTCTGAACATGAAGCGTTTCGGTTCTCAGCAGCTGCTTGACAAACCTTGCTTATGAACTGCCACATTTCTGTGCCACATTGCAACCCCCCTCTGTCTTCATCTAGTTCAAAGTCTGAGTCTAACTGGAGTCTTTCTAACTGGAAATGCTGTATTTTGAGAGAAACATTCCCCTATCTGGAAAGTTATTTTATCTGTAAACCATACCTAAGACTTGTATGAACCAAGCAAATAAATTTTTTGAATAGGGTCACTTGCCCTGTTAAGCCACTACTGGAATCAATAGAAACATAGACAATGGATTTTTGTTAGTGTCATGTCTTGGCATAACAGCACTTACTTTGAACATAGCTGCTTGTGGCTCCCCCAGTTCATGAAATGGAGGCTTTCCTGTTGCCATTTCAATGATAGTGCAGCCCAATGACCAAATATCAGCTGGTGCACCATATCCTCGAGGCCCCTTATCAATAATTTCTGGAGCCATATACTGCAAAGTACCTGAACTCATGAAAAAGAATACGCGCAAGTTACTCCGTTCATCATGGAAGAGATCACACTCTGCATTAGGCATTTTGTAAAATGGTATTTACAATGTAAGTGGACTTAGCAAATGAGGAAGTGCTATATCCAGCACCTCTTAGCTGCCAGACTGTGTCTCATCATAATTTTTCTAGATGACTGTCTCTGCTTATGTAACAGATTTCGAAAGGAAGGAAATACTTTTAGCCCATTTGACTGAAAAGACTGAAAAGCTTGTCCTTGATTGTGTTTTCCTGGTTTCTTTTATGCAGTTTGACTGCACAAATAGTAAACTGGATACAACAGTAATATGTTGGAAGGCTTACTAAGAAAAAAAATGGTACTAGATTTAGTGGTATTGAGAACCAATAAATAAGAAGGCTGCGTAACATGTTGGACTTAAAGTAAGAATAAACTTTAAAGTATTCTGTGTGCGTGCGTGCGCATGCACACACACACACATGCCTGCATGAGCTACTCTATAGAGATTACAGTGTTCCATGTTCCTAGACCATTTACTCAGTCCCAAATTAAGCATAAGCTTGTAATTTGCTGTTAACTTTAACAGCCCGTTCATATCTTTTACTTTAGGCTGCAATCCTATACTCTCTCACTTGGGAGTAAACTCCACTGAATTCAATGACACTTTATACTGAGATTATGTGCAAGGGACCACATGTAACTATATCTTCTTCCAGATTCAGAAAGAACAAATAAAAATCAGACAGTTTGGATCTTATTTGGGATTCTAAGTACACTTGATCTGATGAAGAAGCTAAGACTTGATCTGATAAAAAAGCTAAGAAGAAAGCTCTAACAAGACTACATATTCATTTTGATTTTAATACACTTTATCCATACTATTAAGTTTGTTCCCTGAGATATTTTTCTTTGTGTCCTGACAATAGCCAAAATAGGGTAATGGATGACCTTAGCTGTGGGCAAACCTAAATGGTGAGATTCTTTTCCTGGACAGGCCTTTTGAGTGTTTCCTCTCTCTTCCTCCCTGCTGTCCATGGACCATGTGTTGTCCGCCTCTGATGTGTTTTGCCCTGGGAATTCCATGCTTAATAGTGTCTGGTGAAAAGACCAAGTGTTGCTGCACACAGCTCTAGCCCTTCTGAACACAAGACACACAGCTGGAGGGTCTGGAATATGGTTTGACCAACAGCTTATGGTGGGTGCGTATTTCCAATTCTTTATTCATTTACATAAACACTGATGACTATTGGCATGTGCTTTGCATGTGCACAGTGCATGTGCTTTGCACTGCCAGCAGGTGACTTCTTGTTTGGTCAAGGCATGGTTCCTTTCCTTCACACCAATTGGGAAGAGGGCTCAGCAGTCACATAAAATCTTTTTACCAGCTTGAATTCCTTGTAGCACCCTTTTATGACGCAACCTGCTGTTTAGACTAAAGCAAGACTGGCTCACCTGTAACTTTTTTATATAATAAAAGTGAATTGATCAGGATTGTAAATCAGTGACTTGTCCCCAATGGGGGCATAGCCATGACCATGACCGTGGTATCCAACCGTCTTTGCACCATAAAAAAGGCCAACTTGACAACTGGTAAAAGGAAAAAGCTAGACATGAAGCTGAATATTCCAACTTTTAATTATTGTTTCTTTGCTCTTTTGTCTCCTTCTCTCAATAAATGCATTCTTTTGCAGGAACTTGACAGTTCAACCTATTTTTATTGGACCAGAAAGCAAACATTGCTCCTACTGCCAGGGTCAGTGATTATGTATAAGCCCTGCCTGTGGGAAGACAAATCCTTTCCAGGACACAATGTTCCACAGACAGAGCATATGCAATGACAGAGAAAAGTCTAGTTATCCTTGCAGGTACCAGCCTCCTACCCTTCAATCAAAACAGCTGTTTTGTTCTTTCTGTTCTTACCTGTAAAGGTCTCTGTACATGGATTGACTCCAGCAAGGCGTTTGGAAGTCCCAAAATCAGAAATTTTTACTACTCCACTGTATGTATTCACTAAAACATTGTCTCCCTGAAGAAAAAAAGAAAGGTAGCAGGTACTTATGCTAATCTACAGAAACTCTTCCAAGAATCTTCCATAATCTGCCTTTTTATATTTGTTAATAAAATCTATCTTCAGAATTGCTAAGTCTTCCTGAAAGTACACCTTGCATTAGTGGAATGATCAAATAGAGCTTGCATTTGTGTAACGAATCATAACTGTAGTCCAGTATGATGCACATACTCACTTTGATGTCTCTATGTACAATCTGGTTCTCATGGAGGTACTTCAGGCCTTCTAGGATCTGCTTGGTATAGAACTTAATAGTAGGTTCTTTCATTGGCCCCCATTTTGATCTTAGGAGTGCAGAAAGACTTCCTGGATTTAAGCAAAGGGGAAAAGACACAAAGTAATTCTGCCCAGGGCAAGCAGGCCTGTTAGAATTGCATCCCTAGTACCATTTACTTTATGTCTGCATAATCCTGCATGTGTTTCTGGGACTGAACATGTATACTTACCATACTGACCACAGACTTCAGTAATGTAATGTAATGTAAATATACATTATACTGTGTCACAGGGTTTACTAATACTGAGCAAAACAGACGCAAGAACTTGTATGATGCTGTACACATCCATGAAGCAGTAATTCCAAACAATAAACAGTACATCTCAGCAGTCTCATTTCAAAACAGACAGCTGTATGAATGCAGAAGAGTTAGTTATATTGGTCTAATAAGAGACCGTCCTACTCCATTCTTTTAAGAGAGCTTTTCTTAAGGAAAATGAGTTGCCTTGTAACAAGACCGATCAATGGTCTATCTAACCCTGGTTATACTACCTGAAGAGGCTCACCAAGCTGTCTTTCCCAGACCTACCTGGATGCGTCAGGGATCACATCTCAGGCCCTTTGATATAATGTACATGTACTACCCTGAATTCAGGGTCCTTTTTCTGAGTCCAGTTTGATACAAATTATTTTAAACAGCCTTTGCCCCTTTTTTGTGTCTTCATAGTTAAGGAAATGTATAGACAATCTGAAAAACCTCAATAACTATAATATTAGGAATATATAATTGGGCTTTGGACCAAACAGACCTCAGATACAAACTGCAATGAACAGAGACTCAGGGCCTGAAAAAGCAAAGTTTTTCATGAAGAATGATCACCCTATCCTTCATCTTAGGCTTATGCAGAACCCCACTCACTAGAGAGAAACTAACCAATTGTATTAGAAAGTTGTTCATTCGTAAGCATCCTGAGCTTAATTTTCATGAACACAATTAGGAGGTGTGTGTGGACTGAACGGGGGGCGGGGGGGGGGATCCTAAGGGATTTCTTAAGGGAATGTACTACCATGACATTGGATTGATGCCCGGCACCTTTAATAAATACACTGATTACATCTCAGATTATATCCTCCTTCCCACCAACCCTTTTCCCTTACCATTCCCTACTACTGGAATGCCCTCCTAACTGACTCTAAGTGATGACTCTTACGGGAAACTTATATTCAAGTGCCTCCTTAAGACACATCTGTTCATCTCACCTTTTCCCTTTATGTTCTGCCCCATGTCTTGTTTTGAAGCACAGACTGTGAGCAGGATGTGTGTTTGGTTTTAAATTTTGGCACACCTAATCCTTTAATGCACCTTTCAATAATAGTGATAGAAACAAGGGTGTAGGTGGGATTTCCACCATCCTGAACCTAATACTAGGTTCAGACAATTCTCTCCAGAAATTTAATGCAAGGGCAGTCAGAAATAAAATTCTTAATTTCACCCTGTTCCACTTAAAGTCACATGTAAAAATGGTATTTCTGTCAGACTATACCAGGTATACCAGAATATGGATGCACATTCTTCAATGAGCAATCCACTTTCTTGGACTGGGTTCATACTGTTTTAATTTAGGCCAAGAAATTGGTCTACAGATATTTGAGAGGTGAAGGAATGTGATCTGGTATATGTTTAGACAGAAAAAGTCTTACAACTCCCAGAATGCCCCAATCAGTCATGGATGCTGTAGAATGCTGGAAATTGTGGGCAATTTTCTCTGCGTAAACAGGCACAGTATTTAGCCCTAATTACGCCATCCTAGATGTTAGGTTCTACTCTGATTTATAGTATGCTATAATATCAGCGGAAATGTCTATGATACAAACCTCCTGGCACCTGTTCCATGAAGATTTTAATATATCCATCTTCAGAAACAGAACCAAGATACTGGACAATGTTTCGATGCTTTAGATATTTGTGGAGGGCAATTTCTTCATGCAGTGGCTGAGAATATCTATCAAGAAAATATATAAAAAAACTGCAGCTTATACAAATCAGAAGAAAACCTACTTGTTTAAAATCTCTCAGTCATTGACATAAGGCTTGAAGCTATGAAACAATGTCACAGGAAGACAAGGCAAAGTCCCTGCAATGGTACACAGTTCCTAAACCAACTTCAGGACCATGCAGTGGAAAATATACCATTGTGAGAAATGAAATGTTAGTGTTACTAAGTGTTAAGGATGAAAAACAGGAATAGGACAGGATCATTGAAGTCTCTTAAGGCAAAAAAAAGCCTGAGAATCAAAACATGTAAATGGTTGTTCTAATGATGTTTCCTATATAAAAAGTTCCGAAAAATACCAGAAGGGGTAAAATTGGGGGACAGTGGTAAAACTGTCACCTTCAGTGGAGGAGAGCAGACAATGGATTACTTTACAACTGGCGATAACGAGCCTGGAGAAAGGCCTGTTCTCATTATCTCATCCTCCCCACAAGATTTAAGAAACATTTTGGCGTCAAGTAAGAATTTTCAAGGCCACTTCGGCCTGTTGACCTCTTAGAAGGTACTGCGCATGCGTAATAAGTTTATGAATAGTAAATGACACACCTCTCATAGATAATAGGCTCATTAGTATGAACATGGGATGTATGAGCGGGAGGAGGGAAGATATTAAGGAGTAGTATGATGTAGGCAGATGGGGAAGATTCTGACTTCTTAGTAACCAGTCAATGGCGAAGCGGGGATAGCGTTGAGCATCGGGGAAAGGAATGTATAAAATCTCTTGTAAACAGTAAAAGATTGCTCCTTGTTTCTCAGACTACTGAGGCATTGAGCCAGCCTTTGCAAACGCTTTTTGTATGGAATAAACTGCTTGTACCTGCTTGAATCCTGTCTCAAGGAGTTTTAAATCTCACACCATCAAATGGAGGCAGGAGTTGAACAGAACAAGACACAGTCACAACGGGGACACCACTTTGCCCCCATACTCACGAACATCATAGACATGCGACATGTTACTTGGACTGAATGAAGGAAAGAAAGAACCAAGAAGAGGGAAAGGAACTAATACTAATAAAAACATTGCAGAAATGTTCTCAAGTGTTAGAAGAAGGTTTAAGGAGTCTGAAATATTTCAGAAAGAGGTTTCTTCCCTCAGGGGCAGCTTCTATATTTTAAAAAGTCTTACAGATTCTTCCTCTGTTTCGAACTGCTCTTCCATTGATTTTTTTTCTTGCATTTTAACTGAACGAAGCATTACAACTTCATGAAATCACAGTAAGTAAAATATTAAGGCTCACCTGCTGTCTCTCTCTGGTATTTCTTTGATAGCTATTCGGACTTGATTGCTAAGATCCCTTCCAGCATAAACTATCCCATAGGTTCCTTTACCTAATACCACTCTGTCTCCATTCTCATCATAGTCATACTCATACTAAAGGCAGAAAAGAGAGATCCATCATTCATATAAAAATAAAAACATTGCCAAAGCATAAGCCTGACTTTAAATACACGCTATGAATAATGTATAGCCTTGAAGATCAACAGAAATCAGTCCCCTAGAAATTAAAGAGTAAGCATTTTATAATGTGTGTAGCTAATCACGGTACTAAACCTATAAACAATTTTGTCTGAAAAAGAGCCAGATGGTTTAATCAGCAGAGTCACCAACAAAAATATATTTTAAAAAAATTATATAATTAGCTGTTCCTCACATGGGCATTATTTTTATTTGTGGAGAATGCAAAATAGGAGCAACTAAGGTACAGCAAATGGGCATAACATGTTATATACAGGGAGATCTAAGAACAACTTTATAACTGACATTAAAAATCTGGTATGTGATGATAGCACATTCCAAGATGAGGTGCTGCTCATCTTGCTTCTCAACAGATATTTCCTGTTTCTAAATCTGCTGACACAGCCTACGCAAGTTAGTCCATGCAGCACACCAGGCCCACTGGGCTTCCCCAGCTGTCCTTGCTCTTTGCTGCTGAAATTAAGAGCTTAAAGATAAATTATGTTTGCATTTTGACACTTTCAACCTGCCCCTTTTCCTTGGCCCTGCCCTCATTTTGCCTTTGCCCCCAGCTACTTCACTGTGGTCCTGGTTAGCAGTGGAATATGGCCAAAGTCCTTCCGGGAAATGGAGTTTGGCTCTTGGCTTGAAAGAAGGTCAGCATCCCTGTCCTAATCTAATTTCTCTATCTCTAAGACAAGAAGGGAGGTTGGGATGTTACAGCAGCTGCTCTAACAAGTGAAAACAGAAAATAAATGAGTTACATTAGAAATAGAGTAATACAAAGAAAAATAAAATACACTCTATATTAAATATTAATCTGGGTTTCTACAGGGATACAACATTTGGTCAAAAGGAATCTCGCAATTCATGCATGTAGAAGAAAAGCAGATTGTAACCATTCTGTAAATATTATACTTAGCAGGTGTTCAAAAATAATGAGTTATATTTCACAGGATCTACAAAGTCAGTTCTCTTAATTGTTTGTTTCTCCATCTTTCTGCATTAATACATGGATCAGGCCAATAGACGTATTTCTCACTTGTGGGTAAATCTTCTGTCAATATGCCCTTGAAATTCACCTTCCTTGCCCTGCCTCACCACTCCTCCAGTTCATTTTAAAAGTTATTGCCAAGTTTTCTGTTGCAGTACAGACTGTGCCAGGGAAGTCTCTGCTTACCCTAAAATGACATGCCCACTAAATTAGTTCACCTTTCAAACAGTTTCATTTTCCATGCTTCAGCACTTCACAGTTCATCATTCTGCTGTCATGTGATATGTGCTATTACACAAGATGACACAACTGGAACCTGATAATGGTTTTTTTTAAAAAAAGAAACATATCTGTATTTCACAGCTACAAAACAGTATTCAGCAGACAGAAGTAGCAGGAGGGCAGGAAATGGTTTTACAAAACATTAACCCAAGTTTTTTAGTATATTTATAGTTGCATACTCCTATGTATATTTATTCAGAAATAAGCCCCACTGTATTCAATGAGGCTTATTTTCAGGTAAATATCATAATATTACAGGCTTAGTATGTGCATATCATATGAAGAAAAAATGTTTATGTAATGGACAATTCCAAGGCTTACATATCTAATGGAAATTATGTTTCACTTCATATTTAAGTGATCAAATTCCAATTGATTGGTCAGAAAGAAAAAGAAGAGCTTTATTATCAGATTAGGTACTCAAACTTCACTTGGAGCAAAGAGGGCATATAAGGGTGCAATTGTATGCACATTTAGACAGAAAATAAAGCCTACTACTCTCAGAATGCCCCAGCCAGCATAGTTGGGATTTGTGAGCTTTTCTTATCTGAATATGCATAGGATCGCACCTCTAATTGATTTCCATAGAATCATAGAATAGTAGAGTTGGAAGGGGCCATGAAAGTCATTGGGTCTATCCCACTGCTGTTGCAGGACACCAGTTTACAGCATTCCACTCAGATGACTGTCCAGTTTCTTTTTCAACGTCTTTAGTATGGGAGAGCCAATGACCTCTCTAGGCAACTGGTTCCACTCTCACATTTCTCTGACAGTTAGAAAACTTTTCCTGATATCTAGCCTGAATCTAGGTTGTCACAACTTGAACTGATTATTCTGTGTCCTACATTCTGGCATTAGCAAAAAGAGATCTTGACCTTCTTGTTTGTGACAGCCTTTGAGGTACTTAGTTCATGCCCCCCCCCCCCAGTCTTCTCTTCTCAAGGCTGAACATTCCCAGTTCTCTCAGTCTCTCCTCACAAGGCAGTGTTTCCAAACCATGGATCATTTCTGTTGCCCTTCTCTGGACCCTTTTGAAATGACCTTGGCTAAGAGATGCACACTGCTGTCAAGTTCATTAGAAACCTATTTGAACGTCTAACACAGCTTTTCAGATTACAGGGCCTTTGATGGCATCTGCATCCAGAGTGGAAACATGCAGAATTGCCACCTAAATTCCATGGTACAAAGACACCCAAATTACAAAATTTGTAACCTCAAATGTTTGCTAAGCACAACTTTTTCCTATTTATTTTATCTTTTAGGATTTTATATGTAAAACAATTGCAAAATCTTAGCAAGCAAAAAATCATGGGCAAAAGCAAACAACACCATGCTGATTGTCAGGATTTCTCCAAATTCCTTGGCAGAACTCTATCGGTCCTGTTCCAAGCTGCAGTACAGTTTGCACTGCTCAGAAGGGTCAAGCAGAAAGGCTGAGATGAGGTGATGTTCAGGCGTACACAAGATATCAACAAAGATTTTAAGAGGCACAAAAAGAATGCTAACAACAACTACAAGTTTTCACATGAGGTCTCAAGCAATATGAATGATGAATGCCTCATTTTTGTTTAAGAATTATGTTTCTAGTTGCTTAATTTGGACTTATTTAAAAGCTAAGTGTTATTATTTTTCAGTTACTAACAATAGGAATAGAGAAAGCAATTCCTCCCAATGCAGAGTTTTTGTTTCGCTAAAAAACAAACAACCTTACTTCCAATGTATCACCATCAATCTCTCCTTCAAGTTCCAGAGTACTTCCAACAGCATCAGTTAAAATCTCTTTAACCAAACTACAGAATCTGAAAATGAAACATGTGCCACAGTCAAATAATTCATTTCTTGTTCAACTGGCCAGTTTCGCAATTTATATGAACAATGGTTTATTTGCTGACAGGTTTTCACTAGTGCATTTCCAAAACCATCATTGTCAGAATGATATGCTATCTTTTTTGTAACAGAGCAAAATGCTTATACATATCAGAATTTCAAAGTACACTAATCAACACTAAGCTCTTGAAATACTCTTGGCTGTTTTAATTACTGAAAATCAGTCCTGGTCCAAGTCATTTTGTTGCCTGAAACTAAGCCCAAATAACAGCACACCACTAATACTAGGGTCAGTGCTTTGAAAAAATACCTTGTTATACACGCAAGACAGCTGAACAGAAAAAGGAAAGTGAGATTGTTCCCGCAATAACAAATAAGATTTTGTGTTGTATGACATCTTTGCCACTGCTGAAGTAATTTTCATTAAAAGGAAAGTTTCATTAATAGGAATCTTCTCAGCACTTGCGATATAACTCAGTAACAGGGACTGAATGGAAAAGTAGAATGAATATAACAGGATTTCACTTGGAGTCTCTTGTAAGCAACATTTAAAAAAATACATTGGAGGTTGGTGTCCTATATTTGTCAACCACTACAATATTTGGGGACCATGTGAATAGACTGGAACACTCTGATGTTGTCTGTAAGGAAAGGGTGCAAGTGACAGGAAGAATCCAATGGTGTCATTCAACGGATGAAACTGGTCGGCACAACTAGTTTCATCAACACCACAGGGAAGTGGTGATTCTTCTTTCCTTCCTCCTGGAGCCCTCATACATCCTCAGCATCTGCCTTGGAGGTCCAGAAGGGCTGCAGGGGTGGTTTACAAGCATACAGTGCAGGGCAACTGCGCCAGCTATGAGGCATAAAGAGAATAATCAGACAGAAGATTCCCAACATGCCTCTGACCTTAGATTTAAAAATCCATATTATCCTGTGGTCCCCCAGAGGATGTCTGAGACCCATGAGATCACACACTTAATGTCCAGAATATGATATTAATCGTAAGGAATAGAGAAAATGAATTCACAAATGAAATTTTGTTTCTTATGTGAAAACATGACAGAATTTACAGCATATTCTCTGTTTTTGCATGGTTTATTTCAGTGTAAAGTAAAAACAAAGTAAGACAAAACAATTCTCTCACCTGCTACATTGGTTCTCTGTAGAAAAGTAGATTTGAAAGTCATCAGAGTTGTCATGAACATACAGAAAACAACATCGTTCATCAAATTTAGATATGCTGCAAAAGGTCCAATGTCAGTAACATTATTCCTGCTAAGCACAAATGATGTTGATAGGAAAGGGTGGCATGAAGGTGAAGAAACAACTGGCAAAAATAAACTAATTAATTCATACAAGAACATCTCAGAGGCAAAGACTCAAGCAGTGAATCTGGTCACGATACTGAAAAGTCTGGCTCCAACTAATTGGAGAAATTATAACGCATAAGACACGGCTAGCGGCTACGAAGATAAAGGAAAAAGGGAAAGAACAGAGAGAAAGTTAAAGAGCGTATGTTCTGTGCATTGGATGTCACAAAACAGGTTACATGGTAGAATAATGGAGAGGGCTAAGAAACATGACCTTCAAACAAACACCATGGCAATCTAGTTGTAGTAAAGCATAAATGCTAAGCAGAATACAGGTATTCTGTTGGCTGATTTTTTCTTTCTGGTTGCTTACTACTATACCAATCTTCTTATAAATTCAGATTCAGAATCAATTTAATATATCTTCACTTTCAGAAAATCTATTTAGCAATGTTTATCAGGAACTAATATTATAAGGAGAGAAAAACAACTACATTCCTCTCCCACTCTCCAGTATCTATGTTTTTCCATATGGCACACAGAAAATCCCTGCAGTTCAAATTGCTGAAGTTTGCAGACAGTGTTTGTCTAGTCCAAGATGCATGAGACAGATAAATCCATACCAGGGTAGATGAGCAGGAGGAGAGAGCAATGACAATTTTCAAAGGCTGTGTAAGAAAAATAATCAATATCCACCTGAGTTTCCAAATTTGAATAGAGTCAATAAAAAAATCGTAAAACATGTCAGGTTGTACATGATTGGTGTTATATAATGAGACATCCAGGCACTTGTCAGCAATTTATCTGCTGCTTTTTGCACCATGAAATTCTAGAACCTTTTGTAAAGGCAGTTCCACATACAGTGGAGGTGTACATTACAACCTCTTAGGCCGTAAGGAGGCATCTGATGCTGGCTCAGTGGCGGCACGTGCATTCACACTTGCACATAGACACACATTTACACACACACATCACCCCAGCAATCATGATACAGACTGCTCTTTCCTGGCGTTGTATGATCTGTGAGGAAAAACGAGTACAGGCAGGGGGGAGTCTGACAGGTGGAACAGAGTCAGGTTAGCTATGCAGAACACAGTATAGGCTTTAGGGGTCTGAAAACCATGCCTCCTTGGCATTAAACATGCTACAGCGATCTAATTTGAATACAATGCCATCTGAAGCTGTAACAAATTTTCTTTTTGTCTTAACTACAATGTTGCAATGAAGACTTTCCAGAAGGGATGCAACAATACAGTACAGGCAGGAAGTAAGATTAATTTCCCATAATAGAGACAGCAGGAGATATATCTGTAAGAATTTCTCTCTCTCCCAACACCCTATGACTACCCATTTCAAAAAATCTGTTGTTATGAAAACTAGGTTTTCTCCATTAATGTATACTACACCTAGAGTGAATGAGTGGGGGTGGGGGGAACCTTCTCAACTTGATCAGAGAAATGAGCCTATTAATTTGAATTGATTCACTCAGTCACATTTAGGGCAGTATGAATGGTAACACTAGAGGAAGTGAAGAGAGCCACACCTCTTCCTTTCTCTTTTTTTAAGGGATAAATTCCATTTCCTGCTACTGCCTACATCAACATTCTGCCTACATGAGACCTAACATTCATGACAGAACCTACTGATTCCAATGAATGTACAGTCATCATTAACCTGAAATCCTTCTTAAGCAAAATGGTAAGCCAGGTCAAAACTCCAGTTAAAAGGAAATTATTAAACATGCTAGCATGAATGATTGAATGGCTTACCCCACAACTATTAAGAAGCCTGGATTTAAGAGATCCATAGCATTACCTCTGTAACAACTCTTACTGTTTTAAAAAATAAAATACACGCAGACATATGCTAACTTCTAAATTTCAGTATAGGTGCTTTTTTGAGAATTCTGAAGGAAGGAGAAAACATCTGAATGTGACTCAAAGTGTGATTAATATTTTTCCTGTGACAGATTTAAATCATCGAACGGAGGCACATAATAAGATCCTCTCAGAGTTAAGTAAAATAAAGATATTCACAGGTTAAACAGGAATGGGACAGTTTTCAGACTGACAAGATCTCTAATATATGCAGGAAGCGACAAGCAAACTGGCTAGGAAAAATAGCAATTTCAACCTTTGAAACATCCATTTCTTAAATGAAGTTAATGCTGTATGTTTTTTTTACTATTTATACCTGAAACAGAACTTCTCAGTCCTGTCTCACTTATCACCAGGTGTGCCAACCCATCTGTTTACATAATGAGCAATATAAGTGAAACAAAACGTAAGCCGCTTAAAGCATACCAACCTTATTCCTCTGATAGAAGATGCTGTAAAATTCCATTCATGAATCTGTTTCTGAAAATACATAAGCAGAACAGATTATTTCAGAACAAGTTCACTAGCGTATCTCTTCACTTGCTGAGGTTTGGAAGCATTGGTGGTTGACAAGTCACCATGGCCTATTAACCACCTTCATACTGTGCAAACCCAGTCAAAGCCACAAGCTGAACAGTGAACTTCAATGAACTGCACCCACAGTCAAGTTCCTGAAAATGCATAACAACAAGTGATATTGCAGCTATGTAACGTTATCATAACTCCTGGAGAAAGAGAGATCCTTCCTGTGCAGAATAAGTGTGGCAATTACTGCTTGCCACTGCAGAACGAACACAGCGCTTGTTCATTCCAGAACTGTCGGGAAGGAGCGACACAGGGAGAAAACTACCTCTTGCGCTCGCAGCTTTCTGCTTTCATTGAACAACCCAGGTCTACCCCAATCCCGAGTTGTTTCGTGACATGCAAACCCAGGAAAATCTGGGTAGTTCATGTATTAAACCAGGGTAATTGACTCTCTGATATTCCCCAAGTGGCCACATCCCTTTCCCCCAGCTTGTTTGAACATTTTGCAGCTTTGTGTTATTTTTTCACTAGTCCAGAAAGCTGAAATGCCTCTCTCCTAAGGCCTAATTACCAGAAGTAAAAGCTGTAAAGATAAAATATGTTGGTATTCTCACTCCACCCCGTTTGCCAACAGCCTTGCCCAGCACTGGAATTTGGTACTCAAGGGCTTTTCCAAAATGGAATTCAGTCTTAGGCTCAGAGAGACAGATAATATAGTGTATACACAAAGTATTTCTTAAAGCTGTAAAGAAAAATGTGCTACAGTCTTACCATTTCTGTAGGAGACACATGCCAAAGGGAAACAGTTCTCTCATCTGCTTCATTGTTGATTGAAACATACGCAGGCTGATATACCTTAGTTGGTTCTATCACTAACACCTAAATAAAGCACTTGTTTCAATGAATTGTTCAGTTCATTAGTTCAGTGAATTATCACTGCAAGCATCACATACACTTTCAGAATGAGCAGCATAATGCTAAGGCTACTATCCTAAACCCATTTACCAGGGAACTTGTATATGTTTAACTGAGTGGGAATTGCCTGTGAATAAACATGCATAAGACTGCATTGTAAATTAATTTACAATAATATTTCAAACACCCTTTATTAGGAATCCCAAGAATGGATTAAAGGCATGAACGCTTGTAATTTCTTGTACTGATTCCTTCTTGGTGTTTCTTGTACATTCTATTAATTTCTACCATCATTTATAGTAATACCCAGCCCAATTCTCTGAGTACTATTCCTTATGTGCTCCAAATAGCACCATTTACACACAAGAGAAAAGTATTAACAGGCTTGGAGAATTGCAAGGTCTGCAAAAGCATAAAGAAGAATTGAGGGGAAACAAACCTAATGAGGCGACACCCCAAAACCCAGTCCAATGAGGACTAAGTAGGCATGGAATGCTAACTGCTTTTTAGTGTGGAGTTGCTTCAGGTTCATTCCTATGATGCTTCCAGATTACTGGTAGCAACAGAAACTCGATTACATACAAGCATTTTATGGGAAAGTTGTCAAAACGACATACAGCAAAGTCACTTCCTGTGTGTGTGTACATGTGTTTACTTTGGAACATTATTTATTTATTCAATTTCTATGCTGCCCATAACCTAAAGGTTCTCCTTATGCCATATACAGTTCCTCTGTCTCTTCTTCCTTTCCTTTTCTTTCCTTAGGTCAGAGTCCACTTTTGGTTTGCCAGAGATTTTGACCTACAACTCTCTGGTACTTCATCACTGGTGAAGTGGAGCATTGATGGGAGCTGTAGGCTAACGCTTCTGGAGGAGTACACGATGCTAAACCAGGCCTAAGTGGACAGCATTCCCCTTCAGTTTTTGCAGCCCTGGGCAGATGAATGCGCTAAAGGAAAGGATGGCACTTGGCCCATTCAGATTCTTTCATGGGAAGAAGCACCTTCTTCCTTGAGCTTGGCCTAGCTTGGCCATCAGTCCTGCAAGCAAAGCAAAACAGTGTTCCTGTAAGCTCATCAACTCGCTACTCCCTGTGTGGGAGTACACCTTTTGAGCACGCCTTTGTTTTTCATCTCGCACTACAGTTCCCCATCCCCAACAAGGCCCATGGTCCACTTCTGGGCCAGCCTATGACTTAACACCTCATCAGGGCAACATCAGTTCTGGGACTGTCAGATTTAAATGACTAAATCTACTATTGGTTCTACTATTGTACAATTAGGTTCTACAATAGGTTCTACTATTGTAATAGAATCTGGTTCAATGATAATGATTTGTATGCGGCTGGATATTTTTAAAACCTCCAGTGGTAAAACTCTCTGGTGCTGTTTTCTTTTAGAGTAAAATTTACACTATTCAATCCAGCACTTTCCTGGCCTGCATAAATAGCATTTACTCCTTAGCTAGCTAAAATAACATTATTGTTTCAATGTTGTTACCATGTGGCAGGGTATACAGTACAACTTCCTTTCTTAATGCTGAGACCTTTATGAAAGAAACAAAAATACAAAATTGTGCTTGTAGCAGCACATAAATAGGACGTGACAAAATGAAGGGGTGGGAGGAACTATACAAGGATTCTACTATTTTCTTTTTCTTCTGACACGTCAGCTTTGGCAGCACAAGAGCAAGCAGTGACTCGCCCTATTGCTGCTGAGGTCCAGCTTCCATGCTTAGCAAAAAGGACAAGGCCAGAAAGCTCAGCCCTCCTTGGCAGTCAACATTACATTTGTCTAACACAAATTAGCCTGTTGCCTTATTCTAGCACCTAGTTCACTTGGAGGCTCCTAACATCAGGCCACAACCATCTGTTACTTTCCGTCCAACACTAGGCAATCATTTGCATGTCTATGCAGGCATAAGCTTCTCTGGGGTTTAGGGCTTTATTCCCAGGAAAGCATGTATAGGACTGCAGTCTACACCAACATCTTCTACAGCAGCTTGTACATTACAGAGCCTTACTGGGAATCTCAAGCCAATAGTGGTTTCTTTGGTTGCCTCAAAAATGATATCTAACCAGAAGTTCAATCTTTCTTGTCTAGGAGAGTGCTCAATGGTAAGTTTCTTGAAACGCTGAATTAACATCAAGTTCTGTACCAAGGACTTCAAATACCTGAAACACAGAGACATATAATCAATAAACAGACAAAATAAAATTGATTTCTTCTATGCTACTAGTGCAACAAGTTCTTTCACCAGAATATAAAAAATCTGTTACTGAAAATAGATGTGAAATCAAACTGACAAAGGCTATTTGTCTTCTTAGACACTTTCCAATGTACTCCCAGTTAATTTCCATCCCATTTAACTCCTTTGTTTGAAGCACAAGTCCTCTTGTGATATAAACTTCCAACTTAACACTAGGGTTCATTTTGGTTAGCATCTGAACAACATCCAAAGAGACAGAACAAGTAGATGGTTTTGTATACCATGTACTGTGTCTGTACACTTAATGCAGTATAAAACAATGGAAACACCCCATGATTTCTCAGGATAAATTATTAGTAGTTTTGCATCCTTAACCTATATTCCAAAAGCAATTTGCTACTATATGCAATATAAAACTTAGATTGTTGCTTTCTGTTTAACTGCAATTGATAATTTCTCAGGATGGTTAAAAAGAAATAATGACAATGTAGGCCTGCCTTTGGAGAATGGAATGAAATTCCGTAAAGAAACAATGGATGCAACTATAGAGATTTATTGATGTGATTATACCCACCAAATGGGTGGTTTCAGTTTGAAGAGCCTCTCTGCTGCCTGCACTGCTTTCCCAATGTCACTGGCCAGCATGCTCACGCTGAAGAACTGCCCAACGTCCCAGTAATTGTTCATTTTTTCCAAACTCCCTTTTCTTCCCAACAGACTGTTTAGCCGCACACCTTGACAAATTTACACAAAACAGCTGTGTTACAGGTGAGCACAACGATCCTGATTCAGAGGACGATAAAAGGATCATATGCATTAAATTAAAGAGAATTAATTAAAGAGGATATAACCAGAAAGGGTGTGCAGCAGATAAAAACTCTTAGTACACAGAAACATGAGTGTCTTATTGCTGGTAGGAAGGAATAACTGCAAGTGACATTTATTTATTTCATTTAAGCAAAAAAAGACAACCTCCTCTGCAGAAATAAATACTAGAAATTCTATAGTATGGGTGCTGTTTGTATAAAACTGATGGTATAGTACTGTTAAATCATGGATTGTGTACATGGTCACTCACAGAAGAGAGCCATGGATTCAGTTCCATGAGTGGAAGAGGTCTTCCCGTAAATGAAAGCTACTTCATGGAATGTGACCTTCCGATCCATGCTATAAAGTTTCTGACTGGCGTTAGCAACCCCACTAATGCAGCTACATTTTCTTTTTGTTCACCTATTTTCCTTAGTTCCATAGAGGTTTCAAACTGCTGCCCTGAAACAATCAGCAACACTGCAAGGTTAATTCCAGAATACAGAGTTGATTGGAGCTCAAAACCTTTGCGATACCTGCAGAGACAAAAATATAGCAAGGGTTTTTTTTAATTCTTTAATTTCTGCAACAAAACTGGGTCCTTCCATGTTCAAAAAGTTAGATCAATCAATACTTATCAACCCATATAACTAAATGGAATCTCCATGTTTGGAAGTAGTGTGACACTGAACATCCATTGCTGGATGGAGAGCCAAAATAACCAGAAACGGCTGTCATTTCATGACATGTTTGGAAGCTCTCTTGAAGCACCTGGATGGCCATGGTAGGAAATAGGATCCTGAACTTTCCTTAAATCCACAGAGATCTTCTTATGTTCTATTAAACTTATATCCCTTTATTTTGTTTTGCCTTCTTGTGTGGTGGCCAAGGAACCTGGTAGTCAGTACTGGAGTATTTTGCCTTGCCTTTTCATAGTTACACAGAACATCACTTCTCTTACCACTCAATGGCTCTATCTCGGCTACTAGTATCTTTGCAGTCTGAATCTAGGAAGATGTCCTTGTAGATTCTCCCGCAGAGGCAGAACATGTCTGGCGCTGGATGATCACATGCCTGCAGGACCTGCAACATTACTTGTAGTGCTTTTGCCCGATCACCGGTATTGTTCCTTCTGAAATTCAAGCAGAAAAGGCAGTAAAGTTTGGACAACCTTTGTTTAATTCTGCCAAGAAACTGGGGTAATCCTCTGCATGAACTAATGTATACATTTTATCTAGTAGCATTCCCACACACAGATGCGACATCCTACATAGATGTCCACTGGAGAAGGAAATGGCAACCCACTCCAGTATCTTTGCCATGAAATCCCCATGGACAGTACCAAAAGGCAAAAAGATATGACACCAGAAGATAAGCCCCTCAGGTCGGAAGGTGTCCAATGTGCTACTGGGGAAGAGCGGAGGACTAGTACTAGTAGCACCAGAAAGAATGAAGCGACTGGGTCAAAGCCGAAAGGACACTCAGTTGCAGATGTATCTGGTGCTGAAAGGAGAGTCCAATGCTGCAAAGATCTATACTCCATGGGAACCTGGAATGTAAGATCCATGAATCAAGGCAAGCTGGATGTGGTCAAACAAGAGATGACAAGACTGAACATCAACATCTTAAGAATCAGTGAACTAAAATGGACAGGAATGGGTGAATTTAATTCAGATGACCATCAGGTATACTACTGCGGGCAAGAATCCCTCAGAAGAAATGGAGTAGCCTTCATAGTCAATAAAAGAGTAGGAAAAGCAGTACTGGGATACAATCTCCAAAATGACAGAATGATCTCAGTTCGAATCCAAGGCAAACCATTCAACATCACAATAGTCCAAATCTATGCCCCAACCACTGGTGTTGACCAGTTCTATGAAGGCCGGACACGACTTTGTGACTAACAACAACACAGATGTCACACAAACCATAAGCAACTAAAGTACATATTCTCACAGCTCTTTTCTTCCTTATTCTCACAAATCTTTTAAAATGTATGCATTGATGACTCCTTTATGGTCTAAGCAATGTTCTCTACTATCCTGAATTACCAGTTCTCTACTATCCTGAATTACCATCTCGTGAGTGGATAAATTTGATGTAAGACCTTTAAGAAACCTCTCTTCCACTCCCTCTTTACTCATGCTCGTTATATCCATATTATTACATACATATTGGATGGTATTATATAGATTCCCATTCATTTTAAACTAGTCACAATAAAGAGTACACTCCTTTCATCCAATATGAGGTCTACTTAATCATAATATTTTCCTTATACCGAGATCAATTGCATGAAAGAACATGATTTGTTATTGTAAAAAGCATACAATTGGGTCCATGTGATTGGAAGCTAAGCAAATGTATTTGCACATATGTAGTTTCTCATGGTTTGTCTTACTCAAAATTGTCTAAAAATATTTGAATTTCTGAGATTCAAAGATCCAATCTAAAGTGCAATGCCTTGTTTAATTAAAATGTGCACATTGCACAAAAAATGCTATAATGCTTAAATAGCACTGCTCGACCACAGATACTCAGTTCCAGAAAAAAGAGTTATATATTTTGTATAGTTTGTATAAAATATAGAACTAACCATAGGGGAAGGTATCTCAGTCACCTAATAACTAGAAATCCAGATGACATGAAATGATTTATTATCCAGTTAAAGAAATACAGTTTGAAGAGACACCTGGAACAATATGGATTTTATTCAATATATCAGATTGGCTATTTCAATAATGAACAATAGTATAGGTCCTATAGGCTAAATAAATGTAAAACTGACCCTCACTGTTTACATATAAATGATACATCCGAGTAAAAAGAAAAATATTTGCACATAAAAAGCAAATAATACTTTTCAGCTTAAAAGCCACTTTTGCTTTCTCCAATGAGCTTTAAACAATTTCTCTAGCAGTTATCAGACCTGATAAACTGCAAATTCCGAGGTATCTAAGAAGATGCTCTGATTTTTTAAAAAAATGGTGTATTGGTGATGTCAGACAAGTCAGTGGCAGGAAAACATTGCTGGTACTTTTCCGCTGTTATCCATGAGGAAATGATGTCTATTAGTTTCTGAAGCAATTCAAAGATAACAAAAGAACAGCTACAACATCACTGTGTAAACATCCCTCTAGACCTGTTCGGTTGACAAAACCATTTCCCTGGAAAATACTAGGGCAGCTATACAGCTTATAAACCTTTGTCCAATTTCTGTTATGACTCATGATATTAACTTATTTGCATGTATTTCTCAATTAATTAGAAGTAAGTAAAGGAGTCCCTCCAGATTTTACTCTGCTTAGTCCATGGTTAACAGTGGATAGTGCTTTTCTCCATTTCTAAGGCCATGAGCCAGTGCTGTCTGAAAAAGATCCCGGTCACGTGGCCAGCATGACACCACAGAGTGCTGTTACCTTCCCACCAACGTGGTACCTATTTATTTACTTGTATTACATGCTTTGAACTGCTAGGTTGGCTAGTTGCTGGGGTGAAAGATAGGAGATCACTCAGACGGGTGGAGCTTGGGCTCAGACCACTGGAGTGCTAACCATTTCGGACAGTTCGGGCATCATTAATCGCCCAACAGAAAATTCTCTCTAAACCTGCTCAACTTTTCTCTAAACATTCATTTAAGTCATTTTGGTTTGTTTGAATTGGCAGCATGTGACAAGTACCCTTAGTCTAAGTATGGATGCTGCTTGTTGTGCTACTGAAACTGGGGCGACATGGTTTGTTTGGGAAGGAAGCAACTAATCCAACAACAAGCACCAGACACATTTGAATGAATCGGTATGTAAATGAAGCCAGAGTGACTTTTTTCTCTCCACCCTATACATCTAGTTACATACCACCTTATTTCCATAATTATGTGTGCCATTCATGGGTTACCAAGACATTAGGACCCAGTAAGGGTGCCTTCTAAAACACCCAGATACCTAGAACAAACCTTATGTTTCAGCGCCCCTGCTCCTCAGCTGTCCAGGTTCAAAAGAGCACAACCTGTGCACAGAGCAGACGATTATGGGAATGAGGTACAAATGAACCAGCACATGCGAGACAGGAACAAGCCACTGTGGGTTCCCTGATCACAAGATACCAGTCACTGTTGATTGTGTGAACTGGCCCAACCTATTTCAATAGCTTTCTCATGAAGGACATGAGTAAAACTGCATCTGAACTCTGGGATTCATAGAGCCTTTTCTCTTTTCCATATATTATAGACTGGCCCCTTTAAAAATGCCTACAGTGTGCTTATGTCAACCAGAAATTGTTCTGTCCTACGGCTCATCACTTTTTGATCTTGGGAAAGCTTAGCTGAAAGAGATTCAGGGCACTTGTTGATTGTCATGACACTGATTCTGCTTATTTTCTCATCATATACAACTACAGACCATATTAGGCTATGACCTCAGCTTTGAAATAGCTGTCATCATCAGTTATCCATTCAAGTAATCATGTATAAATATGACCTCAGTGCTAGATTGCAGTTATTAAAATACAGGACAGCTGAGCTTGCGATAAATATGAAGCAGCAATTCACAACATAACTGCCGTTTAAAATGAGTACACAGAGTGTTTTCATTTGTGCTCTAAGGGTGCACAACGCTTTGGGCTCAAAGGGCCACATGAGATGCTGGATCACATGCTTCACAAATGTTTGCCGGCACACAGAAATATGCATTTCTGTATATGCATACACAGAGCAACCCCGAGACACAGCGGTGAAGCAGCAATCTGTGACCCTCTGGAGCATGGAGTGGAGAAACTCTTCTAAAGTAACTACCCTACTATTTCTGACAGAGAAGGCTCCCCATTCGCTCCCCCAGAGATCTTCATACAGATCTCTTTCCTCACTGGAAAGAGCTACTTGTATTACTAGTAGCAGCATTACAGCCAGCAAGGAAACAGGGAGAATGTTGATGGCGGCGGAAGGGATTAGAGCATCAGACCAGGAACAACAGGTTGGATATCCCTGTTGTGGTGCGATCATCTTAAATGACTTGGTTAGACCTTAAACTGAAGTTGTGCTATCAGAACACAGCTTAACAATACATTAAAAGTAACTAGAATCAGCTTTACAGTAATTTCTGTTTACCCTTTCTCAATGAGAAAAAAAATGATTGATTTAGGTTGCAAGGAAAGCCAGGCAAGGCAAAGAGTAATTTACACATAAACATGATATTATTTGGATTCAGCCTCAGCACAGAAAACGTAAAATACATGTAACAGTATAAATTCACAAGTAGTAGTTTATAAAAGCTGTGTTGGGATCAACAGAACCAGAAATGGAGGACAGCACAGGGCAATGTCTTTACTGCATGGAAGTCAACCAACTACAAATGGGGTTTGTGGAACAGAGAGGGTTAAGCACAGACTCCTTTCTCTATTATTACAAAGGTAGGAGTCCATATATATTTTCTTAAACCAGCCTTCTTCTCATGATTGCTCATTTGCATGGCCATGAGCACCAGGCGAGGAAGGATGTCGTGAAGTACCTGGGGCCACTGTACATACCTTTCCTTCCTTTTCTCCCACTGGTTGCTATGTTCAATATAATGAAATTCTTGTTGGATTTGGCTGTGTGTGTTTGAGAATAAAACAAGACATCTTGCACATTTTTTCACACTAAGTGACCCTTTCCCACTCAAAGCAAAGCCTTTGCAGTGAAATTCTTTTACTGAAAGTTAAGAGATTACAGAACAGTATGAATGCTGAATAGCCTTCTGCTATTTCATCAGGAAGCACCTGTCCATGTAAAGAGTTATATCTAGACTGAAACTTCTCCTCTGTCTCTCCTTTCAGCAAAGCTTCTGACTTCACCCTCAGGGTGGCTCTTGCTGCTTGAGGGCTAGATGGTGGGAACATTTGAGACCTTGTAAGTGGGCACCTTGTTTCTCCTACCAGAAACTGAATGGATCAATGAGGTTTTGCATCTGCTTCCCCTCCCATCCTGAAAAACCTCCCTCCCTTTCCAAGGCAGGCAGATTCTCACACTCTGCCTGAGAAACTTCACGAGATAAGACTCTTTCTGAGTAGCCTGCCCTGAGCAAGAAACAGGCCCCCTTTCCACACTAAGCCACATGAGATACGCTCACCCAGCCCTATGTGCTCCTTATACAACTCTTCCAACCCTTCCAGCAAACTTGACAAGTCTAACCATCTTAAGTAAATCTGTAATGAACATGTAAACATTCAACTAGCATAAAGCTAAACATTAGATATCACCACAGCTAAACTTTCACCATCTCATTGTTCAGCTGCTCTAATTTATCAAATCTGTTGTTCATATGTTGTTTATCATTGGGAAGGGGTGCTGTAGAGACTCCATAGTAGTGCCAATTTTTTATGCACTGTAACCCGAGGGACTAAATGAAGTTTATGACATATGGTGTTCTGCAAAGCCTATGAGGAACTTTTGGCTGTAAGAAGATACAGCCTATACTCTGAGGCAATGCTCACTTGCATATAGTTTGAAAAAGAAATGCAATTGATTAGAAATGGGATTTGGCAACTTGACTACAAACAACAACCATCAGGGGCTGAGCACAGGGCAAGGACAGAATAGCCAATAAAGACCTTTGGAAAACTTTGTAGACGCTAGTACTTTTTAAGCACAACACAATCGATTGCAATTGCACAAGGGACATACAGAGAAGGTAAGCAGAAAAATGTGATCAATCATTCTTGATATCTATTAGAATGGAGATTGTCTCCTCTTCTATTAACAGGAAACTGTTCTTGATTCTTTACCATGCACGTTGATTAAGAAAACACTTACAGGACCCATTTTGTCTACACATATATAAACAAGAGTTTAATCTGAAACTATTTAAACTAAATATGATACTTAGGAACTCTACAGTTGATAATGCACAAAAACTTAAAAGATTGATGCATGGAGGAAGCAATTCTATGGTCCCTGGGAAAGCTCTCTCCAAGGTTAAAATGGGGTGGGGGCAGAGATTATGACTCCAGAACCCTACCCCTCCTGGCCAGTGCAAAGAGACCTGTGCCACTGCCTCTTCAAGCACCAAAACCCTGGAGAAAGGGCAAAGGAGGCATTCTGCTGGGCAGGAACGAGAAAAGTTAAAGCACCTAAGACAGTGATGGCAAGCCTTTTAGAGACCAAGTGCACAAACTGCAACTCAAAACCCACTTATTTATCACAAAGTGCCAACACTGGAATAAAACCTGAAAACTGCGGTTTTAGTTTAGAAAAAACAACTCGCGGCCTGTCCAAGCATATATATATCCTTGGCAGCGCACTGTCCGCCCATGCAAAAGCTCGGACGAGTTGTGGCTAATGAGTCGTGGCGTGTGACATCATTGCCTGGCGCCTCTATTCCTTTCCGAGCATACGCATGGCCCCTATGTGCGCTGGTATCCGATGCTCAGCTGCTGGGGCGATGCTGGGGTGACTTGGCTCGCATGCCAACAGAGAGGGCCCTGTGTGCTTGCTGTGGCATGTGTGCCAAAGTTTGCCACCACTGACCTAAGATATGAGTTAGTCTGCGCTTCTTCCAGTCTCTTTCCTTCCCATCCAAAGTGCACTACCTAGATGGGCCGAAAAGCCTGCCTAATAGAATTTGCACAGTGGGAAGATAGCCTCTGCTGTTTCTCTTGCCCTGCACTGGATGATTGGATGTCTTCAGGTCCAGGAGCTCCTAACCTGTGAGGATGCAAACAATACAACTGTGCCTAGAGTACAGAGACCAGGGACGGCAAATGTTTTGTCCCTGCATACAGCAGTGGATCTGGTTGTTGAAAGCAGTAGGCAGGACCCTGACAATCTCCTCACTCCTCTCTCTCTCACCCACACATTCCTGCACACACCCATTCATGCTACCTCCCTACAAACCTACCTGCCTGATGCATACAGGTCCCATTGCCTACCTCTTGACTTCCTACTATGCAACTATGACTAGAAACAGCTGAGTAGGACACCCATTAGCAGGATTGTTCAGGTTGCAATGGAATTAAAGAGTTTCCTACTGAGGTAGGGAATACATAACCACGTAGCAGAAAAGTTTAGAAATATATAAGGGATGATTTTAGAAAAACACCAGTTTTAAGTAGACTGCAACCTGGAGATTAGTTGATAACTTCTCAAATAATAAAAGTACCAACTGCAATTATTTTAATTGCAACTATACTTTAAAGGTGCAAATGTCGTTGGCGTAATGGAGTAACTCCCTATTTTTGTCAGTCATAAATGCATACATGTTGGGTTTAATCTTACCGATTCAGTGCAAAAGCATAGTGGAATTTGATATTATGCTGATCAGCCAGATCACAAGTAGGGAGCATTTCCAGTGTCTCTACCAGCCTCACCATGGCATCATAGTCCTAACAACAAAGAAGAGTAAAACAATGCACTACTAAGCAAAATTTATCCATCAAGTACTTTATCTATCAAGTTACTCTTAAGTGACTATTCTGCTAAAAAGGAACCATAACTGACAACTTTTAAGATAGATATATAACCTCTCTCCTTGGCTATATCTCCTTGGTCATTTCATCTTAGAACAAAGATATTTGTTCCAAGATATTTTCTACCAACAAAGAGGAAGCACAGAACTCTGTGAGGACTAGAATTTATGAACTAATGCAATCCTGAATAGAACATTTTCTTGTCTGTGTTAACAGTCCATTCATGTAGCTATGTTTCTACTTAATGATGGTTTTATTTCCAGCTGGAGACAAGTTCACTGTGAAATTAAAATATCAACCTTACAGGTAATTTCTTAGAGGGACTGTAGACATCTGCAAACCGAAGGACAAGAAGTAAGGAGAAGACATTTAAAAAATTCAGGTTTGAAAGTCAGATAGCAGGAAGTTACATGGGTCATTTTTCTCAACTTGCAAGTCAGGTTCATGAATATTACAGAAAAGGGAACCAAACAATTGCAGCAAATTACCATAAGCGAAACACTGGCTTTGAATGTAGGTTGTTATCTTTAAAAACAGCCAAGGCAAGGAATGGGTACAAATCATAACAAAACAATGATAAGAATTATGTACTACATATTACATTTTTTATGGCAAACGCAACATACCTGGATATCTCGATATGACAGAAGTAAGTTGATTACAATGTCAGATGTCAGAACTTCAGTATTATCCATACGAAGTTTTATCCTGGCCAGTTCTTTTGCCAATTCTTCTCCTTGATATTTGTCTCTAGCTTTTCTAATGTCATTTAATAGAGTTTCTTTAAAATATGTACTAAGGAATAAGCACAAGTGGGAAAGCATGATTACCTAAATTGCTCACTGAGACTGTTGAAAGGCAACCACCAAAATATTAATTTCTGTGGCAAGGTATTTCGAGCAGGGTATCTAGATGATACCAAATACCCTACTAAAAACCATCAAGGAATAGAAGGATCCTGAAACTTCTATCTAAAAGGTTCTGCGGAGATGATGTATCAAGGAGAACAAAGGAACAGGACAGAGGATAGCATGTGCCTGGAAACACTTCTCCGACCTATGCACATTTATATAGAGTTTATTACTATATTGTTTTTATGCACAGAGCCGCAAGTGGCTGGAAACTACAAGCAGAACATCTTTCACAGAATCCCAGTCATATGGAAAGATGTAAGCATGAAATATATGGAAGTACAAGCTGAGCTAGTGGGTGCAATTCGAGTCCCCCTGCATGTTCAGTGATTTGAAAGAGAATTGTTCTTAACCTCTATACTGAACTCATATTGGTTAGTAACACAGCCAGGAAGCATGGTCCTAACTGTGCCTCCAAGCATTCACTGGATCCAACATATACTTGAAGGCACAGTTATGCAGATGACATATGTATGTACAGATGATATATGACCCAGTATTTTATCTGTACAGAGTTAAAGTTGCTATTATTGCTGAAAAGTTAACAAATTAAAATGTGTGAACCAAGTTGAATAAAAATAAGTAACAGGATAAAAACAAATGAGATATGCAACAAAATGTTTCATGATGTAGAAGATACCCTCAGGTTTTCAAGGGTTTTCCATGGGGCAGCATAGCAAGCTGTAGTCTGAGAAACACAGAACCAAATCCACCCTCGGGAACACAGAATGTGTGCCGTTCTTTGAATTCTGGCCAATGTTTTATGCTGTAACACCCTTACAAAGCAAATGCTGTTTTGTCCTTCAAAAATTCAGTTTGGTTGTCTGAACTGCACTGTACAAAATGGGACATAACCATTAACTGAACTACTAGCAGATGCTAGTGTATTCTTGTTTTTGGGAACATCAAGAATTATTTGCCACTAAAAAGAGCAGATCCTGAAAAAGTAAGTGTAAGTTCTAATCACTACCTGAACAGAAATTGCTGTCTAATCTAAATCCCTGTATCACATGCCAAGTATCATAACAGCACGACAAATAGGGTTTGATAAAATGGAAAGTGTTCTGCTGACTATGCAATGTGTAAAATTAATTTATTGAATAAAATTGATTTATTTATTTAAAACTTTTCTATACCTTCCCATAACTTCCCAAAACTTCTATACCTTCCCATACTCGGGATGGTTTACAGCCAATTAATACTAAAATACAGTAAGAATAACAGTTGCCCAGCACCCAATGTTAAAATATAAATCCACTAAATAAAACAAATTAAGAAATAAAATAATGGGGGAATTATCAGGTTTTTGCCTGATGCCAAAAGGAAAGAAGCGTTGGTGCCAGGCGGACCTCTCTGGGGAACATGTTCCACAATCAGGGCGCCACTGCGGAAAAGGCTGTCGCATACATAAAATTATTTGGCTTAATTTAAGGCACAATCCTATGCATATTTAGATCCTATGCATCTGTTACTCTCAGATGCCCCAGTCAGCATAGGACATGCTGGGAAATGTGGGGGAGGGTTTTGTTTGTTCATTCATTTGTTTTGGTCTAAATATGTATAGAATTGTGCAATTGACATAGTATTGACAAAATTGTGCTATTTTGTTTTGTATAAACAAAACCTGTACTGTTCCAACATTCCAGGTAGCATATTCCAGATTGTACTGCCCATTTGCCAAGACGTTTCTTATCTTTCTCTTGAAATCTATTACTCTATTTGACATATTTTCATTAAAAAAAACAAACATTAAAATCTGCTCTTGTACCGTCTGATAATATATACAGACAGTTACATGTGTTTATTAGCTTATGATTCTCTGTAGTATAATTTCTGAGAACTTAGAAAACCTAGAGAACTTCAGCTATCGGGCTGAATAGAAACAAATAAAATCACCAGCTTCAAAAGAATGGTAATTAAAACCAACCACTGTGCCCAACTTCACTTTGTAATGACCAAATTCCACTGCAAACAGTGAGACTATCATCTTATGGACTATTTGAGCCCAAGCTGAAGGCACCTTAATTCTGAGTAATCATTCATAACCTTGAGCTGTAAGTCAACTGGGATAAACTTATTCCATTGATTCCAAATGGAGCTGCATCTCAATTAAACTTAACTGGAACAGAACCAGAGAATGGTCTGGAAGCACTGTTGTGACAGTGCAGAAATTAAGTGAATGTGAACATGGGGAACTGATGAGTTCCAGGAGGAGGAGGAGGAGGAGAGAAGCAGTGGAAAGACAGCACAACATGCAAACTATACTGTTTCACTTAAAAACACTACTGTATTCTGCCATACCAGCTTCTTAAGCAGAAAGAGTCAGTGTTTTTTGCTGACATTTGGCTTTTGCTGAATGATTGTAAAAATATTACAGATTACAAATATTAAAAAAGTACTCTACTGAAAAGTGTCTAAAACAATTGTACATAAATAAAAGCAGCCTGAAAGCAGAGTTTCATAGGTCTCCTTGGGACAGTAGGTCTGGCAGTGTGTGCTCCCTCTGTCCTGGGCACTGGCGCCCAGACAGGAGTCCTCTGTGCACTGGGCTGCTGGGGAGAGGTGGCCCTGGCAGTGTGTGCAAGTCCTGCACACTGGGGAGGGAGCATCAGGGGCAGGGGGCAGAGGTGTGGACACGCATGCCTGGGTGTGTGCTTCTACATGGGAATGGAGTGAGGGGTTCCCCCAGAGTTCTATGGACCAGTAGTCCAGGAAGGAAGGAAGGAAGGAAGGTGGGGAGTGGCTGAGGCCATTCCTGGGCAAGGAGGAGTTGTGCATGCTGGGATTGATTCCTTATCACAGGGGCTGATGGGGTACATGCTGCCATTTGGAGGAAAGATGGAAGTGGGTGGAAACTACTTGTGAGCACAGGACACAGGTGAGATAGCATGCTATGTGGAAACTCTACACCTTGGCTTAGCATTTTGTGTAAACAGGGTCTGTGTCTAAATCATTAGGCAGCGAAGATCTATGGACTCTAGAGATCCTGGGTTCTTTAAGAAAAAAAAAAGCAATCACCTGCTAAGAAGGCAAAAGAGTTATAAAAATTACCATGATGTGACATGGATGTCCTTGAGAAGGTTGATGAACCTGTCCATCAGCGGGACACAGAGAGGCCCCAGGATGGAGTCCCAGTTGGGTTGCATATACTCAGAGGCTCTCCGCTGGGCATCACTTTCACAGCAAAAATAATCAGCACAAGGTGATACAATGTATGGAATGAAGTAGTAATTGCCACTTGAAGCCTGAAGAAGACAAGGTATTGCCATATTAGAACAAAGTGACAATTACACCCATGAAGGAACATAAACTGAAATTTCTAGGAAGCAAACAGGAAGCAGCAAACAGTAACACACTTGTACCCTTGCACATTTCAAAAACTTTAAGCTAAGACCAGTGCACTCACCAACCACAGTGAAAAGCTTAGCATTTATCATACAATTAAAAAAAATCCATATGTCGCATTTGTACTGTAAAGCTCTATAATTTCAAGCACACGTAAGAAAATGTCTAATGTTTCTGACTGTAATGAGAGATATGGTAACCAGCATTAGCCCAGTCACTAGCAAACAATGTGGTATTCAGCCACCACAGGTAAGTGGCACCAAATGGGAAAGAGGGATCCCATACCCTTATTGTGGAGCAAAGGATGCATTCAGCTCAGCCGCTGCGAAAAACTACATTTCTGGATTAATTTTAAAACATAGCAAAGTTACTGAATTGTACCTCTTACAAGACTTGCTGAACATTTAAAATACCCTCTTCAGTCACTGATACAATAAGTTTTATCAGTACAATCAATATGTAGCCAATATGTAAGATGGAAGACCAGAATAGAACAGAGCGTATGATCATTTTTCTGGTGAGTCATTGTAGGATATTTATAAAATTACACTTTTACAATTAAAGTGTAGTAAATTTAAACATGAGATACAAATAAGTGGGTTACAAATGGAGTCAGGGATAACACTATCCCTCCCTAATTTTAAAAAGAAAGTTTCTATATAGAGTTGCCAGAAATGTTGGCAATTAATGATGTAATCTGTAGGGTTTCTGCAGATGTAACCCTACTAGCCTGAAATCCCATATACGCTTACCTGGAAGTAAGTCCCAATGAACTCAATGCTAAATGATTCTGAACAGATTGGATTGTTAATATCCTAACAGTGATTGAAAAGGAAAAACTAAGAACAGTAGATAGCACGGCATCTTTGCCTCTTGCACAACTTCCTTTTGCTCTTAAACATGACCAAGATTTACATCAACATGAGTATTAGTTCATCAGGTTTTAAACCTGGGAGTAAGTTTTGTTTTGTTTTTGAGTCAGGTAAAACCTTGTTAAGAGGAAACACCAATCAAATATTCATCGTAGTTAATGATGCCAGTTTAAGAAGAGTGAAGAGACTGCAGGATATTCCTCTACGCACGTGTGCATAGCAGTGGGAATTACTTCTGACAAACACAAGCAGAAATGTATTGTGGCACAGCTACATCTACATTGGTCCAAGATGAAAATTTCAGATAATGGGGATTTTCAAAGTTTCTTCATTTACTTATCCACACAGGCTAAAAAAACCTTACAGTATAAAGGAAGAGAAACTGGATGATTGGACAGAGTGCATTTTTCTTATGGCTCACTTTATTAAAAAAAAGAAGCATTATTTATTTATTTGATGTACTTTACATCTATTCAATAGCCAACATTCTCTGGACAGGTAACAAAAATTGAAGATACTGCAATTTAAAGGAAAACAAATGATATACAACCATAAAGCCCTTTATTGGCTCAAATCTCCTCCCAAGATACAGAAGGAGGATCCTTGCAGAGGCATAACCAGTGCAAAGATGTCTTATAGCAAAGCCCTAAATTCTCCACTTACAATAAACTCAAGAGACATGCCGAATTCATACACGCTCATATACATAGTCAGTCCTACCCTAAAATAAGTTCAGTGTTTCACTCAGGCAGGATTCTACTGCAGAAGGGTCTGACTCAGTAAAATGAGTGCAAGACACCTGATCTCAGCAGGGCTAGCTTCATGCATTTTGAAGGGACTGAAGCAATACGCAGTGCCATATAAGGAGGAAGGAGCGTAAGATCGTCAAGTTCAGAGTCTATAAGTACACCACAGAATTACCATAAGCTCCAGAATGCCTTCTTCACTGATCTTCCAGAACTGCTTTAGAAAAGATACTTAGCCATAAAATAGATTTATGAGTGTGGGCAGATAAAGCAGCTTGGAATTCAGACGCATACGTCAGTCCTGGGTGAGGTAGAGAACTTAAAGGCTGACAATGCATTGGCCAGAGCTTTTGTTTCCGACTCCATTCTATTCTGAAGAGTTGTGTTTCCTCCTCCTTGTTAAGATGACCTACATATTTAGAATGGAATGTCCAATTCAGGGCATAGAACTGTTTCTATTCTACATGTTGATTCACATGTTCTCATAGAAGCCTTATTGTGATGGAAAGTCACATGGGATATTACAACTGTTTTGACAGCTGAGATGTCATTTGACTGATGTGGGAGCAGGAGCATTGTTTCCAAAGAAAGCTGGCATGTCAAAGAACTTATCTCTCTGATGAATTAGCTTCCCATATGTATATAGTTTTAACTTATGAGAGCTTTTAAACATTGGAACTCCAAGCTGGTGTTCATTGCAGTTCCATGAAAACCATGCCATTTTTCTTAGGGTATATAGAACACCTTTGAGACTGTTAAGAAGCTGTAAACATTTGCAAACTTTCTGAGAGCATTTAATGTCTATAAAAACATTAAATAACTCATTAGTTCCAACACAACACCACTTAGGATGCCAATGGCCATCAGTACAGGGGCCTTATTCTATTACTTCTGCGGCATCTTGAGTCACACAGATGCTGAGGGGAGTCATGGGAAAAAGTGTTCACTCTTATAAATATTTGAGCATAGAAACTGGTAATGGAAGATACACAACACTTGTGGGTGGAAAAATGAAAATGGAAGACATTTGCTCAGAAGTATATATTAAAATCACAATCCAATACTAAATAGGGAATAGCTGAACAGGTGCTTTTACAGAAGCAATGCCTATGTGACCAAACTCTTTGCAACACTAACTGATGTACCAGGTTAGAGTTCACAGTGATAACCAGTGTGAACTGCAGTATCCCTTTCCAACTCACTAGTTTTCCAGTGAAAGGAGTTGAGATTGAGATGGACTGTGCATGGACAGGTACCACCTGGCTAAATGGGTACATCCATTCCTCCAGGATTCAAATTTGGGGGTGGAGGAGAATCAGAAGCCTGAGAGTCAGTGAGGCATAGTGATTATTGTTTTGGACTGGGGCGTGGAGATCCTGGTTCTAGTCCCCACTTGGTCATGATGCTCGCTGGGTTACTTTGAGTCAGCCACAGACTCTCTGCCTAATCTACCCCACAGGGTTGCTGTAAGAATAATACAGGTAAGAGGAGAATTCTGACAGCTACCTTAGGTTCCTTGAAACACTGCATCTCCTTCCTGCCTCCCCGCTCAAACTCCAAGTAGGAATTCTTTTAGGGTAGAATGGTTATGTACACATTTTCCTAAGAAAGGTGCTTGTGTGTGTATTCCCCCTTCCCATCCATCCCATAAGGGACAAACATCATTGAGGCAGGTAATTAGATGGCTTTTTTCAGAGGAAACTGGGTCACAGCAGTTTTTACAAGAAATGGAAAAAAGCCATTAACTTTTCTTGCTCTGATGCTCATGACTCATTGATTAGGTTATTTTTGCTCTGCTTCTCTTGCATTTGTGAGTGAACACAGATAACTAAAACTGGCACAATGTTATCTTAAACTATTGCAGTTGATCTAGTTATATATCTCACTACTAAGTAAATCCACAGTGTACCATTGTTTTCCCCTACAAAAGGGAAAACTCTAGAATTAATGTTATTTCTTTTCTTTATAGATTTTTAATAGACTTTCCTGAAGTCATCCAGATGAATCTGAGATTTGTGATATGTACCTGAGACATTTGGTGCTGCATCCCATATTATAATTTCATACATACAGAACCACACAAGCATGAGGACATATCAACCCTCACCTCACTGCATGGATACTTATGCATAAGTTTAGATATACAAGGAGAAAGTAACATAAGAAAGAACCCTGAAGTCCAAAGAATAGTTACATGGAAGCAAAATCTACTGGTAATAACTTGCTTAGGGAGAAGAGATTAGATATTTGCTCTCCTCTAATTGCTGCTTCGCTCAGGAAATGGTGTGCTATACAACAAGGTATTTCTACCTGTTCAACAGACTTCCCCATTCATTCCAATGGAACTTGAAAAAGCAACTTTGTTTATGCATATCTTTGCAGAATTCCTTCTGTTATTAAAAGAGAGAAATAACATGATTGTAGTCACCTATGCTCTGCTGATTTCCCATTTGACTTTCACAAATGCTTGTATATGTGGGGTTACATTTGACAATTGTTCATACATTTCAGTTGGCTCAACTATAGTAGCTGCATTGCTGCATGGGCCTATGGAACAACTCTCACCAGTCTTAAAAACTCTACTGGCTCTCTGTTCCTGAACCCACTTCGGAGTACTGACGCTGATCTTTAAGAATCAAACATTCTTGTTCCAGCTGGCATGGGCATTTGTCTGGATAAGTCATGAAGCCAAACTCCTGCCTGATGGTCAGCCCAGAATGAAGTGCTATCATCTGAACCCTGCCAACTTCCACTTTCCACATGGATTTGCCTGGATGTTGTCAAGGGTTCTTCTTTGGATCTCCCATACTCAGATAGGAGGACATGGTCCATGAGATGGCCTTCTGTGAAGCAGAACCTAATCCTTGCAAATGCAGTTCTCAGGGCTTCATGTCAACTTTGAAGTCTTTCTGGCACTAGGTGGAGACCTTTTTATTCACCAAGTTGCTTTTTATATTCTGAGATCAGTGTTTTTAACCTAGAATGGCAGTGTTTTAATTTTTAGTTTATACTTCTCTAGTATTTTAGTATAGCATCATGTAGGGTATGCCGGTATGATGGATAAGAAAGAGTTCTCCTGGTACCCACCTGCCATTCTGACCCATAGTGATTTTCCTTCTACTGGGTTTCCTACCTAAGGAAAGTCAAGAATTTTATTTGGCATTATTGTAAACTGCTCTGAGGAAAATCTGAGATTTCTTTGGGTCTCTGTATTGACATTTGTTTGGAGATTGGTTGTTTTAACTCAGGAGTTGTATGTGATAGTTGATGGCATCTACCCCAGAACTCTGTTGGGTTCCTGTAACCTTGTATTCAGCCCCAGAGAGTCATCAGCTGTCCATGTCACAGTGAAATCCTTCTGCTGCTGACATCTTGTTTGTTCAGCTTTAGTTTACTAATAAAGTTTTATTCTCTTCCCTGAAATTTGATCACTTATCAACACTATTAAAAGATCTCAAGAAGAATTCAAGAGCAACTGAGTTCTTCCGGTTGGATTTAATTTTGAGCATCAGAGGAGGGTACAAATAAATTGAAGGTCTAGATATGGGATCCTTGAATGCACACTAGAATTCCACAAAGCTGGAACTAGCACAGGACATTAATATAAAAATAGCACTAGTCAGCACAACCTTCCAAACTTCACACCCTCCAGATTTGTTGAATTGCCATCATCCCAGCCTGCTTGAGAGGGAAGGCTGGACTAGCATATTTATGTTGAAATTGATTTTAATTTATTTTGGGAGAGAGAGTTGTCTTCACTCTTCAGCTGACAAAGTTCTTGGAGTGTTTGAAATGGCACACAAAAATCTATAAAATGTGTAAAAACATTTATTACGAGTAAAAGTATAGTACTAAGAATAGCATTAGAAGGCCTGGGGAAAGACCTAATACCAAAAGGACACAAAGTAAATAAAGATAGCACTAGGTGATCCTTGTTGGTCTTTGTAAAACAATGAAAGTATAAAGAAGGTAAAGCTTTCTGGTCTTTTTCATAAAGTAAATTTACCAGAAACCTCTATAATTCCTGCATAAAGGAACACTTTAATATTAAAGCAATTGCATTCTAAAGCGGAGGGATACCTGGACTCAGGTGACTGTGTAACTACAACCAAAGGAGGTAACTCAAGGTAGCAATTCAACTTTCATTCAAGATCCCCCACTGAATAAACATGAAGCTATAGTTAAAATAAAAAATAACTGCACAGCAAAGACAAGCCAGGCCTCATTCTCTGGTAGTAACTGCAAATCACAGACCAACACCATTCACTACAATGGCTTGCAGAATTACCTGTGACAGCATGCTGAAGAGTTTGATTGACTGGTAGTGTTAAAGTTCAAAGGCTATTCCAATACTAGGTGAATATACAGTTTAATTTTTTAAAGGGTCACAACTACTGTGGGGTCACCTAAGCACCTTATTAGCAATGTTGCTCTATTTTAGAATCTGAATATAGCAGTATTTACCACTACATCATGAATATGGCAACTTAGGTCTCTCATGTTCCTGCCGAATGGATCCTTCCCACCATGTTGAGCAAGATGGACAATGGCTCTTCTCCCCCATGTCATTTAGGAAAACTGGGACAATAATAGAAGGGCATAACTGGTGCTTATGCTAATTTATATGTATGGGTGCAAATTTAAAAACTACTCATAGGATTTTAATATACAGCACATCTCAGGACAGTGCAGAAGAGCTTTGCCATTAATTCCATATGGCTGGTTGTCCATTCTCCAGCCCAAATGTTAAAAGTTGATGGGCAACTTAAAACCAGAATGAACAGTACAGCTTTTGGCAGCTCTTCAAAGAGAGAACCATTTTCTGTAAATTGGGGCACATGGCCAGGCTAAATAGTAGCATGGGAAGAAGTATCTTGGTGGGTTCCTCCAATTTCATCCATACCCACCAGCACTGTGGAAAGGATCTATGATGTAGAGGCTCACGCACTACTAGCATAACACAAGAAGGGGAGTACAATGAAAGGCAAAGAACGTTAACTACTCTAAGGCAAGAAACTACTTTGAAACAAAGGGAACTTGAAATTTACCATGCAGGAAAGCTTTGAAGACATGGCAGAAGACAACATATATAGCAACATGCATAAAACCACAAGGAAAAGGATGGTACATACTTTGCCTATCATGCCACCACTGTGGTACTCTGGAGGTAGTTGCACTCGGAGAAAAGCTTTTTGGTTGGCAACTGCAGCCTACTCCAAATTGTAATGGGGTATTATGGAAAAATGAAGATCACAGAAGTATGCATATTTTATATAAAAGACACAGAGAATAGAAACAAAATTATTAAAGAGAGAGAAACTGTGGAATATGAGCAGATGCTTCAAGAATATACATGAAATACAAAAATATTTATGTAATCAATAACGAGACTGCAGATATGCTCAGGAAGCATTTCTTGTTACTACATCCCTATGCTTCACGAGGTTAATATTAATGAATCTTAAAGCATACTTAGGAAATATAATATCATAATAACTCCTTGATAAATTCACAAGGTGAAAGTAGATCATTACTTCGAGTAAACACTTGTTCACCTTCTGGCACATAAGTGGCTGAAAGTCAGCTAAAATTTACACTTGTCAACAATCAAATATATGAACAAAGAAATGATCAAGTCTTAAGGCAATAATGGGAGAAAAGAGCAAAGCAGAGGACAATTAGTTTGATGCAACACTGGGGCCTCTTGACTTCTCTTGCGTAACATGACACACCCTCTCCTGGCTGCATGTCAAACAAAACTTTGGAACCTCTAAACACAGCCTTTGACTCCTGACCAGTGTATAATTTCGGTAGCTTAGTAGATAAATTTCCACACTTTAAAAATACTAGTGTGTGTTAAAACAAGCACACACAAATATTGCACAGAAATAATTATTAATACATATGTAGAATCTCATCTAAAATGTTTCCATCCTACTTCTGCTGGGAATTGCACATTTCTCCTTGTTAGCAGTAATGTGTCTAATCCACAGAATCACCTTAGCTGTTTATTCTGTGCTTAGAAATATGAGTTGCACTCCAAGAGTTTGCATGGGTTGCAATAAATATGCAGCAGACTGATACAATCTCATGATGTTACAAAATAATCCACACTGTATCCCAACATGGACTTCATTCATGATATATGCAAATACAGTATCTTACAAAACCATAAGAAAATTAATAACTGTTTCAATGTCATACTGTTATGATTTCAGGGACAAAATAAAAATAGAACCACCCTCCTTCTTCCCCAAACTCTCGTTTTCCCTTCCCAGAATATATAGGGCAACTGGACTGGCTTTGTGATAAGGAAGGGAGTAAAATGAAGGTCATCAGCAAGAGGCATCTATCCAGCTAATGTGCCTTCTAATTGTGGACTGAGTTGTCCCAGAGCCAGAAGTTGACGCCAAACTGAATTCTTCATCTTCCTTCCCCATCAAAGAGAGCCGGTTCCATTCTCAGGGAAGTTCATGCTGTTTGTGAACCAGATGAGAGGAACTGGACTACACTTGGTCTGCTTGTTTGATCTGGTCTCCAACCACTGGGTTCAGTTACATGCCTCCTTATCCCACCTGCCCCCTCCACACAACACTATCTTCCCTGGGACTAGAATTGGTCTGGCTCTCACCAGCTGCTTGCCATTTCCAACAGACTGCTTGGCTTCGGTAATTCTGTACAATGTATTATGGTATTTGTTATGAGATAATATTGCTATATTTATATGGCTTAGGGATCTCCAGCTCTGTGACCATTTATCTGGTGCTTTGGCCAGGTTCAACAGCTTATCATAGGAAGAAAAGCATCTGGCCAAACTTTCCACTTAGATGCCTGATTTATAAAATTGTTTTCAACTGGATGAGACACAGTTGTTCAGTTTGACAGTTAAACAAACATGACTGCAAGCTGCAATAGTGTGACTATAACAATCTTGTTGTAGCATCTTTTACAACAGGATGGGTAATTTCAGATGACTGGGCCTACAGATTACCTCTACCATGAGCCCTTCTGGCTAGGATTGATGGGAGCTGTAAGCCCAAATATCTGGAGGGCTACACTGTTCACTCCTACTTTAGAGAGGAGCACCCACTGAAACATTGTAGAAAATGTGAAACTTGCTTAGGAAAATCTTGAGGTTAAAATAACATGACAATCTGTGGTTGTGTAAAGTGAAACCAAAACTACAACCAAAATTGCAAATTTTCTAAGTCTAGATGGATTAGATGAAATTATTCTTTGGCCATTTGTATCTTCTGTTGTTCTGTTTAGAACTAAGATGGAATGCTTTTTACTCTTTACCTGTATCACCTTGATTATACAAAAATAGAAAACTGCCTTAAAGAATATATTAGAAATACATTTTACTTATTATGGTTGCCCTCAGAAATCCACCAGGTTGAATGCTTGTAATGTATTTTATAGATAAGTACTTTGACAGGGTCAGTGGGGTTCTGCATACACTGTCAATGACTGAAATTGGCAGACAAAGTTCAGTTCTCCGAGGAGCTTCAGTCACATACAGGGACATAGAAATTGTGACCTGTAATTACATGCAAGCCCAGTTCTCTTGTGGGAACTGAATGCCAGGATCTAAGCAGCTCCATATAATTTATGATTTAGGACTCTCAGTGGGACATTGCATTACCAATGCAGAATTTTAATTATTTGCTTTACAGAAATCAAAGATGATAGTATCTCGATCCGATACCCACACATTTTATTGCTCAAACAACAGAAATGACAAATCTGGGGTTGATTTTTAAATAAGCAAAACAAAAATGTAGTTTTTCCTTCTTGTGTAAGGGCTTAAATATTTGGCAGATCCCCTATCACTATGAACACCCATGAAAGCACAGAGGGGTTTACATTTTTAGCTTAAATAAGCACAAAGGCCAGGTCCCAACTGAGTCATTAATGAGTCAACTGCTTACACAACTGTTGTTCTCAGCTTTATAATCTAATTCCTTCTTCCCAAACAAAATTAGACTTCTGATTTAAACATTTTTGAAGGGGGGATGTCAAACTGTTATCTTCACAGCAGATTAAAACAATTCCTAGCTTACCCCCCACCCCCTTTAAGGGTATCAATTGTTTTCTTCTTTCTGTATTCTACACTTAGTACTAAGTATACAGAAGAATAAGAGCAAACACATGCACATAATACTGAAGTATATACAGCAATTCCAAATCATCCTAGACTAAACACACACACACACATGGGGGGGGGGGGAGTGAGAGCACTCCCCTATTATGTACATCTTGGCTGTGCAGAAAGGTTTCAATACCCCCCATTCACTATTATGACTAAAGGTCCAATTCTCCATTCACTTTGCAATGTATACCTGAATTACAGGTTTGGAGAAGGTGCTCTCAGAACACCATGTGTTGAGCACACTCGCCAGTTCTTGCTGCTGCCCATTTTCTTGTATCTCCCTCCACTCCCGATTGCTTTTTGCTTGCATGGAAAGAGCATATAAAAAGGGCATCAACGGCAATGAGGAGAAGCAGCATGCTTCATAGATTGGAAGCAGTGCCCCTACTTCTGAAAGGGCCAGGGCACGTGCCCAGACATGACATCCCATACCACTAAACTCAGTGGAACAGGAATTGAGAAAGCTCAGCCTCATTAGCTACTAGGTAGACTACCACCAAGCCCAGATGAATATGGAACCCTGAGCCAGCCACCAATTAATCCACCCTAATCTTTACTGTGTACAGAGAGAACAAAATTTACAAGGTTACTGACCGAACACACAGTTCTAGATATTTGAAAAAGATGCATAGTAAACAAAAAGTATTTTTACTAAATAAAAAGCAAAGATATTACAGTAATAATCATTAGCCTACTGAGCTGAAAGAAATTTTTCCAGGCTCTAAAATATGGCAACAATCATAAATGAAAGCACATCCACTGTTAACCCCATGACAAAATTAATGGGATATTCAAGCAGGACTGCAACTTGACCCTACTCACAATATTGTCTGTGGCCATAGCAGTTCTGAGCAGTATTGACTTCTAATTTCACAGCCATGGAAAGGGAATGAGTTGAACCATGAGCTCTCTCATCCACAAGGGCAGAGACAAGGAGATATACACCAAATCATAAGATTTCACATACTTTGGTTCAATACTGTTTCAAAACAAATGTAGTTTTCACATTCTTACATTGTTATTCCTAGAAATGCCTTTTCCGAATGTGAAACTTCTGCAGCTTAATGTGATACTTTTTATCTCCAAGCTTAACACAGACCAATAAGAATTTACCAACATTAGTGCCAACAGTTTCCTTCAATTGTAAATACTGTCTTAATCCTTATGATAGATTTGTTTAATACAGTATAAACATATCTACTCTCTACCAAATGCATGATCTCTATTTCATAATTCTTGGTTCTTGAGATATTTACCAAAAAATGGAAAACAGCACTTTATTTTAACAATTATGTCCATCCTATTCTGAAAGGCTGAACTGATCTATTCTGGTGTATGACTAATTTTCCTTGCTCGTTATTTATTATATTTGTAATAAATTTTACACAGAATTTATTTACTTTTATGGCTCAAACCACCTTGAAGAGTTAAATAGTTTAAAGAGCAAAAGTAAGAATATACTTTGCATTATTCATCTGTATGTTGTAAAATTAAGTGATGAATCATCAGCTTCATCCAATTTGCAGCATTATGCTTAAAGATGCACCAGGATTGCCCCACCCAAGTGCTATGCACTGAGAAACCAGCAGTTCCATGTGTTTTTGTGCACTGTGGAAAAGAACCAGGTTTCTGTCATGAGGTGTGTGTTCCATAGTGCATCTAGTTTTTGTCTGAAAGCCTGTAGGCAGTGGAAGTATTAGCAGAGTTCACTGGAATCAGTTCAGAAGTGAGCTTCAGGGATGCTCATTTCAGAAGAGGCAGCAAACCTTTGATACCACTAATGTTTTACTCCTGCTGAGCTGGAGAATGTTTTCCAATTCATCCACCTTTTTGAGCTATTTTGAGATAGAAACAGGGTGCAAAACTGCAGAGAGAAAGAAGATTGCTAGATATGACTCACCGCCTCTGTTCAGACAGGATGCCCCTTTGAAGTTTTGAGAAAGTTATGCAGATATCAGTGGGTTTCCCTACATGACTTAACCTGCTGCTTTTCCAAGGCTGCTTCTTCCACTTTCCTTGCCATTTTCCTTTCCTTTCCTTCCTTTCGTGGGCTTTTCCCCCAGAGGTTTGTATTTCTCTCCAATGCTCTTAAGCAATAGCAAGATGGGATCATGGTATAGCTGCACTTGTGCATTTGCAACTTCTGACACGGATTGTGTTTTGGTTTAAAAATTAATACCAAACTTCACTTGCTTTAAAACGATGCAATAAAAATGGCTTGGAAAGTATGGGAGAGGTCCTGGGGGATGACATGAAAAGTTAAATCTCCATGAGTGGGAGATAACAAGTGCACAATTAATGCGTTGTGTAGAGAAGCCCAATGTCTCTTCTGATTTCAGTAACTGAAAGTGCTTCAGCTCCTAAATAAACTGAGTTACTCCTGTGTCTTCTGAGAAAAGTCACATGTAAAATAAGCCACATAATAGAAGGCTTGCCTGGCACTTGTTGGTACCCCTGCTGCTCCGTAACTGTCTGAAATATTCCTGCTACCGAACCATATTTAGTAGATTTTATGGAAATGTATCATGCGGGTGCATTTCTTCTATACCATACACATGGTAAAAGATCAAAGAAAAAATTATTTGCAAGGAAATAAACTATTTGCAAGCTCTGAAACAACTTATATATAGGCATTTATTTGGTGTTTTTGATGAACCAAACCCCTTCTTAAAATGTGGACTTGGCTATTGCAATCTTGGAGTCAGCCAACAATCTTGGCACTGTTGGGCCCAGGAATTTTCTGGCATTGGACAGAGTTCACATTCTCCACCCTCCCTAAATTGTGTGCAGAGAGCTGTGTGTGTGGAGAGAGGATACGCGATACTAAAAAAATACAGACTGGGCTATTTTCTTCTCTGAAGCTCTGGTCAGTCGTCTTTCCTATCACCTGGTATCGAATCCTTCTAGCTGGAGATGTTGGTGGATAAAACTCAGACTTTCTGCATGCAGAACAGAGACTCCTTTCTGACAGCGATGCCTGAACTGTAGGAATTAAGACCCAAAGGGATTCCATGCGTGATGGCTTATTTGATCCATCACGAAACTTTGCTTGGTCTTTGGCTACTTGCAAAATTATTTTCTCTGCCACTGTTCTCAGTGGACAGAGAGCTCCACAGAGTGCTAAAGCGTTGCTTTTGACCCTAGAAATCCTGTTCAGCCCCTTAATATCTATACTTTTTAAAAGATGTGGCCTGCACACTTCAAAGCCTATTTTCACAATTTTAAGGACTATCAGCTTGCCTTCTTGTTCTTCTGCTGTGGTTTTTGGGATGTGTGGTACTTGGAGAACCACTGTGGTGTAGTGGTTAAGAGTGTAGCATGGGCACTCAGGTGATCTGGGTTGTAGCCCCCATTGAGGCATGGGGCTAGCTGGGCCAGTCACAGAACCTCAGCTCAAGCCTACCTCACATGGTTGTTGTTGTGAGGATAAGAATGAGAGGAGCAGGAGAAATTTAAGTCACCCTGAATTCCTTGGAAGGAAAAAAAGGTGGGATATAATATATCAATAAACATGAATGCTGTTTTTACAGTACCTTCTACGTTTCTACAAAGCAAAGCAGAATATTGCTGAACATAACATACTCCTCCTTAAAATAATTATGTAGGATCCCGTATTGGAGATAAACCTGTAGGCTTGCCTTTTAGGCCCAGAAATTATATAAGGTAATGAAGATAACTGCAGTTTCAGTTTTACCCACTTTCCTTTGAAACTTCTATGTTGAAATGAAACATAAAGCAAATGCTAATTGTTGTGAAATTGTTGTTGTGAAATGTTGTCACCAACATTTCCAGGTAGAAGGATCGGGCACCAGGTAATGGGAAAGGTGTCTCACTGGAAGCTTTTTCAGAGTAGAAGATATCCCGATCTGTATTTCTCCTAGTATCACATCTCCTACATTTTTATCTACACACACGAAACTTATTTTGTAAAATGCAAACCAAACCCTTCACACACAATTTAGGGAGGGGAGAGGACGTGAGCACTCAGTCCCATGCTAGAAAATGCCTGCATCTGATAACTGTAAAACTGGGCCAAGAACTGTTAAAACCGTTCTCAGATAAGATATAAACAGCTTAATGAAAAAAATATTATTTATAATATGAATTATGAAGTCATGACACCTCACAATGAACGTTTAAGACAGGATATAGAACACATTCGTACAACTGTTTTATTTAATTTGGCATCTCTTCCTTGGCCTTTCAAATCTCCTTGGTGGTAAATATGCTAGGGAAAAAAAAACCAAGTCAAGTATTTTTAATTTTTATTCTCTGTTGCTTTCTGGATCTTCAAATATGTTCTTGGAAGAAAATAGTAATCATACATGATCTTGATTTAATTTATACAGATAATAACAATGTTGTGTCTTTCTTCTTTTCACTGAGTGCTCCTTTCAATCATTACCAAAATGAAAAATACTATCTGAAATTATTTACCAATCCAGCACATTCTCTGTGAATAGAATGTTGCATGCTTTTTACAGAATTGTGGAACAACTAGAAGGAGAGAGGGTTGCAGGCTATCCTGGCCAACCCCTTCTTGATACAGGATAACCTCAGAAAATAAGGCTTCTTTCTGTTAAAGTGGCCACAATCTTATGGCAATATAAGCTTTCTGAAAGCCACTGACTTCAAAACTGAGGACAGAAACAGATTTGTAACAACCATGCGCACCTGTTAGGCTCACTCACATTATGCAGCTGTTCTTCATAGATTTCCTTGAAAAGAAACACTTATATAGCATTCCCACCTTAAGTTTCAAAACATGGGTTCAGAAATACTTACTGTGTTTTTCTGAGACACCATATCCTGGAAAGGAATGAAAACTTAAGTAAAACTTAACTTATAAAAATGTATGTATAGTATAATATAAACAAAAACACATTTTTTTCTCAGTAATAATTTGACAGTTGTTATTTTGAAGGCTAAAATGTTTTAAAATGCAAATATTCCACTTGACTGCAACTTTAATTAGTTTTGAGAAAAACAATCAACTTGTAGTTTTAAAGTGAGGTAGTTAAAAATGCTTTGTTAATCACTGGTAAAATAAGTGTAGGTAAGTTATACAGTGCAAGTCTGTACAAAATCAGATGGAAATGTCTTAAGTTACAGTGGCTTCAAAATTGGTATTGTTTTCGTTCATGTACAACAAAGTTACAATATCATAAAAACCACCTAAACTTTCAGTTTCTATCTGAACATTGGCACATCACAATTCCACATAAGACAGCCCAAATGGAAAGAGAATTTCATATTATAATGTTTTCTTAACTCCGTTATAGGGTTGGCCAGACTTGCTCATTGGAAGAGTCACATATGGTAAATGTCAGACGTTTGAGAGCTGCAAGCAGGTGCCTGAGGGCGACAAGCCACAAAATACACTCAAAAAGCCACGTGTGGTTCTAAGCCTCAGGTTGGTCAACCCTGCTCTACTGTATGAGCAGATTTAAAATATATACATTTTAAAAATCTAATATTTACATTACTATATCTATTATATATTATATAATAATATATTATTATATCTCAGGCATTTTTCTTTTGATTTCTCTGAAATATTTCTACTTCCAGTTCAAGGTACTTATTTAATATATTTATAGGTTCCATAGGTTGGGGCACATAAATACATTAGTTACAACAAGATACCTAGGACAACATTTTAGCCTCATTGATCTAGAAAATATTTCCCCAACCTGGTACTCCTGTCAGCCAGACCAGAAGAGGCTGATCAGGACAACCCCATAAGAATTCCAAAATAAAATAAACTACTCATAAATATAAATGCACAAAAACAAACTCAGAATATGGCAGTCTGGAACAGACAATCGTTAAGTCCTGCATGCAAGTCTGCATTGTGTGGGCCAACTGAAATTCTTTCAGAAATGAGAAGGTCCTGTCTTTCAAGTTCATTCACAAATCAAAAAGCATGAAATTGTAAGTTAAGGCTGCTACCTTAACTCAAATGCATCTGAGCAATAAATATGACCTAAATGAACCACGTCCGCTTTGCCTATGTCTCCACTGGCCCCAGTGGGCACGAGCCGCCATTGCCTAGTTGAAGTTTACTTTCATACGTTTTTTTACCGGAGTTGGAGAGAGTAGTATCAGCTAGTGGTTATAGGATACATAAAGGATATTGCAATTCTATACCTTTTGTGCAAGAATGGATTCATAAGAACCTTAACTCTCTTCTTAAACTGAAAGTTTTTCTTAATTGTAGCATTTGGTTTATAGACACACATACTTGAACCTCAACTGTAATACCAGAAATAGGCCTATGCTTTTCAAGAAAGTAAAGTAACATGATCAGACCCATGCCTTTAACATAATAAATGGTTTAATATAAATACAGTTTAATATTCTTTCTTTTTTCAGCGTCAGCTAATCTTTCAGCTCTGTCCCTACTTGGATGAGCAGAGCCTTGCCACTGTTCCCATGTGCTAGTAACCTCTTGCCTGGATTACTCCAATGCGCTCCATATGAGGCTGTCTTTGAGAATGGTTCTGTCAGGGATGCGCAGCTACTTATGAGGACCAGTCATTGAGAATGCATTGGACCAGTCCTTCCGCAGCTGCACTAGCACCTGCTCCTGTCTGGGGCAATCCAATGTATTGCCATTGACATATACACATCCCTAAACAGCTTGGACCAGAGTACCCGAGGAATCGCCTACCGGCACAGTCAGATCATCTTCTGCAGTCCTCCTCTGAATACTCTCCTAATGAGATTGCAGGGAGGGAGGCTGGGAAGGGGGCCTTATCTGTAGTTGTGCCCAGACTTTGGAACACGTTCCCAGGGACATATGGCTGGTGCCAATCTTGCTTTCTTTTAGGAGCAGGATAAAAACTCGCTTGTTCCAACAGGGATTTGGTTTATTCAATTTGTGCTTCATTGTTTATTTATTTAATTGATTGCATTTGTTTTTGATAATTTGGTTGTACTTGGTTTGTCTTTTGAGTATTACCTTTTATTCTGTATCACCTTGTATAACATTAATTTTGTTGCTTTTATCTATTTATTGATTGTACTTCTATATGCTAGTTGCTTGTAAGTCTCCCAGGGAACCCTTGGGTTATGAGGCCACATAGAAGTAAATAAACAAATGAATACAGTAAATAAAATAAATATTCCCTATAATAAATAAATGAAATAACCATACCTTCAGAGACTGAGCAGTATCAGCATCCGTGTCATGATACAGTATAACATTATTGGCCATGTCAAAGCTTTCACGTACACCAAGATGGTAGAACAGGGACGGCTGCCTGGAAAAATCACTCATGTCCACAACTGCAACATCTGCAAGAAAAAAATTGATAAAACTAGAAGGAAAAGTTTAACGCTAATTCTAAAATGATTAAACTTGTTTTATAAACAGTGTTAAAATGATAGTCACTGGTGGGTGCCCCATCAGCCCGACCCTGCTTAGTCAGTAGCAATGGATTATTGGAGCTGTAGGCACTGCAGGTGGCGCAGTGGTTTAAACCACTGTGCTGATGGGCTGGGTGATCGAAAGGTTGCCGGTTCAAATCTGCACAATGGGGCGAGTTCCCGTTGCTCCGTCCCAGCTCCTGCCAACCTTGCAGTTTGAAAGCATGCAAATGCAAGTAGATAAAGGACAGGGGGAGTACATCCCTGTTGGTTCTTCTGGACCTCTCGGCGGCTTTCGATACCATCGACCATGGTATCCTTCTGGATAGACTTGCGGGATTGGGGGTTGGAGGCACTGCTTTGCAGTGGTTCCGCTCCTATCTCGACGGTCGATTCCAGAAGGTAGTGCTGGGGGACCATGTCTCTACGTCATGGCAGCTATGCCATGGGGTACCACAGGGCTCCATTCTATCCCCTCTGCTATTTAACATCTATATGAAACCGCTGGGAGAGGTCATCAGGAGGTGTGGGCTGCGGAATCATCAATACGCTGATGATACCCAGCTTTACCTCTCATTCTCCACTAATCCAGATGAGGCAGTGGCTGTGCTGAACCGGTGCTTGGCCGAGGTAAGGAAATGGATGAGGGCCAATAAACTGAAACTCAACCCAGACAAGACGGAGGTCCTGTTGGTTGGCGGATCGGGTTTCGGAGAGGGTGGATTTGACCTGGTCCTGAATGGTGCAACACTCCCTCTTAGGGATAAGGTCCGCAGCTTAGGTGTACTCCTCGACCCGGAGCTTTCTTTGGAAGCTCAGGTGACAGCGGTAGCGAGGAACGCCTTCCTTCAGCTTCGGCTGATTAATCAGCTGCGCCCCTACCTGGAATACGACTGCCTGGCGACGGTGACACACGCGCTGGTGACTTCCCGCCTAGACTTCTGTAACGCGCTTTACGTGGGGCTTCCCCTGAAGACAGTCCGAACACTTCAATTGGTGCAAAATAGAGCTGCCAGGTTGCTGACGGGGACGGGGCGTTATGCTCACATGACTCCAGTCCTCCATCAGCTTCACTGGCTTCCCATTGAAGCCCGGGCCCAATTCAAGGTGTTGATTATGACCTACAAAGCCCTAAACGGCTTGGGTCCTGGCTACCTGAACGAGCGCTTACGTCCGTATATGCCCGACTGCCCTTTGAGATCTGCGGGAGAGTCCCTTCTCCGGGAACCCTCCATGAAAGAAATTAGGAGAGTAAGTACCCGGAGGAGGGCTTTCTCTGCGGTGGCGCCCAACCTATGGAATTCACTCCCCAAAGAGGTCCGCCTGGCACCGTCGTTACTGGTTTTTCGGCACCAGGTAAAGACCTTTTTATTTAAACATCATTTCAATTGTTAAAACATATGATCTGGCCTGGGCAACTTCTTCTTCCTTCTCTTTCTCCTCCTATATTTTTATTTTATACTGATAATTTTAATTTTGTATTTGTAAATCAATGTATTTTTTGTATTGTTATATTTAATGGTAATTTATTATGTACTATTGTATTTCAATGTATTTTATCATGTTGTAAGCCGCCCCGAGGTTTCGGCAAGGGGCGGCATAGAAATGTAATAATAATAATAATAATAATAATAATAATAATAATAATAATAATAAAAAGGTACCACTTCGGTGGGCAGGTAACACGTTCCATGCACTTCAGTGTTTAGTCATGCTGGCCACACGACCATGGAGACTGTCTGCGGACAAACGCTGGCTCCCTCGGCTAGGAAACGGGAGATGAGCACCGCCCCCTAGAGTCAGGCATGACTGGACTTAATGTCAAGGGGAAACCTTTACCTTTACCTTACCTAGGCAAAAATGTCTGGAGGATAATTAGGATCTGGATAAAAGCAATTTAGCCCTCTGTTTCTCTGTTCCACACTCGTTCCAAGAACTGTAAGCATACTGCAAGTTTCCTACTTGCACAATCTATCTGTGACTAACTCTGATCAACTAGTAGTAATAAGGATGTGCTACCTGCATACCTCATCTGTACCACATTAGCTTCAATCAAATGCAACCAGGTATCAATGATCTTTTGTCAGGTCTTAGGAGACACTCCTGAGCAAGACACTGGGCTGATTCACAGGTCACAATGGCAATCCCTTCCCAGCCAGGTATCACTGGGAAGAATGCCACAGAAGCTCCCTCCAATCTTAATCAACAACCTAGAAACAGGTTGTTTTGTCAGAATCTGAAAACCCATTGGCTGTTTATGACTAACAACAATTACCTACAGGTTGTTCTTGGGCTTTGAGGTTTGGCTCACAAACTATTGAGTTGCTCACTGAAATTGAAAGTGGCTTGCACATGGCACCTATCCACATCCTGGATTAAACAACCCAGGAGTTGCTCCCATGACATCCTAATTGGCTTACTGAGAATCAAAAATCACAGCTGGAAGGGTATTTGTAGGGTCACCGAGCCTAACTCCAAAGCTCATTATACTATCTAAATGAAAGGGAAGCGGTCTTCACAAAAGCTCTGAAAGTCTAGTTATGTCATCTTTTTAGCAATCAGAACTGAAGAACCAATATAGCATGACAGCTCTAAGCATGAGGCAGAAAATTTACCCCAGACACAATAACACTAGGTTCCTTCATGAGTATAAGATGACACCTGCTGAAGCAGACCAAATATAACTCTAGCCCAGAACACTATTCCAACAGTGGCCACCCAGATATTCCAGTCTATAAATAGGGCATGAAGACAAGCCGATCCTCATCTGTTTGCTCCCAGCAGACAGATAATATTCAGAAATGTATTGGCTTGGATCCATGCTTGGACTAGACCCACTGAACTGAATTGGACTTCAGTTAATCACAAGCAACTTGTTCCATCAACTTTAGGTATGACTAAGTCTGGATTCAATTACTTCTTATGAACATCTATTAATTAATTATAGCTAGAGCTAAACCAAAATCCCCCCCTTTTCCCACTTGCAAATTTGTGCAAGTGTTAATGAAGGAACTGTATTTGTCTGTTAACTGTATAATTGTTATTCTCTCAGCTATTAATAACATTTAAAACCAGAAAGATTAGAACAACTGAAAAATCAAAGCAGGATGAAACCACTATATTATAAATAAAATATAGCACTGGCATTAAAACATGAATACAAAAGACATAGATCTGAAATACTGTTTGTGAATGATTATGGAAAATATTACTGAATCACAACAGATGTTATTAGCACAAATATTTCCCCTAAGCATAACAGAAATAACCACAGTGACCAAGCCATGCATACGATTTTTATGCAAAGGCAGCATGTAATGAATTCAGCAGCATGAATCAGCAGATACAGCCAAACACCACTTCTCCTAACCGCGTATGAAAACCACAGTGTTGAGTTACAGTTGTACCAAACACTACATCTAGCATCATTCTCTTGGAACACTCATCACTGGCCCAAAATAACAATGCCACTTATTTTTTTATGCACCTGGGTGACATGGTGTAAACTGGTGTCCTGCAATAGCAGGGGGTTGAACCCAATAGCTTTCTTGGCCCTTTCCAACTCTACTATTATTTGAAAATATAAAATAATAGATAATTATTATTCTATAATTAGAGCATATTGTCTTATTATTATATAATTAGAGCATATTTTACAGTAAATTCACTATTTGCTCTGAAAATCAGTAATTGCATTCCTTTTCTTAAAACTACAGAAAAAGTAGACCTGCAATGTTACACATTTTAGTGGCATGGGTATTTGCACTTGAAAGGATCAAACAGGATTCAAGAATTGATTTCATGATTGTATCATGTTGAGCATATCCAGGTCAAAAATATTGCAGCAGAAATGTTTATGCAGCAAGAAACATATAAACATAGTCATTTATAGAAGTTATTGATGAATTCAAAGTCCTGCAGCCTCACCCAACTAAACATAGTTTCAATAAAATATAAAACCAAGCATCAACTCTGATACGGTTCTTACTAGCCCTACTGGTAGCTTATCTTTGGTCTTTACAAAATATTGTACATTTGGCTTGCTTCAAACAAAGCAATCCCAAAGCAGGTTTGGTTTCTATCTTGGTTACTGTATAAGATATGAAACACAATCCGATCCTGGTTTTATTTTCTGGTTAGTATGCAGAGTTTAAAACATAATGTCATTGCTCAGACATATGGTTATGTTACAGTTTAAATAAGTCATGATCTCAACACGAAAGCCAAGAGGACAAAGGGTAGATAAAATGGGACAAGGAGGAGGATATGGACACAGCGGATTCTAGGGGAAATTCAGCAATCCAATATTGCTACATTTCAACCAGGTTTCTCTATATTGCTGCAACAAATTTCTGGAAGCTGGTTGTTTTTGTTGTTATAGCCGTTCCATTGCTTTTAAAATGAACAAATTTTAAAGGGTCTATGTTTATTCCCAAGTATCTTACATAAAAACTTCAATTTTACATCTAGTTTTTAAAAACTTCGTTTCTAAAGTTTAGTTTTCAAGGGATCCCCACCCTAGACCCAGTTTACGGAGGTGCTTGGTTGTTGTTTCTCAGCCTATAGAGAAACAACAACCAAATCAGTCCAAATACTAATGGACTGAGTAAATGGGGCAAACAGTAAAGTTCACACACCACGCCAAGCCATGCAACAGTGGGTGTTTCACACAACACAGCACCCTGTCCTGTGCCGCAACCCATGACCCAAGGACCCCCAGTATGTCCAAAAATGACTGGGCACATCATAAATCCTTGCTACCCTCTCCTTGGACCTTCTGCCAGGGAAAATGAATACAACAACTCATGAACTGGCCAAGCTAATCTTCCTTCTGCACCATGAGCACCATGAGGCCATCATAGTAGTTGGGGGGGGGGGGGTCCAATGGACATTGCCAACTTGGAAATTGTTGTCAGCGATTGCCACTGCACACTGTGGTGCCAGGCTTGAAAGGGGTTGCTGCTACAGGGTAAGCCTCTGACAATCTTCCCAGGCGCCAGCTGTGCATTTTGGGAGGAGTTAGCAGCACTTGCCCAGTAGCGACATGGCAAGAACAGCAATGGGATTTTGCCAAGCTTGTAGATGGCCTGACCCACAATGGTTAAACAATCGCATCGACAAGCCACGGGTTGTTAGGGTGGCTTATATGACAAAGTTTTAAAAGTTCACTTGTGTTTACTTGACACGACAACCCCCTGTGGCTTATAAACCATGGTAGGTTGCTATGTCATCCCAACACAATGAGCAAGTTGGTTGTTGGCTGAACAACCCATTATATGCCTTATAGACAATCAGATTTGCCATGGGCTGTTCTCTTCCTTCTTCATCCTCTGTCATTCCAGTGTCTTTTGTGGTAGAACCAAATACTTCCCTGCATGGCTTCCTAGCCATTATGTTTATGTACATTTCTTTAAAAGAAAAACTGTCAGGAAACCACAGTCATTGCAGTAGAAAGTGTCCGGAAACAGAGCTATGGAAACAGAGGAGCTAGTATCTCCCTTTTCTGCAGTAGCTGGAGGGATGGAGAAAAATTGAAACAGCAGAAGACACAAAGAAGTATCAGATGAACACTCAGAACCAAGGGAACCTTTCTGAAGGGGGATACTGTGCCTTCCCTTTTGCTGCACTTACTCTTTTGACTTCTTCCCCACCCCACCCTCAAACTTTTCAGTGGTTCTAACCTGCACTACTGGGTCCCTCCTTTCTCTTATTTCTGCCCTGAAACTTTGTAAGTGTGCAAAAATTAGCTGATAGGCAACCAGGTTTAATCAATGTTCATACTGGACAGCTGCAAATGTACACTGGTGTACTTGCAACACAATGCCCAGAAATAACACAGAAATTATCTCAGGTGTACATATATGAAGCAGCACAAAATAAAAAGTTAAAATCAGGGAAACAAATGACAGGTGTTACATAGTGCCATTTCAGCATCAGTGGAAGGGTAGTAACTGCGAGGCTGAGAAAAATGAGCAGCATGGGCACTCCGGCCATTCCCTGAAACCCCAATTAACACAAGGTGTTATCGGCATGAACAAAGCTTATGGGACATAAGCCATGCTGGGTTTCATGACATGACAACCCATCCTTGCCTGTCACCCATGGTACACTGTTGCATCATGCAGATCACCAGTCACTTTGATAAGATTCAGAGTCCTGCTAGTGTATGCATGCCAACACAATGAGAAGCACACATCCACATTTGGTTGCAACTCTCCGTAAAGCATGCACATGGTCCAAATGAGGGTCTTCTACCACATAACGCATGGATTGGGGTTTAGACAATTCTGTCATTATCCATTCCACTGCTATTGCTCTTCACACTTGCCCTTAAGTTAATTATATATATCGTGGAACAAGATCACTGCTTTGCTAACAGTGACAAGATTGATTACAATGTATAATCTTATCACTGAATAGCTACCATGCCTCCCCTTGTTTATTATTATCTGTCATTTTTTCCTCCAAAGAAGCAAAGACATCTTAGTCAATCTTCCTCTCCATTTTACCCTACACTTACCCTTTAAAATACCTTAAGCAGGTCTCTCACTAGCTCAAAGTCACACTGAAGTCAATGAATTTCATGATAAAGTGGGGTCTAGAACCTGAATCTCCCAGTCCAAAACTATGCCACATTCCCTAGTCCAAAACTCTAACCACTACACTGCACTCCAATCACTCAAACTAAATTACTCTGCTAGCCACTTATTTTTTCCTCATTTTTTGCTCCACTGAAATTACTCCACATTGCCACAATTAAAATAAATTATGTGTCTATAACCGCTTGCTAAAAACAAGACTTTCTCAATAGACTCCCTGAGTCTTTGCAACTCTCTGTCCCAAGAAGCTTGCCTTACCACATATTTCACTGCTTTCACTTGGATGTTTAAGAGAGCTGTTTTCATATTCCTGCTACACGGTTGCATTCGTCTTGTTATATTTGGATAGCTGGCTATATTTTGTACCATTTGTTTTTACTGCACCAGTTTGTGTATTTTGAAGCTGCAATCAACAGATAAAATGTCACCAAGCATGTTGCCACTGAAGCGGCCTTGCTTCTTGGGCACAACTTCCACCCGAAGAGATAAACTGAAGTGCGTGCTTTGGATGCAGCACAACTCAGGTTCAGCCTTTGGCATCTCCACTGCAAGCCTGCGAGAGGCTTTTAGAGCCAATGCAGACAGCACTGAATGGAACTTCTGAAGTTCCTGTGTCTTTCTCAATGTCTGCTGCTACTCCTTCAATTCAACTTTTCTTTCAATTTCTACCGTGAATGGGATAGCTTCATAATAGGCATGCCATGTCCAGTTCTCCAAACTTATGTTCTGTTTCCATAACTGTTCCCTGTAGAATTCATTGATTATTATAGGCAATGAAAGGGCTCTTCGATAGAAAAACTCCTTCCATATTGTGCAAAGTATTTGTTTCAGAATGCTTAAATATATGAACTAGTACATCATAAAAGGTTATGAGGAAACATAAAATGTAAAAGAGAAAGTGCAGTAATTTGCAGATAATGCGATCATTTAAATTGCTTTAGCTGCACTACAGCCCATGGTTATGTAAATATATGTGAGATTTCAACCAAACAAAGTATTATTTCAGGTCAGGTAGCTGCAAACAAAATATTAAAATAAAAAAGCCTTCCCCTGGGTCTCTCAATGTAATTGTCTTCTACCACAGGTAGTGTCTCCCATCCTTTTGGGTTGCCACCCCATTTTTATTCACTAGTTTTCCCGAAGTTCATGAGGCTTTATATTTTTAGAATATGGAACAGTGAAACACAGACACGCACGCACAAGAGAATGAAACGCGCCGGTGATTTCACTCTAGCGCCGCCTTCCCCAAGCGGGTGCCCTCCAAGCCGCCCACATGGCCCACAGCGAGCGGAGCCGGGTGAGCAGCCCAAACCGTCTGCGGGGGGCTGCAGCGGCGCGCCCCTCCGGCTGAGGCCGCTTGCTGCTGATCCGCCTTTTGCCGCAAGCGGCCGGGAAGGGGAAGGCAGGGAAGGGCAGGGAAGGGAAGGGGGCGCTGCCGGGGTGCGGTTCCAGGCACCGCCGCTGCTCCGCCACCCTGCGGCGGCGCTTCCGCCGGCTCTGCAGGCGCTCGCCTTGCGCCGCTCTCCCGCCCGCAGGCTCACCGGCGTCGTAGAAGGTGTCCAGGACAGCCGTCTCGCCGAAATCCAGCTCGCCGAAGTTCACGGTGGTGAGCTGGGCCCCCTCGGCCTCGCAGGCGCGCACCAGGCACAGCAGCGCGCCGGCCTCGGGGCTCCGCGCGCCCGAGCCGCCTTTGGGGTTCTCGTTGAGCACGTACACGGCCCGCAGCGACCGCTGGCGCAAGCCCGCGGCCGCCTCCGCGCACCCGCCGCCCGGCGCTGCCTCGGCGCCCGCAAGCGCCTCGGCGCCGTTGGGCACGCTGAGCGGCGCAGACTCCCCGCTCGGCTCCTGCGGCTCTGCGGCAGCAGAGACAGCGCCGCCGCCGCCGCCGCCCTCCATGGGGCTCGGGAGCCCGTGCGGCACGGAGCAGAGCGCGCGGGGCCGCCCGGCGAGAGCAGCGCAGGCGGCGGCGTCTCTCCGCGCCCGCAGGAGTCACGGCGGGGAGCCCGCCTCCCGCGTCAGGGCCCCAGGAAAGAGGCTCGCCCCGAGCATGGGGACGGCTGAGGAAACGCGAACTTCCCCGGCGCACGCCTAAGCGCAAATTCCCGGGGTTGGGCGGGGGGGGGGGGGAGAGAAGAAAAAGCCGCGGCCGCGCCCAGAGGGCGCCTTTCTCCGGCCGCCGCACCGCGCCTCGCCTCCCGTTCGCGGCTGAACGCCGGAGAGCTCCGCAGAGCTTGCACCGCTGCCCGCCAACTCCGCTGTCCCAGACGCGCGGCGGCACCTTCCTTCTCTCGCCCAGAGAAAGACCGCTCATGGCCGCCCGCTCTGCGTGTCTGGAAGCTCGGTGAAGCTCGCGGGGCTGAAGCAGAGCGCGCGGGTCCGGCCGAGCCTTCCCCGCCTCTGCGATCAGCCTCCCGTCCCCGGAGCCGCAGCTGTGCACGGACATCACCTTCTGGCTACGAGAGCAGAGGCAGCGCTCATTTCTACTGTGCAACTGAAATAAATGCCAGTCTTTTCTGGGGCCACCTAAGCAGCATCTAGTGGCCTTAAAACCCTAACCCTTGAAGTCTGGAGGTTTGGCGCCGAACCCTGACATAGCAACAAACCATTCCCACTACCCTCTGCCACTTGTCGTCCTGCCTTAGTTTATGCTGGCAACAAAATAGGCAGTTCTGCACCGAATTGGAGAGCAAAGTAGTACAGAGGCACAAAACAGGCAAATTTAGCTTGGAAACTCGTTGTATTTTAGCTTTCCATAATAACGTAAAGTTTTTTGGTCACTGCTGCTTTCAGGGGCAGTCGACAGGGGTGGGATGGCTGAAAGCGTTCCTGGGCCCTCTGAAGGTTTCCACCTCCGCCTGAACATTTTGTGCTGCAACTGCAGCCTTTTGAGGGAATTCTGCCCGGGAAAAGCACCTTGCAGCCTGCGGCTTAAAGACATACCTCATTAATTTTATCACTTTATCTGACATCTCTTTCTGCTCATGACCGTTCAGTTTGAAGTTGTGCCTTTGTTTGTTTTTATTTTAGGGTTCTGCATTCAGAACTGCATTCAATGCCCTTTGAAAGGTAGTGTGTAAACTGACAAAAATAAAGAAATCCCAGCACCAACTTCATTTGTTTTATTATGCAAGTTGCCCCTGAGAGATTGAACTATAGGGCAACTCATAGACCAACTGACTGTGGATTCTATAATCAGACTATTTCCTCTCTAGTAAAAAGATACTTTCTCATATTCCTTCAGAGAAAAACTCTTCTTTATAAAGCCTAAATTCTCCAACAACTGTGCCACCTGAACCTACATATGTTTACTAGATTTTTTTTTAAATCACCAAATGCAGTGAGATTTGCATCCAAGTATTGCCATGGCTTAAACCACCACTGTAAGGACATAAGGCCAAAAGACAACACTTTTCTAAGGAACTTGGAGTGGGGGGCAGGTTTACAGGAGGAGACCATAAGTAACCGGTGAGGAGAATGCATTGTGCTCAATTGAATGTACTTAGGTTCTCTTACATTAAGGTGAACTTCACAGAAAAAGGAATTGGAAGGAAGAAAGAGGCATTATCAGAAAAGAGTTCCAGGAAGAAAGGCCAGCAAGGGTAGAGTTGTATTCTAGAAGCATATATACAAAGGTCCACTTAAAAGTTCTCTCTCATTTGTCAATATGTATTAACAATGCTCTTTTTACTACACGTTCTACTGTATCACTGTGTATGAGAGTGAGTTAGCATAATATATAACTAATCAACAGTAACAGCTCTGTGGCATGCAGACTATAAAAAAGCAGTATCTTAAAAATCATATTTACTCGCAACAAAATTCTGTTTAAACATTAACAGTGAAATTTGTGGGATACTGCATATTTCAATTTTTTCAATTCAGAAAATCCCTTCCCAGTAGTGTTCCTTGAAGATTATAATGGAAACTTGCTTGTTTTAAATGTTTGGACAGTTCAAAAACTACCTAACCAAAGAGAAAGAAAACACACTTGTTCCCAGCTTAACATTTTTAATAATTGTTTTTGAGTAAGCTATAACATGTAGTACTTTCGAGAAGGTTCCTTAAGAAATTCCAAGGGTTCTACCAGTCTTTTGGGGTTCATGTAAGAGCCAGGTTAGGTTAGGGTTATGAAAACAGGTCTCTGGCCATGTCTAGCTTTAACTACTCCATAGAAAAAATGAATATTTACATGTGTGTGCTGACTTTTTGTTGAAACCTGCAGTTCAGAAGAATGGATTAGCAATTACAGTTAGGGTAAGATTTGGGTTGGGGTTGGGAATCAAAGGTCCCTGTTCATATCTTGAGGCCTAGAACTAATTCCAATGGGTTGGAGCAAGTTGGTCCTCAACTCAGTCCCTGTGTGCGCTGCATTTTTTCTAGTTCCTGCACTTTGGAGGAGAATTCCAGGCTTTAAGGTTCAGGTTCAGAAAACAGAGCTGTTCGGCATGCCTAGGTGCTTAGAAGTATTTCAGAGGCATTGCAACACATAATGTGGTTGATAGGAAATGAGTGCGCCTGCTCTTTTGATGGTGTGGCAATGCACAGGGTTCTACCAGCCCTTAAGCGTTTGTGTAAGAGCCGGATTAGGTTAAGGTTATGAGAACATTAATCCCTCTGTGTGTCTCGTAGCCTACAAGCAGTACATATTGGCTCAAGAAAATGAGTACTTGGCTCAAAGCTCTTGTATTCTGACTTTGCACAAACTCTTATATTTCACAGACGTATACATGCTTTTGGGGGTTAAGGTTAAGCACCTGATTCAGATTCAGGTTCAGGATCAGGAACCCATTGCACACCATGCATGTCAAGTTTTGGACTCACTCGGAGAGAACAATCTCCAAGCGAGCAAGCCATTGCATCGCACCGGCATCTTTCAACTGGCCCCCTGGTGAAAAAGTTTGAAGACCCCTGGCTTATAACTTCTGGATTAGAAGTGCCAGGCTAGGGTCAGCTTTAGGAAGGGCTCCATCCCTATGCATGCCGGGGGGGCTTGAGGAAGTAGAGGTGGGGTAAAATATGAGTAGTCAACAGGAACTGAGTGTGTGCAGTCTTTTGCACAGTGTTAGTATGCCCAGCGGCTATACCGTCCTTTGGAGGTTATGGCTAAGAGTAAGATTAGGTTTGGGGTTAGAAAAATATAGGTCACTCTGTTTGTCTATGGGCCTGGAACTAGCCCCAATGGGGCAAATGTCTGAGCAGTCAATGGAAACTGAGAATAAGCTGCCTTTCTCCACTGTTTTGCTACTTACAGGGGCCCATCAGCTTTTTAGGGTTAGGTTGAAGAGCTGGTTAGGATTAGGAACAAGTAGCTCTGATTGCACGTCGAGGGCCTGGATTGTATCCTGATGGGATTGAAAAATGAATTGTCAAGAGGCAACCCAGTGTGCATTGACACTGTGCAAGGTGTTGCAATTCTACACAATTAAGTTTGGGGTTAAGATTTTAAGGAGTATCTAGGTTCCTGTGGATGCTAAGTAGTCCAGATTGCATATAAAAGCATCAGCAGCCAAACAGAATTCACTTTGTGCAGACTTCTTGGAAAATGTTGCAATTCATAAAAGCTTTACTAACTTCGGGGCTAGTTAGGGTTAGCATTCAGAAAACTTGGGTCCTTGTGAATGCCTATGGGCTTGTTACCAGTCCAGGCAGGTTCAAAAAAATAAGCAGCCAACAGGATCCCAGTGGCGCTGTGTTCCTGCACATTGTTGCAAGTGATGGAGTTACAACGGCCTTTTAGGGTTATGCTGAATAGGCAGGTTAGAGTTAGAAAACATTAGACCCTGTGCATGCCTAGAATCCTCGAACTAGTCCAGATTGCATAGAAAAATGAGCTGCCAGCTAATTTGTGTACCAGGTTAGCAAATAGAGATGGTTGTCTACAGCCATGTCACTGCACATTGTTTTGCATGCTACAGGATATAACTGCACATGTGCATTCCTTCCAACTGGATACAAGAAGGTAGCATATGGTTCTCAATGCCTTATC